TTGTTGATCATCTTCCATCTGTTCATAGAATTCTCCACCTTTCTCATACATGCCACTTTAGGCTAAAGACGAGGCAATCTTTTCTAATAAGTCTTATGGGAAAGACATATTGCAATTAAATACAATATTGGCAGCTTTGGCTGGTAATCCTCCTTATAAATAAAGGTTAATAGCATTAATAAAATCGCCTTCGTTTTCTTTTAACTCAGCAGCCTTGGATTCTTATCCAGTTTCAATTAACCATTAATAATAATTCTCTTTGAGAACCTTAACTTATTCATGGCCTCTCTTTTCAGCAATTTTAATGGCTTCGTCCCATTTATGCAAATCTTAATACATTCCCATAGCCTCATTTACTTCATTGTGATTAAGCAACAATTCTTCAGCCTTGGTAAATTATTTATCTAAAATAGCCAATTTAGACTAGACTTTGTAATATGAGATACCATCCTTCTTACCAGTCTCTTCATAATATTTTGAAATGAGTCTATTAATACCTCTCAAATAGGATGCTCTGGCAACATCTCCCAAAGCAGCATAACAGTGTTCAGATACTGATAAATTTTACTCTTCCAAAGATAATTATGCTAACACCTTCCAATTGGCTTCAGTATCAGATGTCAATTCTAATTTATCTAAAATTGAAGCTGCCTTTTCAAGGTCTCTTCCTTCAATTGCAAATCCAAATTCAATCAAGGCTTAATCCAGTTTATAAGCAACTTTATTTTAACCTTCACTTACAATAACAGAAGTAGAACCAGCTTAACTAGAGGTACTAGAAATTCTTTCAATTTCTTCAACATCACCTTTGATTGTATAAAGTGTAACCTTGTCAGGATTTTCAATTGAATACCAAACACACAAATTGTTTCTGTTTTAGGCTACAATAACTTCACTTTCAGGAACCCATTAAGCATAATTACAAAATGATAGAAGAGTGTGTTTAAATGCATTTTTTATTGAATATAGATACAATTATCTTCTCTTATCTCTGAATATTAATCTGTTGGCATGAGAATTCAATTCTAAGAAATCAATCTTAGTATCATGAGCAATTGTAGCAATAATACTCTTAGTAGTTAAATCCTATATCTATAATGTTTGAAGATCCAATAAAAATGCAATAACTTTAGTCTTATTCTACCCAGTATAACTAACTTTAGCACTGATAAGTGAATTCTTCATATGTTCAGTTCTGCAAGTACCTAAAATACGATCACTTCCATATTCAATCAATGTCAATTCTCCTGCATTGAATACCATACAAATATTTTCATTCGTAAAATCAAACTTTTCATTTCCACTTCCTCTCCAACTGACTTCTGATGTCTTTCCTGTGGCCAAATCCCCCACAATCAAAGTTTCATGTGTTTTAGCAACTACGAATCTCTCTTTTTTGATGTCTATCTTTGATATTTCAGCCTATGATGATCTAATGACTGCTTATTAATTAGTTGATAACACTTAAATGACAATTTGAGATGGACCAATATAATTCAAATCATATTTTCCCTTAAATCTAATCTTTTTCATTGAAATATCCCATGCATCTACTGAACCACATAGAGATCCAGTAATCAATTTTGATGAGTCATTCTTCCAACACAATGCTGTTATTGTATAATAATTCTCAATATGCTTTACTCCTATTTCTTCCCATTGAGATCTCTTTTGATTATATGTGTAAAGATAGAATCTATTAAAATTACCCAATACTATGATGTCTCCATTAGGACTACAAGCACCAACTGAGAAATCCTTGCATCTTTCATCTTAAGTGTAATCAAATCTCTAAACTAGATTTCCATAATTATCATAGAATGAGACCTTTTGATCATTACCAGCTGCTGCCACATGTTATCCATAAGCCAAAGCATATGGTATTGAATGATGCACCACTAGCTTTTATGATTATTGAGTGTCTAAGTTGTAACTGTACACTGATCCATCAAGATGGCCTGATACAACCACGTCTCCATCCCTATTGGTTGCCATACTTACTACATAGGATTCTGTTGTGAATGCTATTTGAGACTAATAACATTGGTAAACTTGATTACTTTATTATTTTTCAAAAATCCAATCTTCACCTTTCCTTCTGCCAATCCGAATATGATATCATTCTCTCGTTAGGCTGGCCATATCAATGTAGTTATTGAGGAAGAGGCTGGGAATTTATTACAGATTGTCTTTTTCTCTTTAAATTTTGCTCCGATCTTATATACATACACTATGTTATCAGATTGAGCAACAGCTATCTTAGTTGAATCTGGAGAAAATTCAATTGCCCTCACTACATATGATTTCTATTGTGTCTTGTCTGAAGGCTTGGTAGGGAAATTGTCCTCTTTACCCAATTGATCATTGAATAATAATATTTTCTAATTATACATCAACATCTCTTACTCTATCAGCTGTACACACCCCAAGCTTTTAGCCGTTGTATGACCATGCTAGACCACTCACTTTTTGCATGCCATCCAATGCTGGCATAATATTACAGGAATACTTAAGTTGCATAATTTTAAAATATTAATGTTACTAATATCAAATAAATTATCGATTTTAAAATATTCAATCACCCTTATATTGCACTATTTCAAATTTAAATATTTACGCATATTCATGGATTATTATTCTTCCAAATTATCGTATTTATATGCTATAATCATTTGAACAAAAGTAAATTAGATAGAATATATATATAAGTAATAATATTTCAATATCTTCTTGCAGGGGAAAAAGAAATTCTTTAAGAAAAGTGCATTCTCTAAGGTGACATCAAGTATATCCTCGCTTCTCTTTGTAAACTGTATCTTAAAATCTAAGGCGGTCTTCCAGAAGAATAAACTCTAATTTATTCAAAATGGGGTTGCTTCTTAATTGAACTCCTGATTAGGGGATCAATTTTGATGGACCTATCTGGAACTTTAAAAAGGGGCTTGAGTTTTTTGAATTGATGGCATTAGTTTGATACTTATTTATTTTTATCAACAAAATTCAATTATGAAAATGCTAATTATCATGTTATGATACACTTTTCTTCATTTTCATGAGATATTTATTAAGGAGATTGCTCATCTTCCTAAGTCCTAAAATGAGCAGTACTATTTGATTCCTATATATCTGCATGATAGTTGCTTAAGTCTTAAGATAAAGATAACAATTTATCTTTAATTTTGAAAATCTGTTCTCTTAATGATTATTGCTCGTTTGCATACAAAAGGGACATTAACGAATAATTTTATTTATAATATTAAATATTTAACTAAATTTGTTATATCAGAAAATAGAAAAACTCCAACTTCTCTAAATCGTATTGTGCTATGCCTTTTTTACACATATAAAAGCTTGGTTAATAAATTAGAAGATTAAGTAGTCTTAATAGAAAGACAATGTAATTTGAATTTGAAGCTATTAACTTTGAAAATTAGTAAATTTTATGCTTAAATAACGAGAATTAAATTATAACTAATTTTGAAATTAATCTTTAGAAAATGGTATTCAAATAACTCTCAAAAGAGTTCAAGATAATATAGATAAAATGTAATTTATGAATATCAACAGGAATTATTGATTAGAAAACTTTATTTCTCTTTATTATGAACTGAAATACATTTCAATGAGAAGAGATTTCAAATAACCTATTCAGAAGAAAGTAGAATGAATCACTTAAATAGGTTAAAAATGGTTTATAAAGTATCAATTATTTTAATTGCTAATTCTATTATTAATATAATCTAAAATCAAGGGAATAATTATAGCTGATTTATTTACCAAAATTCTACAAATTTATTTAAAAATTTCCCAAGACTTTGAAGTGGTCTTAAGAATTAGGTATAATCAACTGATCATTTATTATAAAATTATTTATGAATTCATATATAGCATTATTGCATAATAAGATAAAACCAAATATTAATTAACAAAACAAATTTTATACAATTTAGAGACAGGTAGTTTTGGATATGGTACTTTTTAGCTCACAAATTTATATATCTCATCTTAATCGTAGTTGGACAGACCCAAAGAATCATAAACATTATCTTCCTGTCTCTCTTTATTTCATCAAACACCTACATTAATATTTGGGATATTTCTAAATACTTCAAAATGATATTTTATACTACGATTTCTTATATTAACAGCTTGCCATAAAAATAATCAATATATTATTACAAAGCATTTATAAAAATATTGAGCATTACTTCTTCCTTAAAGTGATTAATATTATTAAAATATATTCAATAAAAATTGAGTATATTTTTAACCTCGCAATATAATGATTATGATTTCTTTTGATAAATTGTCTTTAAGAATCTCTATTTATTCATTTAATTCTGTTGTTTTAACTTATGCTCTTTAAAATCCCTCCAATGTTATCTTAATTCATACTAAGTCATTTAATCGTTTCTTTTCATAATTTTATATTTATTATTTAAATTTCAGTGTGAGGATACTTTTATACATTAGTCTACAATAACCAAAAAATTCTTTACAATCTAGTTTCTGTAGCTCTTTTATGAATCATTTAGAATTATCATCATACAATTACAATTATCTTAGAAGTATATATAATGGGTTTGATAATATCAAATTATATCTTGAAAATTTTAATTAAGATATATTATAGATGTCTGTTATCTCAACAAAAAGAAATAATTGGATAATTGTAAATTCTATGCTTGTTGAATACTTACTTAAGCAAGCAAATTTTTCAAATTTCGAGATTAATTTAATATAAAATTAAAAGTTTATCATATTAGGGGATTTAAGGAAATCAAATAATATGATTGAGATGAAATGTTATTAAGAATTGGATTGAGATGTTAAATTAAAGAGTAGGAGATTTGACGAGAAAGTTCTGGTAGGACTTGAAGTAGTGAACAACAATAATACATTGGTAGAAAAGGAATTTAATAGGAAATGTAAGTTGTGAAAAATTTGAAAATAAATTTACTAACAAAGTTTATATTTTTCATTCAAATTAATACAATTACATGATATAGAAGCATTGTGTGGATGAGTGTTGTGACAAAGGTCTAATGATTGATGACAAGTGTAAGTGTGACATAGGATCGTTTGGCGATGATTGTTTTCTAAATTTGCAGGACATTTATGTTGCCCCTTATTATACTTTTGTGGGGATCTATTGTGTCGCATTCTTTTTGATATTATTCGTAACTATAAGACAATTTTAAACTTCTTTAAAGACTCAAAGAATTCCGTCTTATTATACGTAATTTCTGATGTTTGATATTTTAGTTGTTATTAATATGCATCTGCGTTGATTGGGTCCCCTCAGAATTACATCCTTGTGTTGACGATGGTGCTATCAACGTGTAAACTGATCTGGTTGATTCTGGATCCTTTCGAAGTCTATGTAACTAAATTTAGTCATAAAGCATATAGAAAGGGAATACAACGGTCATTGAAAGACTGTTGGCAGAAATCGTATACACGATCCTGTTCTATATCTACGGTTGCCTATTGATAGTGTGGTATACAATGTATGATGAGATTTCCTTTAACATCTATCAAGGAGAAGTGAAAAAGGAGAGGAAATGGATTTTTACATACTACAAGGAGGCATTGAAGATGCGCTTATTTATAGTGCTTTTGGTGTAGATAACCGTAAGTACGTTGAATGGTAAATTAGATAATAATGAAAGGTTTGAGGAAAGGAGTGTAGTATCCAATCTTCTTAATGATATGTTACATATTTTTGATGGCTAACTTCTTTTTGTTCATAATAGAATTTATAATCTATGGTTCTTCTTTGCAGACTTGCATAAAGGACTAGATCACTATATGTCGAACTTAGTTTCGAATGCAATTGTAAGGATTGGATCAAGCAATGCCATAGCAAGTGTAAAAGGAAGAGAGTCTAAGTAAGTCTCCCGAGTCGGTTCAAAGAATTGTGAGAATTTCTAAGTAGGTGAGTATTGAAGAACAGAAGAATGAATTGAAAGATGAAGTGAAATAGTTGGAGGAACCTAAGTTAAAGATAGGGCAGACAAAATTAAAGTCAGTATCATTTGCGCGTACATTTGTCAAAGGAATTAGGGGATCTTCATTTTTTAGATAGGAGAGTTAGAAATAATTGAAATCCAATAAGCCCAATCAATAAAATCAGGATTCAAATAGTGATTAATCTGCAAAGGATTTGGATAATTAGTTTAATGAGGAGTCTGCTGATGCCGAGATTAATAGTTGTTGTCTGAGTGAGAATTAGTCCAATTCTATAATTTGGGAGAATAAGGAGGATAGACAAGCTTATCAGGAGACAGTGAAATTGTAAATTAAGGCTGTTAAGGAGAGCAAGAATTCAGCTGACAAAAAAAGGGAAGCTTTACAATAATAATATCATTTTTAAAGATACAAAGAGCGACATGATCAGAAAAAGTTGAGTTACTTAGGAAGTGGTAGTCAATCGGATTACAGAACATCAATTTATTAGTAATCTGATGAGGATTAGGAGAAGTTTAATTTGAAATCAAGTAATTTAGCTATTGATAGATAAATATTGTATAAGATTTAGTTGCTGGTTTACTTTGGCATATTGTTGGAAATTCTATTTGGAGGGTTGAGCATAGCTGTGTTGGTCACAGACTTAATTCGAGATCCGATTGGAGTGTTGGGTTATTTGTATGCATCATCAACTTTGTAGTTCTTTTCCCTGATAACTGTGTTGAAATTGTTCAGAGACATCAAGAATCAAGAAATCAAGAATTTAATTTGGATTCAGAAGGTGGGAAATCAGAAGAACAAAATCAATCAGCAATATGTATTTTCAATTCCTTAGGAGTAGAAGGATGATGCTTAGAAACTCAAATTCGAACAAAGAATTAATATGAATACTTAATATTGATATTATTATGAAATAAGTGTATCTCTCATCTGATCAAATCATTTAACTTTTTGGGTCTGGAACACTCAAATACACAGAAGAAAATGAAGAGACTGAATCTGAGAGTGTAGTTCTGAGTAAGTTGCTTTTTTCACTCATTTTTTAGTCTCTTAACAAGAATACTTCATATTACAGAAACAATTAGAAAGGAAAGTGGATATGAAAGATAATTACAATGAGTAGATTAGTAATTTGAATGGGGAAATACAAAAAATATAGGAGGAATTGGATTTAATGAAGCAGTAAAGAGAACTGAGAAACTCTAGTGATTGTATGAGTTTGATTAAATTAAAAGCTTTACTTCACAGTTTGAGATAGCAGTTGCAGGAAGCCAATCAAAGAGAACACAGAACGATATTGGAATTGTCTAAATAAAATGAGTAGCAATTGTAGTTAAAATAATAATTTGATTTCATATAGGAAAATATAATGATCTAAAGAAGCTAAGCAAATTTGAATTAGACAAAAAAGATAAATAGATCGAATAACTTAAATAATCCATATATTTGTTGAATACTGAAAATGATAAAATTAAACAAAATGGGCTCGTTAAAAAAGAGATTACTTAGATATCATTGAAAAGTAATTGCAATATTGCACTTAGAAAAAGAACAAATTAATGAATACATAATATTTCAATGTTTAGAATCATTTATGTCCTAATTCGCTTTAGAAGGCCTCAAAAGATAAGAAAATCCAAACGATTACCTAAATATCAAAAAAAGTAGATTACTTGTTCACTCCAGAAGCACTAAAACGTAGATCAGTCTAAAGGCGAGTTCTTCTTCTTTCTGAGCTTCTTTCAGTCTAAATAAGTTATATTATTTCCTCTTTCTTAGTTTCATCAAACAAAAAGAATGAACAAACACTTTCAGTTTAATACGTGTATGTTTAATTGATAAATGGAAATAGCAAAGGACCCTATAAACCCTCATTGCCATTGATATCAAATTAATCTTCTTCCATTCTGAACTTCTTTTCCTATTTCATCTCTGTCAGTCTTCCTTACAAAAGAATGCCTGCTTAAAAGGATACACTAGTATAAGCTTAATACTTCTTGAAAACAACAAAGCTTAGGATATTTTCAATGATCTCCCTATCAACAAGTGAGAATATCTGTAACTCTTTTGGATAGAACCTGCTTAAACTGAAAATGCTGTCCCTCCATACAAAATCTTGCATATACAGACTCTGTTTATAGAGAGATACCATCAGTTCAATTTCTATCTGAATTACTTCAACCAAAGATGTTGCAACTGCTTAGGAGATGTATAAAGTTGATTCCAACACTATATGATGGCATGATAGCAATTAACTGATATCTTTAGAGATTGTATAGGTATTGCTTTGTGAACTTGTTTCGTTTACTCTTCCTCTTGTTATGATATAGAAATATCGAGCTAAATCGCCTTCTCTAAAGATGCATTCATCCTTATCAAACAAGAGTTCTTTTGATTGCAAAGCCAATTATTTAAGCAAATCATCGTTGAATTCACTAAAAAGCGGGAGAACTTTTAGTTTACTATGAATGGATATTTATGGCCAAATTGGTCTTATGTCTTCAACGTTACAGACAAAATTATTTAATTGCAACTTCAGTTTTTAATATTACTGGAACTAAGCATATTAAGTATTTATTTAATTACATCTAATTCTCCCAATTCATATTTTCTCAATAAATACTTGCCTTAACTTGCCAGACATCCTTGGGCTGAGTTCTTGGTTTAAATCAATTTGATGATTTCTGGAAAACTAACGTAAAAATATCCTTCTATAAAATTTTCAGCATTTACTCTATTTTCTTTGGATTCTTTGGATAATTTCTTCTTCAGAATGGTATTAATAGGAAACTCTTCTATCATATTTTCCATTTCTATTCTAACAATAATAATTTACCTTCATGTGCTCTAACATATGTAGATATGACCTCGTATCCAATAGCAACCCAATCAAATAAGAGATCACCTGAGAGTCTGCGAATAATGGGGAATTTGTTCAAAAAATACAAAAATCTCATATAGATTGGTGAATAGAAGACATTATAAATGAAATCCCAAGAACACATCCTGCCTTCAACTGTATCTAAATCCCACCTAACAGATTCAATTAGCAGATTGTAAGCCTTGCCTCCACATTAGTTTTATGAGTACAGATCCCAATATGTCTGCTTCAATGCCATCAAAAATCTATCCCTTGTTTCGATAATATCATCGGCATCAATATCATCGTCATTAAAATTATCTTGCAACCCTTTACTCTTTAGTAACTTTTAAAAGCGTCCGATGATACTTGATTCCTTCTCTCTTTTATGTTTATTCCCCTCTTCTAATTACTTCTTACTGAGTTTATCATCCTTTTATTGAATTTAAGTATTGGTTTCAGCCAATCCTGAAAAGTACTCCACCTTATTCCAATCTATGTTTTTATACTTATGGTCCTCCTTCATTTGAATTAATTTGAATTCGATCTACTCCTTCATCTCCTATAAAAAGTTCAATCTCACTTTGGCTCTATACTAAGCGGTGGAGCACAACCCAGTAAACTTGATGTACAACGGTATGGTTGAACCATTGATCAACATAGTTAGTATTACAATAAAGGTAGTATGAAATAGAAAAATATCACTCCATTAATCACTGAAAGACGGTTCTTTAACTACGAGCAAGGCTAACATCAATTATACAGCACCTCTTGTACCACTATAGGAAAAGAGTATAGCCTCGCTCATTTTGACTTATTATCCATATAAATTGATAGTAGGTAGGAGTAGCAACACACTAATGAATTTGGATAACAGTATGTATAAGTAGAGCAGGAGAGTATTGATGTAATCTTGTCTTCTTATATATGGACTGTTTTGGTCGAATATTCTGTATCCGCAAGTGACGCCTGTGATGATAAAAATGATAGTCTCATTTGCAAATTGAGTGTATTACCAAAAGATTTGCAATGGGTGTTCCACTTCTGTTCTTATTCTGATTTTTGAAAATGCAGACATAAACAACCCCAAAGATATGACTGCAACCAATCCATTTTTTTTAAACCCCAAATCTACAGATTCGGCCACAAAGTATGTTACATAGGCTGATACTATTGTGAGATTGATAGTTAATATTGAATTGTGGTTCACTCTTCTTATCCACCAAACAGTGAAGAGTCCAAACATTACACCAACAAATGCTCCTCCCAATAGCAAAGATACTCCATATGACAATTCTACTGTAAGCAAATCACAATCTCCACTTGCACAATTCACTGCAATCAGCATCAATACCATGGAGGCACAATTGTTGATTAGACTCTCGCCCTAAACCAAAGATATGAATCTTTTTGGAGCTTCAGCGTTACTTAATAGTTTTACTACCTGAAGTGTGTCAGTGCATGTTACCACCACTCCAAATACAAATGCGAATCCCCAACTGTAATATTCATCACTATAATTCAGGAGCAACTTCAATCCCAAGCAAATTAGAGATGCTGAAATGAGAAGGGTCGGAATTGAGAGCATCAATATTTGCATTATCTGTTGCTTCATGATATAAATATCTGCATTGAAGGCACTGCTGAACACTAAGGCTGGCAACAGCAATGCCATGTTGGAATTCGCATCTATGTCGAAGGCTGCCTTAACTGTCCTATGCAGTAAATGATTCTCTATTGAATTAAATTGAGATCCAATCAATATACCCACCAGAAATACTGCAGCAGGATATGGAATCATAATCTTCTTTGTTATTTCACTCACTAATCCTCCTATTGTTAAGGCGATAAAGATGAAAAAAATAACTATTGCTATTTATGCCACTTCCAAATGTTCTGACATCTAATTTTAAGAAATATTATTGTTTAAATTTAATATATACATTTATATCAGTTTTATTAATTAATTAATTTCAAACGCCATCCAAAAAGAATCACTACTAATGACCCTGCAGCAACATTTCCGATCGCCTTACAATTCTCCATAACCCACATTTCAAATGCTTATATCATGCCATTTGCGAACTCCCAATAATTCACATCCAAAAACTATTCAATTCCACTTTGATCTATTTGCCTATAAACGTTAACCCAAAAATCCAATATTTAGACTTAAACAGTGACAGGCGCTATCGGAATTAAAGAGTAAGCATTAATTGACAACTCAAATATTTCTGCAGATTTTGTTCTATTCATTATCACCCCCTATCCCAAAGCATACATCAATCCTAAATTAAAGTACACATGACCCTTCATTGCATCCATCAATTAGCCTTCCAATGCTTTTTTGTAATGCTGGAATGACTTCTTGAAATCCACCTCCTCATATTTTCCATTGTAGTAATAATCTCCTAACTTCATATGACAAATTGCTTCCCTCTCCTTAGCACATTGCGTAAGGAACCTATATTATAATGCTCCATTTAAATAAAAACTATCTAGTTGCAATAAGTCATAAAGAGTGGAGTAATTCACAAATTTTAAATAATCCGAATACAAATATTCAAATGCATCTTTATTAGCAACACCCCGAATTTAATAAACAGGATCTCTATCGAGTCTACTTTGAACTTCACTGAAGTGTAGAGTATCATAATAGAAGGCATCATTCTATTCCATCACAACGGCAGCATTCTCTAAAAGGTATTCAATATGCATTTACATATAGCCACATTAAATCCACTATATCCAGCTTCAAAATATTTAGACAATGATTAAGCATATTACTCCTATTAGAACAGATAGTTAGCTGTTTTTAGTGTGTCAGCCCAAGGACCTTTAGATGATGAAGCATGCAATAGAGTGGCAGCCAAATCGCAGGAGTAAAATAGATCTACCCCATCAAGTAGTATTAATGCTAGACTATATTGAGCCATGGCATGTCCAGTTACGGCTGCCTATTCAATCAATTAAACTCCCTTTTATTGATTGCGTTCTCTTTATATTGTAGAGGGCAACATGTACAAGGATCCAAGATTAAATAAACCATCATTGTTTTGAAGGTCTGCTGCTTCTAAGGATTGTAAATTGTAATATAATACTTCGAAAACAATCTTAAGCCTTTATGATGTCCTTTTGTACTCCCAATCCCTAGTAATACATATAACCTAAAGCATTCTATATTCTCCCCAAAAAATCTTAGTTTTTTGTTTCAATTTTATTCAAAATCTAAAAAGCCAATATGTAATTTGGTTCTTCGACTCCCAAATTTTCAATATGCATCTGAGCCACTTTGATGCCAGATTCCTTGTCATTTAATTAATCATATAATTTGTAATATAATTGATATGCCTTTGCAAAGTTACGTCTGAGCCCATTCAATCCGTAGTAATAGTTATAGGCTAATTGTTTAACTTCAATAGCCGATTCATAGGTGATGATATTCAAATTCTCGAATATTTGAGCGTGTCCAAAGATGTCCAACTCGTGGTTCATATAGAAATTGCTGTCATACAAGACTTTGGCTACTTGCCTGTTCTCACTTATGTATTTGGCTTTGATGGGTGTATTGGCCACTTCTTCCAACACTGACAAATAAAACATGGCAGAATTTGAGCAATTCTGATTGACTCCAATTCCCTTCCAATATCTAAAAGCTATCGCAACGCCACTCTACTGAAATCCTTAAATTGCAGAGAAGTATAAATCAACCAAAGAGATGCTCTGATACTTCTCCTTAACGTACCGATAGAATTTTGTTTCTGGGTTTAGCTTACTTTAAAGATTGTAAGAGCCATCTAAATTTAAATATGTCAATAATGACAAATAAAATTGAGAATTAATGTCACCTAGATCAGACGACCTCTTAAAGTAATAAAGAGCCTAATTTCAATATGATGGCTTTACCCTTGCAAAATCTATTGAATTTTCATTTTCTAAACCATAAAAGATATACTGCCCATACATCCTAAAAAATTTGGATTGATATTGCCTGGGTATTTCATTCTTAAATTCGTTTAGTATTTATTTGAATGTATATTAACTTTCACTTGACGATTACTCAATATGGATTTCCCATTCCTTCAATAATTCAATTACATTGTTTTGAGCGCATACGCCTAATAATAAAGTTAATATAATCATTTTAATAATATTGGATAATATTATCAACCCTTCATCAAGCATTTTAGACTCCCTTTACTAAGATATTGCTTAGATTTCTCCAGTTGAGTGAATAAAACTACTGAGGACTGCTATCAAGGAATTATATTCAACAAGCTGTGACATTTTTGCTTTCTTATGTTCCTCAAAAAATGAATGCTAAACATATTCAAAGGACACTGGATTAGAAGGGAATATAGATAGAAATAATGGATTGCGGGAGTTTATGAATCTAAATTATATAAAATTGTAATATATTTTTGAGTCAAACCATCATGTAATTATTTCGAAATCATCATTTTCGTCTGTAACTTAGTAGAATTGCTAAGAGTATGTCATATCATCATCCTCCTCCTCATTATTTATGATTTTCTCTCCAGTCAACCCAAGTATTTCAAAATCAATTGTCATTAGTAATCTGATCCCATTGCTTATTGACTCCTCGTAGGCCAAGATATTAAAGGCAACCTATGAATCCTATGGTCCATATAAGATTCTATTTGGCCAGCTTTTGGATCCATTTCTGGGCAGGAAACTAATGTTTTATTCTTGGTAGCTTTTCAATATCTAGGATGTTTAAAGACACTAGCATAACTAATCTTTTAAAAACAATTAGGGGATAGGGTCCTTCTTATTCTTATTGCAAAAGTCTTCAATCGATTCCTCGATTAATATTTGCGAATTGCAGATCCCCCCGAGAATCTAGATGTTAGCATTCGCACTCTTATTCTTAATCTCTTCAATTATCGTTTTTTCATACATCAATAATTCTTAACAATTAACATTCAGGTTGACAACTTAAAATAGCTGATCCTCATAACTAAAATTCTAAACAATTCCAATTTCTCTATCATCCTACTTTATAATGTAATCCTTGAAATCTGCATTTTAAAGACATTATTTCGTGAATATGAAACTGTATTATTTTTCCTATAAGCCAATAGTATGATCATTACATTCTAACTAAAGAAGGCGCATTCATATTGCCCTAATTAAGATCGAATTGTGGATTGCATCTAATCTTTGATATAATTGCAAGGCTAACATTGCTTCACGATGTTCTGAAACAGTACTATTATGAATTATGGTATTCTATAAAATGTGGTAATTAATGTTACTATCTAGAATCAATTAAATGAAAGAAATCCTTAATCGTTTAACCCTTAGCATCATACCCGATAACCATTAACAATAAATTTTTGTGAATGATGGGAGATTGCTATTGCATTTATTCCACTATTCCCAAAAACTATTTATTTAAATGCTGATTCTCTCCGACTATGAAAGAATAAATGCTCTGCTTCTCCTCGTCTGTGACATTCTAGTTGTAAAATCTAACATCTAAGGGGAATAATAATACCTCTGGAATCCTTTTAAGCCATGTTCGATCATACCAGTCCAACTACTCCCTCCTGTCTTTTGGATTTTGGTCGTTGAGGAATTGGTACCCGCATAGATTCTGGAAATATTATCTCCACTCTCTCCCCATAGAATCTTAATCAATTTAATGAGATCATGCACCTTCTCTTAATCTGACTTACATTTTAATACACATATTTTACCAAATCTAAAATGGTTTCGCATTTAAATTCCTTCGGTATATTGATACAAAGATCATTCAATATAAGATTTGTAATGAAAAAGGCGATTTTAGTTTAAAAGACATTAGTTCTATCCAAACAATCCAAACAATTGGTTCTTACAACCCCATTCTAGATATTCACTAATTTAAGAATCAAAATACATACATAACTTTCCATTCTAAAATTTAGTGTAGGATTAGGAGTTCAAGATTTCTTTATTTTAAATAATTAGAGGATTGAGTTTTTCAAACTTATAGTTTTTGCAGTATTACTTAAAATCAATTTGCTAATGCTGGATTTAGGGTAGATTGAGCATATTGATCATTCTAAATATTAAACAATATAAGTACTCTTTATAAGTTTGACTAATGATTGCCTCATTCGGTTTGTCAACAGCCATCAGATCAATCAATAGAAGTGACCCGAAATATTTCTTCAAATTCATCAGGTGTTTCGTTATGGCCATTTTTGTCTATTCAGTATTTGATGTGATTTAGGATATTGCACGAATACCTATCTACTCCCAAAACACTGGAACAGACCCTCTGATTTACAGATGGCAATACAATTTCTCTTAATACTCAACTAATTGTTCTGTTTCCACTGTGTTTGCAGCTGCTCCCTCAGCATTTAATCCTCTATGATTGTAACGAGTGCCTCCTCTTAGAGTTTCTCTTCGCGAAATTAAAATATAGGTCAGCTTCTGTTTTTATTAGGTCTTGATTTCGCACAGTCCCAACCCAACATAGCCTTGTATTATTTTGATGCACCAACACTTTGGAATTGAATTGGCCAAAAAGGTTTTATAACCATGAAAATTCCACCAAAATCTCAGACTCCTTTCACTTTATTCAGGCTGATGTTATTATGACAATGGGATGGTCAAATCATATTACAATGAGAAATAGGTGCATTTACTAAAATAGTTTTCAATATTTTTAATGCTTTGTTACTCCATGGAAGAAAATTGATTCTATAAAATATTTGATACCGTAATTATTTCATAGATCATTTAACCATTTATTTTGCAAACTTCATTTGCCTCAGCAATATAAAGTAGGTTAAGTTTGCCATAAAATCTATACACCCCTACAATTCCAAAAATTCCAATTTCTTATTAGATTGATTCAATCATTGGCGAATTGACCTAAATGGTAAATGTTTATTTATCAATTGTGAGGGACTTGTCAAATCCACAAATATGAGGGTCTGGTACAATCTTATTTAGATCAATCTAATACATGAATTTTGTCTTAACTTATGAACATTTTCATTGGTTTTATCATTTTAATTAAATTTCTTTGATTTTTTTCTTAACTTTCTCATTAATGAAATCAAATATCATTCTATGAAAATTGTGAGATGGTAGAAATATATATATATGCAATAATAAATTTTAGTATTTGAAATATAAATTCTAGATCATCTAAAAAAGGACTATCAGAGTAAATAACACAATTACATGCTAAAGACTTTGGGAGCAGGAAATCCTCTGCTCTGGGTCTAGTTTCAGCAATTTTAATATCAGATCCAAGCCGTCTTGATCTATCAGGTCTTGTAGTTTATGTGTAATGCTGCTGTCAAATTATAGTTGTAGTTCAGAATCGGCAAGATTCTAATTTCGGATGTAATACTTACAACGGTCTAAAATGATTGAGCATTCGGGATGATCAACTTGACTTGATGGATCTCATTCTCTCCTTGAAACAAAGGTTATTTGAGTAGTAGTTCAGCAAAGACGCATCCTATGGCCCACATGTCTATAGCTGTGGAGTAATAATTTGAACCCAACAATAATTCCGGAGCTCGATACCATAAAGCACAGACATTGGAAGTGAAAAACTATGGACACTTTTGAAATGCTCTGGCACTGCCGAAGTCACCGATCTTAAGAGTTCCTTATTTCATCAAAACAGACACCATACCATCCTCTTAAATTAGTATATTTTTTGGTTGTATATCTCTGTGTATACAATTTAATCTATGACATGCTCCAACTCCTTATAAAATATCATGCATAAATTTCTATTCTAGCAAATGCATTACTTTAATTAATCCCAGACTTAATCTGTCCTTATTCTCACCCAAGTATTGTTACAGATCCAATTTCAAGTACTCCATTATCACTCTTATTTGACCATGTATTTTTTCAACATCAAGGATTCTAAAATATACTGATTTTGAACTACTTGACTACATTTTTATGTTGAATGCGTTGTAGGAGCGATGTTTCTCGTAAGGCTGTTACAGGCACTCCAACCGAAATATCCTTCTATAATTTGCCTCATAATACATAATTGCGTATTTTCTTTACTGCCACATATTAATCAGTTCCTAAGACTTTGGCTTTATAAACGTCACCGTAGAGACCCTAACCAATTTTAGTAAGCAAATGATATTTAGATAGTGGTATTTGTGACATTTTGGGTTTTAATTAATAAATGGTTGATTATCAAAAAAACAATAGTCTTTTATCAAGCACAATATATTTGACTATTTTATTTTGATATTTAAATTGTTAAATATGCTCGAAGATCACTTGGCTGAAGCATTGCATTTATTGAAAAAATAACCGCAACATCGATGCAAAATGGAAATCGATCTATTAGTTCATCTTACTTAAGAACTTCCCTTTTTTAAATAATATTACAAACAAGAAAATGGGTTATTAATTCATCGAGAATGTTGCAAGCACATGTTTGTTGAACGGTTCTTAGCCACTGATATTGTATTTCATGTCGGTATGGAGACTCTATTAATAATGAAGATTCGATTGGTACTAAATTTTATGTGATTCTGGATGGTCAAGTGGAGGTTTTGATAAAGAGAAGAGGGTATGAGGAATTGGAATCTGTAAGAATTCTGAGACAAGGAGAATCTTTTGGAGAGTTGGCTCTCATTCATCGATAACCTAGATTAGCAACCATACGTTGTGTGACTGATTGTTGCTTTGCTGTTTTAGATAAACAATAGTTTTAATAAATTTTACATTATGAGCAAACAAAAAAGATCGAACAAGTAAATCCAATTATTTTTATCTCCTAGAATGTTGATTATTTTTCTTAGATTTCAATATTTAACCAACTTAATAGAGCTCAATTAACCCAAATCTATTTGAATTCATTTCTCTATGAATACGAAAAGAACTAAACTGTATTACAAGAAGGAGACAAATCCGACAGTTTTCTCATTGTCAAGGCCGGTCTATTTTAAGTGCGTAAATTCATGAACAAATCACATCCTCTAATAGTAATCAATATCCCCCATCATCATAGTTATTTGAAATTGGAGAATTGTAAGTATTTGGATTTTACCATCTCTTTAATAAGATCCCATACGAATACTCAATTCTTTGTCTCAGTCCTAAAGGGCAAATTTACAAAATACACAGAACTTCTTTGATTGAGAAGATATTTGAAGGACACACTTAGGATTTGGAAAAACATATGTAAGAAATTAATTCTTATGTCCATTTTAAAGTTCATCAAGAACAGAGTACTCATCTTAAATACCCCAGATATTTTCAAATAAAAACATCATGTGAGTAGGACAAAGAGATCCCAGAGGAATATGTAAAGACTATTAGAAATAAAGAATCTAAAAATGATAACCATAAAAGTAGAAATCAATTAATCAAACAAAAGATGGATACAATGATAGAACAATCCAAGAGAAAATTGGGACCGAAATCAAATATCCCAAGATTTAATAGTTTATTCGAAATATTTCTCAAATCTCACAAAGGATTAACAACTGAAAATTAAAGACAAAACAGTCCACCCTTATTAGAAACCCCAACCAGATAAATCGGAACTAGTAGTCATTTAATTCATAATGAGGAATAGCATAGTCCCTTCATCACTTTCAGAAGTAGCAGTCCTATTATGATGAACAAAGGAAAGCAATTCCCAATTCTTAAATTATCTAACAGTTAGAGAACAATAGTGAAATCGAGCAATCATTATAATTCCAAGTTCAACTTCTAAGAGTATTGCAATTTAAAGTAGATGTAAACATAGAAAAATGGTTTATCCTTAAGTCCCAATATAATGAAACTGAAAGTACATAAATATTGACTCTTTATTATATAAATGTATATTGTAAATTATCTACATATAGTTAATGATCAGAATGAATTATTTAGATATTGAATTAATTATGTTTTTAGTATTATTTATGGAGAGTCTTTATGTGCACATTAATATTCATAAATATAAACTTCAACTCTCTTTGTATCAATTTCTTCATCATCATTATATTAAAAGCATATTTTAAATATATCTTTCAAAATTTTTATTGCTGATATTATAAATCCTAGGGTCCTAGTATTTTTACAAGTTTAAAAGACATGTATTACTTGAATGAAAACTATTAATAAGGCAATTATTCATAAGTAAGTTACGAAAAAATTTAATCTATTATTTACTAAATATTGCCATTCTTTTATCAATAAGTTTTATTCTCATTAAAGTAATTTAATTTCAAGAATTGAAATGTCTTAATTAGTGATATTTTAATGATAGGACTGCCAAAATACTCATTTTCAGGGTAATCTAAGTTTATACTACATCAATGAGTAATCCTCAACTGAGTAAGTGCCATTACAATATAGTAGTGCTCTATATAATTTCCAACACATTTTAATTATGATTATTTAGAAGGTCCATGATCTCAAAAAATAATAGTTCTGTATTGCAGAAGAGATTGCATTAAGAACTATATTTGAAGTAACAAATTGTTTGATCAATTCAAAGTTACAATCCAACCACTTACTTTCTAATTACATTTCAATTATTTAAAATTCCCAATCAATCTCTGTCAGAATAGAGAGTATAGAAATTATGCCCCACTCTATTCATTATAATTAATCTCCTGGTGTTCTTGCTCATGCTCAACAGATTTGGGATGCCTGAGAAATTTTATTAAATTCTTCATTTTGACTCATTAGAAAATATCATAATTTGTAATATTATAGATCAAGTGTTTCAATTAATTTAATTGGTGATGTCCATGTTCGATTTATTCAAATTTCTATAATTAATGATCAGTATATTTAAGTTTTCAATTCAATTTTTCAAAATACATATTAAATATGATAAAAAAAGACCATAAATCGCAATTCGCAAGATAGCCGTCCCTTGGGAAAACAGAATTTAATAGCGGATCCAAACAAAATGATGAATAAGTAAAATACATTCTAGCTTAGTAAGCTCTGGAATCACATCCTTAAACTATGCTGTAATCATCACTTTTAGATTTTGTAAAAGCATATAATGGTCCTTCTGATGATGATGTGCAGAGTGAAAATAATTCTGATGAGGATTCTCCCTCTAACAATATTGATTTTGCTCAAGTTTACAGCCACGAAATGATAATGCATGAACCCAATATACCTCGATCCTAACCTTCGGAGTAAATCGAAGAGCAAGACCAAGAGAATCAATACATTATAAGCAAGGACACCACCTATCTGAAATAAGAGAATTAGATGATTTTGAAGCATCAGCCTTAAACCACCCAATTAACGAGCATTGAGCAAACACAAAGAACAGAATAAGGATTATTGGAAATTTTTAGTAAAAGCGCTAACCGGAAAGTAGTTCCCGAATCTATTACAAAAACTTAAACCTCGACTCCATAATAATTTTATTAGTCTACTATTTATTAGAATTTCTCAACTTTTTCCTAGATTTTACTGTTGCATGTATTCTCATATATGAGGAAAGTGCAGCAATTGATTTCGGAATAGAGTGTGAAATTGGGCATATTCCATCTTCCAGTCCAAGACCAAGAGGATACAATATAACCCAATTACCAAAAGGCCAAAAAGCTATTTAATCTTAAAGTATTTAATCCCTTAATATTTAGATTTCGGAGTAAATTACCTCATTATCATTATTTCGAATCTTCTTCTTCGGAGATAATAAATGGTTAACTTTCAAAATTGTCATGTTGGCTATGAGTGAAACCTATTCCAGATTTGTAATGGCCATTCTAACCCAAACTCTCATAGCCGCAGTCAAAGACGGAAACCAGAACAGCGCTTTCTACCAAGCACTTGCCCTCGGTATTTTGTCACTGGTAGCCCTATTAAGCAAGCATTATTAACTGTACATCATTTAAAGTATTCACATACTAGATACACCATCAACAATTTCTCAACAAAAATGAGGATGATCTTAACTAACTTTGTTTTTGATAGGATTCTAGAAATGAAAGCATATGAGATTAAGGAATTCAGTGTGGGAAACATCATGAACCTAGTGAGTGGTGATATAAATGCAATTGAATTTTAATTGAATTTTGTATATGCCATAGCCATAATCCCAGGTTCAATCATATTTGCCTCAGTCATCCTATGGGTAATCAATTGATTTTTATGTAGTTAAGATTCAATGGACCGATAGGATTGATTGCAATTCTAATTTGCATCATCATCTACCCTTTGCAAGTTTTGATCCAAAAAAGTGTTCAGAAAGTCTTGACTCAAGTTAAACTCAAGTAGGACAACAGAATATCCTTCTAAAATCAATTAATCGAAGGCATAAGACTCATCAAAATGTATGTGTGGGAGAAGGCATTCTAAGATAAAATTTAGGCAATTAGGAGACAAGAAGTTATCAACTATTTTAAAATTCACTTCCTCAATTTAATTGATAGATCCTTTAATTACAGTGTTCATATCTGGGGATCGTATCTATTTTTACTGATCATCTACTTCAACGATATATACATCGATGTTTCCTCAATAGTTGGAACCATCTAATTGATGTCTATGATCAAATATTATTGCGTGTTTTAAGTGTCATATGCATTTCAAGCTTTCATGAATTTGAATGTTATTTTCAAAAGAGTGGTGGCAATAATGACTTCAAATGGGTCCAGCAGTGAAAAGAAAAGACTTTTGTTGACAAATATTGAGACTCCAAATTAGGTTATCAGAAAGTCCAATACAATAAATGTGAATGGCAAAGTCAACTCATCTAAATAAATAAAGAAACAGAGTTGTGTTATCAAGAGAGTTCCGTATGTTACAATGGCAGAAGTGAATCTTAGATGGAAGCCAAGATCATTCCCAGTTTTATCAGACTTAAATTTGGAGGTGTTTCCAGGACAACTAATAGGATTGATAGGCAGAGTTGGTTCTGGAAAGACTACTTTGTTGTAGTCTATTTTGGAAGAATTGCCTCAAATAGATGGAGAATTCTATGTAAAAAAGAAGCTTAAAATATCGTTTGTTGAGTAGGATCCATTTATATACACTGGAACTGTGAGAGAGAATATTTTATTTGGCAAAGAATTTGAGCATGAATTGTATAGGAAAGTGATGCAAGTTTCGTGTTTAGATTAAGATGTCTTATCATTTTAGGATGGAGATAAAACTCAGATAGGAGAAAAGGGTGCAAATTTATCAGGAGGACAAAGAGCTAGATTGAGTTTGGCAAGGGCTCTTTATGCATTGCCTGATTTATACTTGTTCGATGATCCATTATCAGCAGTTGATGCCAAAGTGGCAAGGAAAATATTCACTTATGCCATAAAAGAATTCATATTTAAATTCTAACCACAATATCAATAAGAAAAGAATACTAAATTTCATCAATAGTATCTGCCTTCAATTCCAGCCGTGATATTGTCAACCCATTAAATACAATTTGCTTTGGAATGCGATTATGTTATTATTTTAGACAAAGGCACCATTGCAAATCAAGGAACTTACAAGTAAGTCAAGGAAACCCTAGCCTTATTTAATTCTGATATTGTTGAACCAGTGAAGAAATAATTAGTCAGAAAGTAAACTAGATTAGCAACTCTATTAAACAAGCAATAAGAAAAAGTAGAAAAGAAAGAAATAGTCCAGTTGTTTTCAAAAGAAGAACAAAATCAAACTGATGCTGGATGGACAACCTATAAAAGATACTTCAGCTATTGGTCTCCTATCTTTTTAATCTTCATTATTATCGGTCAGAATGTGGCTACTGAAATTATCAACAACTATTATTACAGAGAAATGGCTTTGTATGATGAAACAGACAGAGAGTCTAATAACTAGCTATTCCTCAACGCTGGACTCTTAGTTTTGGCTGCTTACTGCAACAACATAGTGAAGTATTTCTTAAATATCATTGGAGTCCTTATTTCTAATAATAAGATTCATAATGAAATGCTCTCAAGATTGATACGAGCACCAATATGCTACTTCGACACTAATCCATCAGGGAGACTAATTAATAGATTTTCTACTGACTTATCATTGGCAGATAACTAAATTCAATAAATTATTACTGATATCTTCGAATAAGGATCCCAATTCCTTGTTTCCCTAGTCACAATAGCCATTTTGCAACCGTTCTTTACTTTTCCATTGGTGTTTACCATAAGCATGACCATAATTATTTTTTCGATTACTCGATCAGTTGTGTCCTAATTGAAGATTTGTGACTTAATTTAAAGATCCCCCTTATTCGATCAATTTAAGGTTTGTTTATATGGAATTACCTAAATAAGAATAAATAAAAATAAAGATTGGATTAGAGAGTAGTTCTATTAACTATGCAATTAATCAATGTAAGCCAATTTAATATTTTCTTATTCCCAGAGATGTTTTGGATTTTACATTGATATTTTTGGTTAATTTACAAACATAGCTGGTATATTTCTTATAATTGCCATGATTGAAGATCCTACATTGTTTTCGTAGGCCCTTTTATTGCTGTCTACATTCAACACTCAAGCTGGTACACTAAGATAATTCATGGCCTTTGATTCCATAATGAACAGTGTGAATAGAATGTTTGAGATATGCGATATTTAATTGGAAGCTTAACTGACTCAACAAATTGATGATGAATTATCAGTAATAGGTTGGCCTGAGACAGGAACGATTTAATTCTAGAAAGTCGAGATGCAATATCGTCCAGACATGCCTTTCATATTAAAGGGCATGAGTTTTAAAATCGTGGGAGGTGAAAAGGTGGGAGTTGTCGGTAGAACAGGTGCTGGTAAATCCTCTATAATTTAGGCTCTTTTAAGAATGGCAGAAATAACTCCAGATGGGTATATTATAGAAATTAATTTTAGAAACATCTTTATAGACAATTATGACATCAGAGAAATAGGATTGGCCAAACTTAGATCAGAAATTGCTATCATCCCTTAAGTGCCATTTCTATTCAAAGCCACCATCAGAGAAAACCTGGATCCCTTGTACTTATTTGATGATTCAAAAATTTGGAAAGTTCTTAAAGATACTGGGTTGCAAGATTATGTGTTAGATCTTCCAAATCAATTGTAATCTGAAGTGTAGCCTGATCTATTTTCAATTGGTTAGAAATAACTTATCTGTTTGTCTAGAGTGTTGTTGAATAAGAAGAAGATTTTAATTTTAGATGAAGCCACTGCCAATGTAGACATGGCTACAGATGCCTTCATTCAAAGCACGATCAAGGAGAAATTCAGCGATTGCACTATTATTACTATAGCTCATAGACTCAATACGATTGCCGATTATGATAAGATTCTTGTGTTGGAAGAGGGGAAAGTCTTAGAATAAGGTCATCCTTTTGAGCTATTAGTTACAAATCCAAGAACTTCTTAGGGAATAGACAAAGAGTCTGTCTTTGCTATGATGGCTATCTAGACAGGAGTCAAAAATGGTTAGGCAATTTTCGAATTAGCTAGAAAAGCTTATTTATAACACATTCTCAGAAAGGAATACAACCATGTTAAGACTATTATTTAATCGGCTAAGCAGAGAAAATCAGAATTGCTTTCATAAACATCTCTAATTCACGAGTAAAAGAATTTGACTCCTTTTAAGAAAAGTAAAGAATGATAATCATTTTAATAATTTATATGTAATTATTTCAAGTTAAATTATGCTTAATTATAATTTATTTCAAAGTTCTATCAAGTTGATTGTCTAGGAACAATGAAGTCTATGGCATCAACAATATAAACTTAAGTACTAATTTAAATTCCTGGTAGTACATTTAAGTAACCAAGTGATACATAATTCCAATTGATAATATATAAAATATGATTGCACAAATGTTGATAATCTAAAATTACGCATGATTTGTACCAATATTGAATCAATCAGGTTATTCGTAAATCGCACAAGTTCATCCTAAAATTATGCTTTGATATTCGAAACAGCATCATAACTGATCAGTCCGATCTCAAGTTATTCATTAAGTGAATATTACTAAACACTGAAATTCTGAGAATTCTTATATTCATTAAGCAATTCATTCCTAACAGTGTTTAAGGAGAGTTGAAACCCCCTTCTAACAACACCATCATAAACAGCATCACAATGCATCTATGCACTCTCTTTCTTAAACTAAATGAAAAATAAGAACTAATATTACATCCGGAAGAAACTCACAAACATCATTTTGCATAAGCGATTCGATCTTATTTATGAATGCATCTGATGTTATCAAAGTGGATGGATCAAATTCTGACATCTAAGCCAGAAATTCATTTATCGTATCGATGTGTTCGAAAAATACTTTAATAAAATAAGCAGTGTCTTTAATGAAAAAGAATGCTTATTAATCTTTGACGGACACAACATAAATGATTTGTCTTACGCTAAAAACTCCAGTTGATGCAATACTGACATCACATAAGGTATTGAAGAAATTTGTAGTATCTGGATATTTGGCAAAATATGATTCTCCCAAAGATGTCGATACGAAACATAAACCAAAGCACAATGCATAGATAGTTGAATATACTACTAATGATGGTATTTTTGTAGTTTTCTGATCAAAATTTAAATTAGTTGCTTTCTGCTTTTATTTATGTGCCTTCTAATTTTAAGCTATCTTTTCCTTTCTTATATCTTCAGCAGCTAAGAACTTCTCTTTCAAATCAATATCGAATTGATATTTGAACAAAACATCGGAATCTTTGATTACTAAAGAGGATATGCCTTTGTACCTATCAATATCTCTTTAAACCCATACTAATTCCAACATTGAGAATAACTGAATAAATTGATCATACTATTGTAAATAGAAGCCATGGAATTTAACAATTATTAGCAAGAGCAGAAAACCTATGATCAATATCGGAATCATTAAAGACATCCATTTATCCTTTACAGTCTTTGATCTCTGCACTGAATAAGACAACATATCCTGATTGACCATAGTTAATTAGTCATAAAAGGTTTGATAATTTCCAAACAGATACACAAAAAATCCAGACGTAGGATCCAAGGAAGTAAATATGTTTAAATAATCTAACAATACAAATTAATAGGCTGCTTCCAAGGAAAGGTAAATAGCCTCTCTTGCTGATACATTTCGATCAGATGTAGTTGTTTACTCAGATTGCATAATGGTAAAATTCTTATCCTAAAAAAAAGGATTTAAGTATTAATTTGATAATTGCTTTATATAGCTAGCCTTCAACTCTTCGTAATTGTAACTTATATCATTTTTTGAATATTCTAACTTTGTAGCTGCAGTCGATGCATTCATCAATCCAATCATATTCAAAATTGCATAATTCATAACTGCATTTTAAGCCACAATGTAATTATCGATTGGAGCTACTATGTTCGATTTTATTTGAACCATGTCCAGTTCTTACAGAAATCTATTCAAATCATCCGACGAAAATATCATTTAAACAATTGAAAAAACAATGAACAACACAAACAAAGTTGTTAAGAATATTCTAGCCAAATAATAATTCATTGAGAATTTCTCAGAAGTGACCAATTTCTATATCAAATCATATTTTTTAGAATACTTCGACTTTTTAAATGCTGCAACTGAACTTACTTATGATCCAATATCATCGATTTAAATAACATTTTGATCCTATTCTTCCAATTACATTTACATTTTGATATTCTCTTATAATTCTTGATCAATATCTTCCAATTATAGTTTATCAATCTAATTTTAATGTTTAATTTCTTTCTCATTATCATTTATACTTTCTTCCTCTGCATTCGATGAGGCATCCTTTTAATCGACTGCTGAAAAAAATTATTATCTAGCATCATGATTTCTTCGACTATTGCTTTCATATAATCCTCCTTCATTACTTTTTGCATCTATCAATTTTTAACCCGCATCCTTGGGGCTCACTAATGAAACATTTGGATAAAATGACTAACTCTAATTCTTCTAATTTTTAAATGCCCTTACACCAAATTAAGCATCACTCTCTGATTGATCCTAATCAAAATTCATAAGTTAATTCTGATTTTATGTTTAATCAAATTCTAATGCTCTTGGAATATTAGCATAAAATTCATCTTATTCAAAAAATTCCAAATCTTCAAAATCTTCTAAATTATCTTAATAGTAAGTTTAAGATGCTCCTGGTGTTGGAGTAACATTTTCGGTTTGTTATGGTGTGCTAAAACTCTTCATATATCTTTTAGCCTCTCTAATTTCTACTATTACATAATTACTAGATGTATCTTATTTCAACTTTCTATAATGAAATACTGCATCTACAACAAACTATTAACAATTTGTTTCATTATCCCAATTGTACTTTTGATTCTTAAGCAAACTATCAATCTCTGGTAAAACCATATGGATTTAGTACTCACTCTAATCCATTATATCTTATTCATAATCATCATTTTCATATGAAAATTTAGTAGCATTCATTTCCATAACCGTTTACAATTTAGGAAAGATTTTTGATAATGGCTGTTTGTTAAGTGCTTCCATTAATGTTGCGATTAATTTCATTGGATACCCTATTTTACTTATAAAGTTTTTGCTAATACTCTAAATTTTGTTATTGTTACAACAAAACATAAAAGCATTTTAGTTATCTTTATTTTAGAAAAAGCAAGCAAATGTTAAATCCTCTAGATTACTTACATTGATATCAAAGAAGAAATCAATGGATTTTATAAATTTCTATTGATATCTGCAATAATTTTAGTTTATTTGACGATAAAAATTTGAATGACCTGATTAGAGAAAATGTTAAACGAATTTTTAATGAATTGAATCAAAATTATTCGGAAGTAGGTGATCAATGGTTTTAATTAACTTAAATTTTTCCTAATTATATCCAAAGAAATCATGGATCTAATTAGAACATTATCTGATTTGTAATTTATGTGATTTCTCATCAAACCCTACAATTATGTAATCCAATTTGCTTGAAAACATATCAAAACTAATTTAAGATTACATTTTAAATAGTTTTTCATCTGAAATCGAAGTAACTGTAGCTAATTTGTAGGCTTAAAAATAATTATTCATTACTTCTGATTAATAAAAAGTATTGAGTGCTTGCATTTTCCTACCTATTAATTAATATAATTATATTTACTTGGAAATTAGAAGTATAATCGCAGTAGTTCATCTTCCAGTTCTGTTAATTTCATAATCATTTACTTAGCCGAATTAAATAAATTAAAATTAGAGTTAAGCATAGTTAAATTAACAAAGAAATCCTTTTTTTTATTGATCATTTTTATGATCTTATTTTTCAATTTCTTATTACTATCTTCTGATTTTAAAAATAGTTTGACAGCATGTTCAAGATTGTCAGACATTATTTAATTGTTCTATTTACCTAATCCTGTACTCATAGTCTTCTTAATCAATTCTTGCATTAAGACCAGTCTCTATTTGTATATGAATCCTATATTCTGGATCTTGATGTGAATCATTTCATCAGGCTTGCTATCAACCTTTGATTTTTAAGCAGAACTGTTTTGTTGGTCTAAGCTATTGCTAGACCCTGCCTTTTGACTTCCAGGTTTTGCTACTAATACTTTACTGAATTGAGATGAACTACAACAATATAATATTTGATATTTACAAATTTTCACTATCTTGATAGACTACAATATTTGACTATTAAAATGCTCTCGTACTTAATCCTAGATAATGGATTAGAGATAAATAGTGTAAAAAGTATAATTATTTAATTTATTATTACTTGAGCTTATTTATTGTTATATTAAAGTAGTTGACTTAATCTTTTAAATATAGATTTATAATTTACTCAAAAGTTAATTATTGTTGAGTACACAAACATTTTGGTGTTTAACAATGCTGTAAATGAATTTACTTGAAGTAAATAATTTGTATTATTTTGCAATTATCGTGTAAGTAGGAATTTTTTACATCTCCAAACTCATCAATTATTGAACCAATTTTGTACAGCATCAACTAACTACTCAACATCTGATTGTTATTTAGGATGATACTGTAATGGAGGTTATTATATAGTATTATGGGAATTAAGGTTGCAATTGGTATGATTATGAGAATCAAGGCAGTCTCATAATCTTTATATTCAGACTTAAATTACGATAATTGAATAAACACTAATATTAAGGACATTGAAAATTAAAAACATTCTGAGAACAACTCAATTATGCATCGCTTATAAAGGTTTTGAAATGTTGCAAAGATGCTATAAATGTTAAATGCCGATTTTACCAACAAGATTGTTACAATCAAGTAAAATCTTAATGGTTTGCTGTTGCTTTCGAATTGATTGAGGCATAAAATTAAAATTGAAAAAATTGGATTCAAAAAATGATTAAAGGATTGCGATAACATATTCAAATTTCTCACCTTGATATGACTGGATTGTTGAATGCAAAATAAGTAAAAAATCAAATTCAAAATGATCAAAATAAAAGATATGATTGATATGGGTAAAGCAACTAAATTTAAGTGTTCCTCTTAAGAATAATATTGAATTGATGATGTTATTAATTCTAATTGAGGGATAAATATTAAATAGTATAGCAATGCTTGCTTATAAGAATATACTTTCAATATAATTTAAAATAATCTATTTTATTGCTAGAGAATCTCAGACATCCTCTTTTGTTTCTTGCTTCTCGCAAAACAAATGAATATGTAGAAAATTATGGCTTCATATGCAAATAAAAGTGACAAAGGAATTATAAATGAAAAATCTCCAAAATTCTTAGGTAACATTACGTAAGGTCTAGTAAATGTTGAAATATTCAAAAAAAAATTCTTGAATCCACTATGCTCTTAGTTTTAGAAGAAGTAATTTTCAAAAGCAAAGCTCAATTGTTAAAATGAGGAAAGTATAATGACAATATATTAAAATGACTAATTGATGTGAACCATTTCATCATCCATAAATATCTTAATTTAAATAACAAAAGAAGCATATAGGGTTTTGTAATTTACTTTCTCTTTTTCTGACTTCTTTTTTTTCATATGCATTCTGCTTTATTTATGAATTATTGAATGAATTAATTTCAAAATATTTACAAAAACCTAAAAACATTATAAAAAAATAGAAGTATTAATTAATTTTTTAAAAATGATATGAATACTTCATTTTTTAAGAAACATTGTCAAGAACAATTTTCATTGATGGCTACAGAAGATATAACTATTTCATCAATTTTTGCAAAATAATCTTTTATACAGTTTTTGTTCTCAACCATTAATAATAATATAATAATTTACAATAAATTATCAATTTAATATTTTTATGTATTAATAATAAAGAAATGAAATAACACCACAAACAAAGGGTAAACATAATAAAAATTTCTAGGGATATCCAATTGATGAGCCTGTTTTATAAGCAGTAATGAGTGTGGCTTAAATATAAAACCTATATCCAAAAATGGCTGATTTCAATAAAGCAATAAATCTCAATTCAATTTCAAAAAAAGCAATATTTTTGATTTTGAGAAGTGCAAGCTTAGATAATATTCATAAAGGCATGAAATATGGAGTATGGACTAGGTAACATATCCAATAATCTCATAGTACTCCAAAATCTAATGCAAGGATTGATGAGTTATTTAAGGAATCAGAGGATGTTTATTTAATCTATTCGGTTGTCGGCACAAAAGCCTTTTAAGCATGTGCAAAATTGCTTGGTCCTTTTGACCCAACAGCTTCATTTCTTTATTGGGATGAACCATTGAAATGGTTTGGCTCATTTTAAATTAAATGCGTATATCGAAAATCATAATTTAGTTATTCTTGAATGAGTTGAAACAGAAAACACTCGATGAAAAATAACCAGCCCATCTAGGTTCTATAGTTTTAACAGAGCAAACCGATTGCACTGAGATTACAAATGGATTGGGACTATTTGTACTTTAATGTTTCAAAGATCAATAAGAGGATGAAACCAACGTTAATGTCTTGCTCCAACAATTTTAAAATATGGATAGGAGAGAAGTAACCTTTATTATCTAAGCAAGGAACAAATAAAATAACAAAGAGATCTTGATTAAAATTTCTTAACCCAATAATCTCATGAGTAATAATTATTTGAAAAATCTCCTTTTGAATATAAAAACTATCACAAGAGATAAAATCAATAGAGATGGTAGTCTAAATAGGCCGATCAAATGATGTACATGCGAGGTATTTAAAAAACATAGTCTTTTCTTAGCCTATTATTCTGCTAATCAACAATATGCAGGTTAACAGTATTAAGGTTAAAATTAATAAATGTATAAGTAATATATATTTTGATATTAAAGAAACGATAACAAACAATAGTACAACAATTATGATTATCAATATTATTATCCTTAATAATAATAATAGTATTAATAAAACAATAACTAATTCAAATATGGATATGACTAATAGCAATATAATCAAAATCCTAATTATTAAAGATAACCATAAAAATATTAAAAGAAATATTATAATAACTATCAACAAAATAATAATTATCATCAAAATAATTACTAATAAAATAATTATCAGTAAAATAATAATTATCAAGGCAACAACCAAAAATATTAAAAATATAATGATGAATAGACTGTAAATAACTAAGACAAATAGTGTTGAGTTATGAATATTATTTCATAAAATAAATGTGCATTTATTTATATTCATTAAGTAAAGATAGTCAAAGAAAATATAATGGTTTATTTAATTAAGTTAATTAATTCTAAAAAAACTATTAAAATAATTAAATTATGATATATGCTTCAAGCAATATAAAAATTATATAATTAAATTTAATGATTCTATGTAAATATTCACTTTTTTTTCTTTAAACTTTCCAAGGCCATGTCTCTCAAAGCTTTTTATGTCAATAGTTTATTGTACTGCTGTTATTATGATTCTTATTTCAGTAACTCATCATCATTAAATTATTTATTGGATCCTTTAAACTCTTTGAGGGGGATTTCATCTAAAAGTAAAGTACTTTAAGCTATGCTTTAGTTTTATGCAATCTTTTCTCTAAAAATTATAAAAAGTCATTACTTAGCAACAGCAAGATCGATAAATCTTTCAAGATCCTATAAATACTTCTCTAAAGAACTTTCGTTAAGATTAAATGACAATTTATAATCTAAATGTGCAGTTGGATCAGATGCCTTAAAGAGATAACATTATAAATTACTAATTATGTTTAAGATAGTTCTATTAAAGCATCTTTTAAAGTAGGAGCAATTTCTTCCATTTGTTTTCTGAGAGTATTGATTTCATCCTGTCTCTTTTTGATGATTAATTCATTTTTTTTTCTGTGTCTTTCAGCCTATGGGGTTGCCATAAGCAATCTCTTTTTACTTTCATTTTCAACTCTTTGAGAATCTATTTTTTTTTTTAAATCTTGATTTTAATCTTACAATTGATCAATTTATTAAGATAGGATGTCCACATAATTATAAAGAGAATAGTTTTACTCTTCGCTCTTAATAAATGTGTTCATAATTTCTTCGATATCTTAGATACCAGAGGCTTCTTTGATTTGATTGAAAGCATCCTCAATAACTTTCATGTTCTTCCAATAAGTATCGATTAATTTAACTTTCTCCTTATTATTAGAAATCAATTTTTTTAATCTTAGTTTTAAAGTAGAAGCAGTATCAATATTGGCAGCCTTCTCCTTCTTTAATCCTAAATTGTCTAAGTCATGCTTTTTTTTCTCTTCCATTACTTCTTTTTTCAATCTATCGAATTACTCAACATATTTTTCTTTTTCTTAATCATTTTTTTTCTTCATTTCAGCAATAGTTTCTTTCTTTTTCTGAGCTTAGATTTCATTTGAATTACGAAATATCTCATTTGCGTCAGTTTCATTTTCTATTTTCGACAATTCTTCCTCGAGATCTTGATGAATATTTATATATTGATGTCTTTCCTTTCTCAACATATTGATCTACTTTTTCAATTCTAAATTATGGGTTTGCGATTCGTTGTATTTAAGAATTGATTATTCTAAAGCATTTTATAAATTTTTTATTTTATTTAATTATTGCTTAGCAGCTGGCAATGTTTAATCATGTTATATCTAGAATTATTAAGAATGATGATACTTTTTTAATTTGCTCTTTCTTTTGTTGCCATTCCTTTTTGGTCGTCACCCAAGTTTCTTCAATATTATAATGATGTTTTTTGTCTTGCTCTACTTTTCTTATGTAATTTTCGCTCTCCCTTTATAGTGAAAGCACTTGTGACTCATGGAGAATGCTTTAAGTCTAAGAAATGTTAGAATTAGGAGCTGAATTATATCCAAAAAACATTTAATAAATAAATAAACTATATTAATTTTATATACTTACTAAAGTACTTCATTTATGTAAACTAAAATACTCATATCCTTATAGGAGCGATTTATCAATAGAATATTAGAAAGCTATGACCTAAGGAAGAGTGCTTGATTGTCATCTACAACATCCAGGATTGGGGTGCATTTCTTTTGCCTTATTGAAGTATGAAAATTACAAGAGTATAGATTCTTATTGACTGGAAAGCGATTCTCTATATTTTTCATTCCAATGCACTTTATTCCAATTTTAATTTTCAGGAGAAAAGAACTTAGATCCCAGTAAAAATTAATTTTAAATAGTCCTTTGACAACAATTAAGAAAGCTTCTTTAAATTGCTTAAAGTCTTTACTTTTCCTCTCCTCGATGGTCGGCATCATTAGATTAACTATTTGCACATTAAAAAGACTATAGAGACCTTTAGGAGGTATGTAGATTTAATTAAACGTACTAATAGGAATCGATGGATTAATAATTGGTTCATTGAGTGGAACCTCTATTATCTTGGAATCTGATGGTAGAGGATTTGAAATGACTCTTCAATTGTTTCCTCGTTTTTGTGAGGCTGTTTATAATCATTTTCATAAGAAATTCCCAAAATTGAAAATGAAAAACTTTGAATTGATGTTGTTTAGTCTTCTAATTGCACTCCTCCACTATTGCTATTAACATAATGTAAAATTAATTGATAAAATGTTAGAGTTTAGTTATTAAATCAACATATTTAGCATTATTCAAATAATTTTGGGGAAAGAATTGATAATTATTTATTTGATATTTTATTACTAATCATTTTTTATTTATATTACTATTTATAGGCATTTAAATTTGCGATTTGGGTTGTGCTCTTTAAGTATTGCTTACTTATTTTTGTACTTCAAATTATTTATATAGCTAAGCAAAGGTTGGATTTTGATGTTCGCTGAAAGGCTTTGATTAAGGTGAAATAGCATTCTTTTTATTTTATGGACTGATTAATTATTTCAAATAGTTTTATTGATTGAAGTTTTAATGAGTGGGACTCAAACTTAGTTGCTATTATTATTTCTAAGTATTTGTCGATTCCTTTTGATTCAAGAGAGGTCTTGGTATATGATATGTTTTACTTTGATTTAGCATTTTATAATAGTTTTTGTGTTTTTAGTAGTTTGCTCTACAATTCTGGATCCAAAGAAATATTATTAGGTAAATTGGACATAAAAAAAGTATCCTTCTTTTCTTAAGATTTACTCTAAGTTGACTCAGTGGGCACCTAAGTAATGAATTTAAAATCTACTGTTTTGTGTGTTTATAAAGAATCAAGATCCAGCAAAGCTTAAAGGAGATAAGATCTTTGAACTTCGACTTCTCTGTTAAATGTGTATCCTATAAAATTCACATCCTTCCTAACTGATTTACCAGAGCTTTGTTTGAAATAAATACTTACTCTTAGGGTACCCAAGGTTCCTATTCTTCAAATTTATCAAAGTTCCTAGTATCCAATTCAGATTTAATCTCTGGGATATAAGGTGATATCTTGGATCTTAGATTTTTCCAATCTATACCAGCAAAGAAAGGATGTGCTTTAATCTCATTAACTCCATTTACTCCAAGTCTATTTTAGGCATCTGTCATAAGCCTTAATATTAAATCAGTAGCAGCTGGAGATAGCTTGGCTTCTTGTGGAATAACAAGTGTTTTTTTCCAATTAATAATCTTCTAGCAGGTTGAAGAGGGATCATCAGAAAAAAATGGTGGATATCCGACCAACATTTCAAATAGAATTGCTCCTAGTGACCACCAATCGGCTGTCTCACTATATCCAGACTTCCCAAACACTTCAGGTGCAATATAATCAGGAGTGCCGACTGTGCTATAAGCCTTAATTCTATTTCTCTTGAAGGTTGTTGTGTTTCCACCTTTATCCTCTGGTTTATGTACACTAATTCTCTCGTCTAATCTAGTTCCTCTTGATTCTACGTATTTGCATAACCCAAAGTCACTCAATTTAATGTGTCCGTCTGCTTATAATAAAATATTGTCCGGCTTTAAATCTCTATGGATGTATTTTAATTTGTGAACCGAATCAACTGCCCTATAGTTTATTTACTTGCATTATACATTATTGATTCAGCCATATAAAATTATGATTCCTTTTCAGTAAATATGTCCTTCTTCATCAATAAGGTCATCAAATCTCCCCCTGCCAAGTATTCCATTACTAAGTAAAGATATCTTGGATAATAGAATTTTGTACTTTTCATCCTAAAATGAGCATTTTAATTAAACTATCCAAGGATTATCTGAAGCTGCTAATAGATCTCTTTCTGCTCTAACATGACAAACCTTGCTAAATTACTTTAGATACTTGATTTTTATAAAGCATTTCAGACTTTTTCATCTTTTTAACTGCAACTATGTCATTTGATAATTTATTTCTACACAATCTTACTTCACCAAAAGCCCCTCTTCCAATTATTTCGATTGGTTCAAAGTCTTTTATGCTTAGTTTTTGTCTCTGTAATCTCAATATCTCAGCCTCTTTGTGAAGCAAGTCTTACTTGATAATTTATTGCTCGATTGGTGTATAATTCAGATTAGTCAGCTTTTGAATTAATTGTTCCCATTTCTCTCTTTTCTCCTTTTATTCATAAAGTAACTTTTGGTATTTCTTTTCGATATACTATTTTGCAGCTTCCACTCTCTCTTTAGTAGACTATGATAACTTTAACATTTATGTTTTTGAAGGGTCCATAAAATATTTATTAATATTTTCAAAAATTCATTCTTACAAAACCATATTCACATGTTTAAATCTCCTCCTAATAATATTGGCTACCCTAATTATTCCTCATATTTTAATCTACATTTTTATACTATATATAGTTTTATAAACTCTTTTTTAACCCTCATAATATGTCATGCTTTTATTTCAAAGATGAAGGCACTTTTATGATATCTTCTCAACAAAATAATAGGATTTATTAAATCTAATAATGCATTTCAAAAAAATAACATGTAATTAAAGATATTAAGCAGTTTCAATCAAAAGATAAGGGTTTATTTGAAATAAAGGAGAGACTATGAGAAATCAATCCCTTTTTAATGAACCAATCTCCATATTCTTTCTCTACAAGAAAAATCTAAAATATGATGCTTTTATAATTATTCAAATGTAGTAATAAGTAATCATTGTGCCAAATATGTAGTGCAATATTTTACTAACCTCAATTAATTAGATTACTAAAAATAAAGTTAAACTCAGCTAACCATAGTAAAAAATTTAATTATTAAAATATCTATCAATCTTAACCCTTTTTAGAAAATATTGTTTCTAAATGCTTTGCTTATATCAAAATTATTCATTAGAAAATTAAAAAAAAACAGAATCAAATAATTATAAAAATTTATAAGAATTGAAAAAAAAGGACCTACTTGGATTCGAACCAAGGTCTTGAGGGTTAAAGCCTCAGGTACTAACCACTATACGATAGATCCTATAGTTATTCATAATGTACATGATTACTATATTAATCTCTTGATTCATAGTAAAGTGATTGTATTCATTAGAATTAATCTGAATTGATACAAAAAAAGAAAAAGCTGTGAAATTTTAAAAAATCTTATTTTTTGATATTATGAACTTTATAAATTTTATTGTTCATTGACTTTTAAATTTTAAAGTCCATTCTCCTCTTGAATCACCCTACAAGTAGTACCAATTTCCATGAAGTGTTTCATTTTATTCATCATATTTTCCATAATAAATTAATACATTACCTCCTTAAAGGTTATAATCATCATAGATTTTTCTTGAAAATGTCTCAACTTGGTGACTCTTGCTAACAGTCATTGCACCCATCTAGGTCCAAGTTCCATATCGATCAGAACCAATCAAATGGAAGCTCAGCATTTTAGAGTTTACTGTCACTGTTACGTTATTCACTTCTTAAGATATCCATTAATCTTTAAATAAATATGAAAATTCGATCTTTCCTTCCTGCAACTTTTAGGCTAAAGCATTAAACTTTAAACTTATTTCATCTTCATTGAGATTTTCTTTATCCATACGTTATTTTATATAAAATTTTTTAATAAATTTCTGCAACTTTAAATGATAGAGTTATGAAACCTAAAATGTAAACAAAAATAATATCTTATGATTAATTGTATAATATAATTTATTAGAATGAAATTACTTTCGATGCCAATTATTTAAATTCTTATATGAAATTTTCAACATTTGTATTTCAACACTTGTATTTCAACACTTATATTTTCTACATCTTATAATACAAAAAATAAAGATTACTTTTTTTTTTTTTTATTAATCTCTTAAGGTAATAAATTCAATTAATTCTTATGATTAAATAATTATAACTTATGAAATCCTTCTATAATGTCAATGAGAAAAACTTCATGAAATAAATTATTAATATTTTATATTATTTCTCGATAATGTATTAACAGAACAAAAAATCAAGTCAGAGAAATTATCAGATGAGTCGAGCTAATTCAAAATTTCCTTAGAATGAGAAATCAACTTCTCCTTCTATGCAATCGAGACAACAAATAACTCCAAAGAGAAAACAATAATTTTCCTAACCAAAATTTGATACTACAAATAATTATCTTCAATAGCCTGTTACTAGGGAACACATGCTAAAATTCTTAGAATAAATCGCATTTGCAGTAGAAAATGTTTAATGCATTTTGTCTCAACCAGAAAGTGTCCAAAATAAATTGCCAGAAAATATAGCTTAATAAAAAAACAAATTCAAAATTACCTAAGAATAATAAACAGATCATTCTTTTATTTAGTAACAAAAACAAAATAAATTTCAATTTGCAAATAAAAAAACCTAAACGCCTAATAGAACTTAATCATACTACTAAGATAGTGAATTAAAAAAATTTAAGGTAACTAAATTAAAAACTGAATTTTCAGAGGAAAGTGATACCACAGAAAAACAATCATTTAAATTACCCAATATATAACAATAATCTTCTACAGTAAAATAAAAGATCAGTAAAATATTACCAGATGGGACGAAAAACAGAATTTAATCATAAGTTATTTAGTACTAGAATTTTAAAAATCAAAAAGACAACCACAAAATATAGTCTTAACATACCAAGGGATACCATCAAGAATCCTATTCAGATATATCTAATAAGCCTAATGAATCTTCAAAGTAAATCCGAATCAAGACAGAGTAATCTGAAAGCCAACAGAGTGTCATCACACCGAAACATTCAAAAATAAATCAAGATGGTGAAACTCAGAAAAAATAAAATAACATTCTAAAGAAAGATTAGTCTTAGCTACACTAAACAAAAAAAGTGCAGGATGATCCTTAAAATATCTAATAGGAACAATAAAATTAATCTATTCGAAGCAAAACATCAAATGAACCAGTCAATTAAGATACAAAGTAGGATTATATTTTTGATCCTCAAACATCACAAGATTATAATAAGAATAGTTAACCAGTTTCAATTGAGAAAGGAGATTCTTAAAATATAGAAATCAAACAGAAAACCAAGAAAAGACCTATACATATAAAGCAAACAAATTAAGGAAATAATGATGGGGTTTAAATTGATAAATAGGAATTGTCTATTAATTCCAAATAAAATGACAATTCCTTATCAAAATCAGATAAATTAAATGAAACTTCAAAGGTTTAGGAATAAATTCCTTCTAATTAATAAAGATCTTCATAAAATAATGAAGAATAAATCCAGAATAATAAAGATGATGAAAATATGGGTTAGAACAAATTATAAGATGATTAAGCATCAATGGATTAAAATAAAATATAAGATGGTTAAATATCTGAATAGCAGAATTCGAAAGTAATTTCTAACATACAATCTCAAAACCAAAATAAAACTCTTGAAAATAAAGAATTTTATTTTGAACCTGAAGAAGAAACAAAAGTAATTTCAAAGCTTTAACCTAAAACTAATTTATAAGATTAATAACAATTGATGAATAAAACTAGTTCTACTGTGAAAAGTATTTTAGTACAGAAAAAAGAAGATATTGTAGAATAAGGAATAAAGGATTAAAAACATCTAAATTAAAATGATACACAATAGTTACCATAAATTGAAAACACTTAGAACCAATTACGGGAAAAGAGCTCTATTAATGAAGCCCACGATTAAGATTAAAAATCTGATGAAGGGACTAAATAAATTACAATGAGAAATGATTTAGTAAAAAGCCTCTCTTTAGAGAATTAACAAGGAGATATTGGTGACAAACCAAAAAGTCTACAACAGAGTCAAATCCGTGCTAATAATAATGAGTAAATAATATGCATATATTTTAAGCTTAAATAAATAATAAGGACTTACTGATTAAATCAAAGAAAATGAAAATAAAAAAGTAAGTCATATAAATTAAACTAATGGGAACCAAAATATAGAGGAAAATCAGTAAGTAGACTTAAAGCGATCAGAAAATAATTTTAATGAGGACTAATAAAAAGGAATTGTGCATGGCTAAAATAACACTATAAATATACCCTAGGATCAGTTAAAACAAATTAAACCATCTGAAAATAAGGAGGTTTAAGTTCAGGAAGAGAATTAATAACAGAAAATTAACCACCCTAAAGAAACACAAGATATGGATTCCAATGTAAAAATAATATGAAATTAACTTTGTCATTTAAATTATTCTATATTTATTAGTTTGACTTTTATTAAATTTTAACAATTACTTTAGGCAGGATTACAATCGAAGTTTTCTATTGTAAATTTATACCAATTTGATTGGTACTGTGACTATGTTTAAATCATATTGAAATATTATTTTATTTGAAATGTCACACTTGTCAATTTTGAAATTTCCATTAAATTGCCAAAAAAATAAAAAGTATTCATGGAATTATTCATTTATCAATACAGAAAATATATGAAATGTTATTGAATGTTATTATAGAAATCATTCTGTTTAATAGGTTGTTGAAGAATTGAAGATGAACTTTTGAGATTGGATTGTTTTCAGAGGAGATTAAGCATCGCCTTTTATTTTTTATGGTAATGATTAAAATTTCAATCTATCCATAAATATTTAAACAGTATGTTCACTTTTAATAGATCTCTGACTAATAATTTATTTAGGGCTTTCAATCTAATTCTGTATTTTTTCAATTAATAATTCTCTTCGAGATTATCCTCCTTTGGCATTCAAAATAATATCAGCAATATTTAGTTTCGTTTTTAGAATGGTATCATGAAGTTTTAGGTCATTTTTTTACCATTTCAATCCTAAATAAAGAATGTTATAATTACGATTAGGTTTTAAGAACTTTGACATGCCTCTCTATGTCAAGTAACCTGATTCTATGATCTACTTTTTTTTGAGATATTCCCTTTCTTCAGTCTAGATATACTTCTTCATATCACATCTTTTAAAGGTAAGAAGAGGAACATGGACAAATTAAGCAATAGACCTTCCAGTAACAGGCGTATTTGTTGATGGTGGAGTTGCAAACATATTTGATGTGCTAGCTGATTTAACATGAAATTTAAATGATTTTTTCTTAGACCCTATGTCCATCTTATTGAAATAATTATTATATTATAATTAGATTCTTCTAATGAAATCTAATAAATTTAGTTAGAGTCGTTTTAAAGAGGAAAAATAGAGATGTAAAATGCTATATTCATCACTCTAGCTCGAAGTTTAAATGCATCACACTATTTTGTTTTCTCCGAAGTTCCAAGACATAGAGTTTCTCAAGCCTCAATTTTAAAAACAGAAGGCAAGGAAATTAAAAGACGATTACTTTTTTATCATAAAACAGTGCTTATTGATAATTTGGTTAGATACACTAATAAGCAGCAAAAAAAAAATAAAAACTTCAAGGAAAAATTATATGAGATGGATTATTCTCGACAAAGAAGATTGAGCTGCTCTTGTAATGAGTGTGGCAAAAGGTCAGCAAAGATGAACAAATTCCATAATGTTTGTGAGAATTATGAACAACCTTCCAAAGAATTCTGGTCAAGTTTAATTATATAATAGCAATAATAATCGTAACTTACTATTTCAACAAAATCCTTAAAATCCACTGCGACCCTTCTCTCAATCCCTGATATTAGTCCCAAAAAGCAACAATCAAAAATATAGAGTCCAATGTTTAAGAAATATAAACGAAATCAAAAATTAATCTCTCCTACTCCAGTTAATTTGAAACCATATCTTTATGAATCCCCTTAGATAAGGATTACAAATCTCTAAACTGAATAAACATAATTAATACTTAAGCCAATATCTTTAAGATCCTCGGCACCAAACCTAGAAATCTTTGAATATTCATCTAAAAATAGTAGTCCAAGAAGAGGCAAATCTATTTAAAATAATAAATTAGAGTAATAAATGTAGACTGCAAGAAATTTAAATAAAAGGATGCTTCAAATTTGCTACTTGAAACCATTCTCTGGTATCTCAAATCGAAATACAATTTTGAATACATAAAGAAAATATTGAAATTAATATAGTTTGATTATAATGTATTTATTGTAAAATTTGAATTTTAATTCTAATTTAGTATTCTGCACCATCCATTTTATAATCTTTATGATTTACTATTTCTTCAATTATAAAGTCTATTTGTAACTATAATAAATAATGATAAATTATAAAATGTATATTAATATAAAAAAATTATATGATAAATTATAAAATACATATTAATATAAAAAAAATTATATCATTCTAAAATCACATACTGAAAATTTTTAAATTAATTAATACAGAAATTTTGTACAACATGAGGTAAAATCAAAAAAGTCAAGAAACACAAACAAAAAACTATAAAGCAAAAGTCTAAAATTACTTAAATCAATTAAAAAAAGACTCAAGAATGAAAGATATGACTAACGAAAAGATCCTTACTCAAATATTCTTGGATGCTTTGAGTTTAAGTAATGATCAATAATATAATTCCACAATCTTTGATGCCATCAAAGAATCTGTTTGGAGTTATCAAATTAAAAGTAATTGTATCCTGTAAAATAGTTTAAATCCTTAATAAGATCATAAATAAAAATGACAAAATATTATCAATGGTGTCGTCTATGTTGCTAATATTGGATGGATATTTTAATTTCAACAGTAAGAAGATCAACTTGGTCTATGTAAAAGTTCCATTCGTCATGAAATATCAAAGTTTTTTCTTACTTCAATCCAATGATAATTTCAATCTTCTATTTGAAGTTGGTTTACATAAAAAGTACAACGATACTAAACAATAAGTAATCTATAATATAAATTAGTAGATTTGTTTATTTGATATAGTCTAAAAAATAACTTTTATAGACATATTCTTTTATCAAAAAGGTTAGGAAATTACAGATGCAATCCAAGAATATTAAATAAATATTTAAAAAGATTTCTATAGAACTGAATTAGACTAAGTAGAATGTGTAAGTATTCCATTGACAGGAATCAATGCTAAATAGTAGAGCTACTTATTTTAAGCCTAAAACAAAAGTTGGGCTGAATCATCCTATTTATAATAAAGTTAAAATTTAATTTAATGGATTCCTTTGAAATTTAAATAGCTTAAGGAGAAGAAGGAGGATCTTTTATTAAAAAATGGGCATCTCATAAATAGATCTTTTTATGAAAAGTTATCAAATCTATTTCATTATGAAAATATTGGAAATTAAAATAAATATAAGTTAATCTAATTTGTGGATTTTGAATCTGTTGGTCAAATATTAGATTTACTTTAAAAATCTCAATTATTCAAAATTAAATTATCAAATTAAGAGAGATAAATTGTAATTACAAAGAATAATGCTTTAGTTATTGGTAGAAGTGGAACTGGAAAAACTACAAGCACTGTTTTAAGAATATTTGCAACAGAAATGTTGGTGAAAGTAAGAAGCAAATTTCTTGGTTAAAAAAAAATATAAGTTTTATAAGATTATTAAGGAAAGGAAGTGGAAATTCATTAATTGTTTTCAACAGCAAATAGGTTTTTAGTTTAGGAAGTAGAAAAATATTACAATAAATTAGAAAGATAGGCTTAAGATGCCATAAATACCCATAGAACTTAAAGCACTTTTAAATTAGATGAATCTTTGTAATTAAATATTTTTAATAATTTAGTGTCTCAATTAATGAAAGTGTCATCTCAGACTACGAAACTGATATATTAGATTTTGTTTTACAAGAGGAATAAATTTAACAATCCTAGATAGGATAAAATTTTTAATCACAATCAAAGGAAAAATCATTGTCATCAATAAAGTTTCCTGGTTTTTTATCATCAGAATAGCTTTTAATTCTTTTAGATAAGAAATCTAATAATCCATTTTTCTCTATTGAAAAAATCAATAAATTCAGATAAAAGCATAGTAAGAAAATAGGATTCTAAGATTTTAATGGAATAAATCTAGATGAATGGTTCCCTTAAGCTAATAATATTCAATATTAATATTAATATTAATCTTAATCTTAATATTAATCTTCAAGTGATACACAATTGAAATAAGATATCATTGTACCCGAAGTTGATTTTATGGTGTTTTATTTATAGTTTTGGCCTTAAGTCTGTGGAAGAGGAGGAAATAATTTTGATAACACTGCACTCCCATCATTAATATGGACATAGATATACTCATATATTAAAGGTTCTTAATATTCATATGCATATCCTAATAGATGCCTTCCATTTCAAGTGTATAAAGAACGAGTTAGCAATTATTTGAGTGAAGCACAAATGGTAGAAATTTATGATTGCTTCTTAAAATATGAGATTTGGAAAGAAAAAGAATAATATATCGATCAATTAGACCTAATTAATTCATTATTAGTTAATATTGAATAAAATTAATTAATTAGATTTCCTATTCACTATTCTTACATAGATGAAGTATAAGATTTACCATAGGCAATGATTGAGCTATTTTGTAAAATAACAGAATAAGGGGTAATATTTTGTGGCGATTCAGCTTAATGCATTTTGAAGGGAGTGGGATTTAGATTTTCTGATTTATAAACAATTTTTAAAACTTCTAAAAAGATAGGGGCTAACCAACTAGAAAAATTTTAAGTTTACTAATTAACTAAAAATTTCAGATCACATAATAATATTCTTCAATTGGCCAATTGTATAATTATAATACTTGAACTTTTATTTCCTAATAGTTTGGATCACTTATAAAAAGAAATTTCAAATCTCAAAGGTCCAAAACCGCTTATTATTTCATAAGCAGATCCTTCTTTGATTTTATTTCATTTAAATTAATAATGCGATGCTGAAGAGCAATGTGAAATTGAGTTTGGCTATAATTAAGTTATAATAGTAAAAAATGAAGAAGCTAAACAAACCCTACCATAATAGTTTAAAACAGCAAGAGTACTAACTACTTACCAAACGAAAGGATTAGAATTTGATGATGTTATTCTATATAATTGTTTTAGTTCTGATCCTATTCCAGAATAGCAATGGGCATTTTTATCTTGCATAGATGTAGATGAATCATATGTAGACAAGTAAGTGTTTGAAGAATCAATCACAAGTATTCTTAATTAAATATAATAGAATTCGATGAGTAAAATACTAAGCATGATATAGAATTAACCTAAGATGGAAAGTAAGTTGTGTAAAAAAAACTAAAGTTAAATTAAAGATATGATAAAAAGAAAGTGAATGATTATTCGTCCCTCTGTAATGAATTGAAGATGCTATATGTTTGTGTTACTAGGGCTAAAAAGAGAGTTATTATTTATGACGATGATCCATAATAGAGAAATCATTTAGAACGAATTCTAAAGCAATATAATGTTTGTGATTTTACAAGGAACTAACATTAAAATAAGTAAATACCATGTAACGCCAGGTAGGATATTAATGTACCTCAAGTTAAAGTTTAAGAAATTTAATAAGAATTAAAACAAAAATAGCCAAGAATATTGGATGATGAAGAAAAATAAATTTGGGAATAATAAGGATAATTGATGTTTTAAAAAAGGCTTTATGACGAAGCTAATAAATGTTTTGAGAGAAGTCAAAATGAAAGAATGGCTTTATTATCTAAAGCATACCTAAATGCAACTAAAGGAGCTTAAAAGTTAGCAAATTATAAATCATATAAAGTCTAATTTAAAATTAAAGGAACCTTAGATCTTAAAAACAAAATGGAGGAATTAGAAGCACTATTAAAACAAGATTTTCAAGAAGCAGCTCAGTAATTTTAATAACTAGAGGATTTCTAATAAGCAGCTAATTGTTATTACTCAGGTATGATGTATGAAGATAGTGCTATGGCATTTTTAAATTTATAAATATTACCATAAGCTGCGAAAAGTGCTACCAAATCAAAATAATTTTTGCTTGCAATTTTAATTTATTATCAGATCGGCCATCATTTAGATGTATTAAAATTACTTTCAGAAAATAGCTAAATAAATGGTTTCCAATATGGATTTTTCAAATATGATTTCTTGAAGGAATGCTTAACACAAAATATTCTATAGAAGGCTGAAATTAAACACCTTCTTTTAAATTAATTGTAGGATTTAAATTAAAATGTTTTCTATTTATTAGCTTAGAAATATAACAATAAAGACTAGATTAATTTTGATGTGGATGAATTTACAAAAACATAGATATCATAAAACATTTTGGATAAAATTCCGATAAAAGACATTTTTGAGAATGAAATAAATTTAATACTTAATTCATAAATTTAAATAGATGATGATTTAGAAGAAATGATTTATGAACAATTTAAAATGTTTTGGGAAATATATTATGAGATAATTGATTCATAAATGATAATAAATCCTCACTCAAAATAAGAAATTTCAGCAATTTTTTAATCAAATTAATAAATATACTAAAATAGAATATTGAAGTCGTTTTTTATTGACGTCTTAGAATTACAGAATTAACATTATGTATTAACTACTTTATATCCTGAAAATAGATTACTTTATTAATATTTTGATCAAAAAGAATAAATTTAGGAGTTTAAAATTGAAGAGAATAATATTTGCTAATCATTGTTATGCAATGAGAGGTTGATTTTATAGTTTTTATTGTTAGATGATATTAAAACTTTAAGGAAAATTATGAACCACTAAAATTCATAATAACAACAATTATATCAAGAACTTAATGATTTAATTTTAGAAAGGAAATAACTTTTAAATATTAATAATGAAGAATTATTCCTAATTAAGAGTTACTATATTCTAAACTATTATTCTAAAAGGTTCTATAAAAATAATAATTCATTCAAAAATTTCATGAGGGAATTTGTTGAAGTATAATTTCTAAATCGATTCAATTTATTTTTTTAGTTTTAAGATAAAATTCACAACAATAAAGAGTTGAATAAAGAAGATGTATAAAAGTTATTTAATTTAGGAAATTAGAAGGAATAATTTATGATTCTTTTGCATTTTTTTTACAATTATTAATAGAGTAAATTTTAGGATAAATTTCTCAAAAATTTTAATTTTTAATAGCTCATATTTTTAGGAAAATTTTTAATAAAGGCAGTTAGTCTATTTAAAACTGATTATGAAGATAATTAATATAATTAAGATGTATATTCATCTATTTGTTCAATATTTGGGCTCTACAATTCTAAGACCAAGTTTCTTAATATTTTTGGCTCAAGTATTACATTTTAATTTAAGTGTGATGATTCTCAAGGATTATCTTTTTAGTAAAACTTTGAAATTGAATAAAAAATTGAAAAAGAAATCAAAGATAATATTGATTAAACACCGATCTTATAGATGTTATTCAATAATATGATCTAAAATAAAGCGTATAAATAATAATTGTTTAAAAATTCACACACTCTAATAAAAGATTTAGTATTCATTTTTAACTATGTATGCCATTTAATTAAAAAAAACATTATCCCAAAGAAGAAACACGTTTTTTATTTAATTCAAGCTATACAAATCTTAGATTCAGTAAATATATAAATTCCTTAATGCATAATTGAGATCATTGAAAAAAACTATAAATTCTTATTTAGTTTAATTACTTTTTACACATATTGCAAAAATTAAATTTCTATAAAATCATTAGAGCATTGGGTTAATTTTCATAAAAATAGAAATTAAATTAAATTATATCATCCAGAAATTTTAAAAAATGAGATCAGTTAAGTAGTCTTGATTTTGATTCTTCTTTACAATGTTGATATTGAATACATTAACCAAGAGGATTATTTTGAAGAAATAAATCTAAAATATTTGGCAATAAATTATCGACATTATGAAAATACAGAAATAGTTGTTAAAAAAGAAAAAGAAGAGTAATTACAAGAAATATAAGATTTTTAAGGGAAACAGGAAGTAAATCAAAATTAAAGTTAGCAATAAACAAATTCTGAGATTTAAAATGGAGAATTAAATTAAGATGGAGAAAAAAAATAAAACTCTATAGAAGAAAGTATTTAAGAAGTAACAGAATAATAAAATGAGCAATAGTAAGAATAACATAATGAATTTAACAAAGAAATAAATTTTATAATTTTTGATGAACAGAAGTTATTGCTTGAACACTTTATATCTATCTACTATTGTGAAGATGATTAAATTAATGTTGACTTCAACTTTTAGCCAGAGCATCTTGATAATTTATTGTTAGAAATTTATAAAATCTTATATAATTACTTTGGAAATGTTGAAAAAAAAGAATTACAAACATTTATTTATTAGCATTTAATTCTATTAAATCAAAATTTATTACTTTTAAGATCAAAATAAAATCACTATCAAATAATTATAGAAGAAATTATTAAAATTGAAAATAACAAATAAGAATGTGAGATATCTTCTGAGAGCAGCAGTGAAGATAGTATTTAAGGTTAAGATCCTGAATAATAGCAAAAATAGTAAGGCTAAACAGAAAAGAATGAGTAATAAGATGAATAAAAACAATTTCAATAAACAGACATTGAGATTGTTGTTGATTCAAAAGAATAATCAGAAGAATAATCAACAAAATAATAAAAAGAAGAAGAATAATCAACAATATAATAACAATAAGATGAATAATCAATAAAATAATAACAATAAGAAGAATAATCAATAAAATAATAAAAAGAAGAAGAATAATCAACAATATAATAACAATAAGGTGAATAATCAATAAAATAATAAAAAGAAGTAGAATAATCAACAAAATAATAACAATAAGATGAATAATCAATAATATAATAAAAAGAAGAAGAATAATCAACAATATAATAACAATAAGATGAATAATCAATAAAATAATAACAATAAGATGAATAATCAATAATATAATAAAAAGAAGAAGAATAATCAACAATATAATAACAATAAGATGAATAATCAATAAAATAATAACAATAAGATGAATAATCAATAATATAATAAAAAGAAGAAGAATAATCAACAATATAATAACAATAAGATGAATAATCAATAAAATAATAACAATAAGATGAATAATCAATAATATAATAAAAAGAAGAAGAATAATCAACAATATAATAACAATAAGATGAATAATCAATAAAATAATAACAATAAGATGAATAATCAATAATATAATAAAAAGAAGAAGAATAATCAACAATATAATAACAATAAGATGAATAATCAATAAAATAATAACAATAAGATGAATAATCAATAATATAATAAAAAGAAGAAGAATAATCAACAATATAATAACAATAAGATGAATAATCAATAAAATAATAACAATAAGATGAATAATCAATAATATAATAAAAAGAAGAAGAATAATCAACAATATAATAACAATAAGATGAATAATCAATAAAATAATAACAATAAGATGAATAATCAATAATATAATAAAAAGAAGAAGAATAATCAACAATATAATAACAATAAGATGAATAATCAATAAAATAATAACAATAAGATGAATAATCAATAATATAATAAAAAGAAGAAGAATAATCAACAATATAATAACAATAAGATGAATAATCAATAAAATAATAACAATAAGATGAATAATCAATAATATAATAAAAAGAAGAAGAATAATCAACAATATAATAACAATAAGATGAATAATCAATAAAATAATAAAAAGAAGTAGAATAATCAACAAAATAATAATAATAAGATGAATCTAATTAAATTCCTTAAAGCGATATCATAATTGAATCAACAAGGGAACAAATTTATTAAGAATAAATATTTGTTGAAAAAGAGAATCAGAAAAGTGAAATTATTGTATAAAATGATGAAGGACAAAATGAAATCAAAGTAAAAAAATAGATTAATATTTTACAAAATATCAGATTACAATTAGAAAAACAATACCTATATAGCTATCAATTTGATTCTATGGAAAATTTACAATTAATAAGCTAAAACTGTATTAATTGTAACATAAATCCCAATAATTTTAATTAAAAAAATTATTTTTGTTCCAAATAAGATAAAATTAATCAATTATAACCTAATTTAAAAATAGATGATTAAAGTCCTATGAATTATATAAATTTTAGAAGCAAAATTAGCTCCTTTCCTATAGGAAATAAAATAATTAATGAGAATTTGATAAATATAGACAAATTAAAGAAGTAACATATATATACTATTTTAGAATTTTGCACAAATGTATTACTATTTCTAAAAATTCAAAAATTTAAGGCATGTCTTATTCAATATTCAAAGAATTTGTATTTTTGTTGTAAAAAGTAAGCGATTTAGAATATGAACCTGAAAATAAGTAATTCATATATATAAATTAGATAAATGTAAGTTAATTAATAGCTTAAAGAAATTGAAAATAAATTAAAGGGGTATAGAACTCACAAATAAAAAAATGATTTGATGACAAACCAATTATCAAAGTTTTTGAGCGGATTATGAACAATTATTATAATCTTGATGCATCTATTATAATTATTATAATTTATTCGTAATGGATCATGCTCATCAAGAAAATGTCGAAAAGAATCGATTGAGAATTTTAAAATGAGTTTAATAAATTAAAGCAATAATTTTCTTTAAAAATTAGTAATTATTAGAAATGGGAAATAATTTTTTAAATTGAATTAATATAGAATGAAAATAAAAAATATTCTATATAATCAACCCATTAACTCTTCAACCTCATCTACTAAGTCTTACATGTCTATTACAATCTTATTAATTATTGATTCTAATTTCATTAAATCATTTGAAAGGTTATTATCTTCAAGTTTACATATTAATGTTAAATACTACTTATACATATTTTCAAATTGTTTTCTCATTTAAATCAGTTTATTTTGAAATGAAAATCTCATTTATTTTAATCTTTATTGAGTTATAGTTTATGAAGTATCTGAAAGTTATTTAGATTGCATTTAAGTGATTTCACTGATGGCCATATCTCTTTTCCCTTTCAGTACTTTAATCAGATCATTCTGCTGTTATTATTATTGCTTTTCAATTAGAATTTAGTTATTGAGTGCCTTAATTTCTTCTTCTTTTTTTAGTATAATTTTCTTGAGATCTTGGATTTCTTCCTTGCATTTAGTATTTTCTAATTGTATTTATAATTCTATTGTTTTCTGCTAATCCAATTATTATAGTTAGCTAATTAATTTATTGTTTTCTTTAATAAGTAAATTGATTTATTATTATTTAGATTCAATCTCTTATCTACTTTTTGATTATTAATCAGCTAACTATTGTAATACCATATTATAATTTCTATTAATTTATCTATATTCTAAGCACTGCTTATCAATTTCTTAGGCTTATAAATTTATTTTATGAAGTTATTCCTTATTTAATTAAATATACTCTTGAATTTCTTTTTGTAATGCATCTATTCTTTATTTATATTGTTCGTCATTACTTTTATCGAGATCAATAAATGCAGCATTAATTTCTGACAATTCCTTGTCATCTATCTAATTGTTATTCCAATTTATTTAGGCTTAAACAGTTTATAATTCTTTTTTTGATTACTCTAATTCGCATTCAATAATCTCCTTCTTTCTTAGTTCATTGTCAGCATCAGCCTACATTTCTATCATTGCTTGTTCTAATTCCTTACAATGATTCTCTTTTTCATATAATTCTTAAGCCATTCTTTTCCTTTCTTTTTCAAGCATTTCAAATTTACCAAACATGGGCATAAATGATTAACAAACATCATCATATCCTCTTTAAAGTCTATTAATATAATCTTCCATTTAATGTAGAATATTTGAGTAATCCTCAATAGAGTATTACCATAAATTATCTTTCGGAATATTATAATTCTTATAAGCCAATTAGTCAAAAGTTGGAAAGGATTCATTTTATTGTTATTTATGTTGTTATTCTTTGGTCATGACCTTTTGTGCTGTTAATTTTGCATTTTCAATTAAATTTTTTATCATATTTATTATGAATCGATTTTAGAAATGGGAATTTTGTTTAGGGTACTGAATAATAAGTGATAATTTATTTAGCATATATCAGAATAGTGCTGATATTAATTAATAGAGATAAAAGAAATTTGATGAATATTCTAAATTGAAGATGAATGCAAAAACGACAGACGACGATAAAAATGAAATTATGAAAGATATNTCAACCCATTAACTCTTCAACCTCATCTACTAAGTCTTACATGTCTATTACAATCTTATTAATTATTGATTCTAATTTCATTAAATCATTTGAAAGGTTATTATCTTCAAGTTTACATATTAATGTTAAATACTACTTATACATATTTTCAAATTGTTTTCTCATTTAAATCAGTTTATTTTGAAATGAAAATCTCATTTATTTTAATCTTTATTGAGTTATAGTTTATGAAGTATCTGAAAGTTATTTAGATTGCATTTAAGTGATTTCACTGATGGCCATATCTCTTTTCCCTTTCAGTACTTTAATCAGATCATTCTGCTGTTATTATTATTGCTTTTCAATTAGAATTTAGTTATTGAGTGCCTTAATTTCTTCTTCTTTTTTTAGTATAATTTTCTTGAGATCTTGGATTTCTTCCTTGCATTTAGTATTTTCTAATTGTATTTATAATTCTATTGTTTTCTGCTAATCCAATTATTATAGTTAGCTAATTAATTTATTGTTTTCTTTAATAAGTAAATTGATTTATTATTATTTAGATTCAATCTCTTATCTACTTTTTGATTATTAATCAGCTAACTATTGTAATACCATATTATAATTTCTATTAATTTATCTATATTCTAAGCACTGCTTATCAATTTCTTAGGCTTATAAATTTATTTTATGAAGTTATTCCTTATTTAATTAAATATACTCTTGAATTTCTTTTTGTAATGCATCTATTCTTTATTTATATTGTTCGTCATTACTTTTATCGAGATCAATAAATGCAGCATTAATTTCTGACAATTCCTTGTCATCTATCTAATTGTTATTCCAATTTATTTAGGCTTAAACAGTTTATAATTCTTTTTTTGATTACTCTAATTCGCATTCAATAATCTCCTTCTTTCTTAGTTCATTGTCAGCATCAGCCTACATTTCTATCATTGCTTGTTCTAATTCCTTACAATGATTCTCTTTTTCATATAATTCTTAAGCCATTCTTTTCCTTTCTTTTTCAAGCATTTCAAATTTACCAAACATGGGCATAAATGATTAACAAACATCATCATATCCTCTTTAAAGTCTATTAATATAATCTTCCATTTAATGTAGAATATTTGAGTAATCCTCAATAGAGTATTACCATAAATTATCTTTCGGAATATTATAATTCTTATAAGCCAATTAGTCAAAAGTTGGAAAGGATTCATTTTATTGTTATTTATGTTGTTATTCTTTGGTCATGACCTTTTGTGCTGTTAATTTTGCATTTTCAATTAAATTTTTTATCATATTTATTATGAATCGATTTTAGAAATGGGAATTTTGTTTAGGGTACTGAATAATAAGTGATAATTTATTTAGCATATATCAGAATAGTGCTGATATTAATTAATAGAGATAAAAGAAATTTGATGAATATTCTAAATTGAAGATGAATGCAAAAACGACAGACGACGATAAAAATGAAATTATGAAAGATATTAATAGAACCTATTAGGAGGTGGGATTGTTTCAGTTAGAATCAAACAAAAACATTATGTGTAATGTGTTATTGTTGTGGTGCAGCCATAGTTTGTCATATCGCCAAGGTATATAAGCTTTTAAATGATAGGTATGAACGAGATAGTGGGAGTCATATTTTATACATATGTCCAATCTTTTTAGGATTGCCAAGAGTAGAACCCAACTAAAATCGAGAATGATATTTATTGGGTATTTAAGACGATTATGGATGATGGAGATCATAAACAAAATTTTAATTACTCGTCCCATATGCCTATAGATAGAATACCTCTGATTAGATATATAAAGGATCTGACTATGGAAAAACTCAAATACATTGATGAGCAGTTATTTTAGATCTTTGAGTAGAATCAAATTAGCACAGAGATATTTTTAATGAAATGGATCAAAGTATGTTATTTATCATATAAATGTGTTTACTAGCCAGAGAATATGAGATTGAATAGATATAAGTAATTTGGGACAAGATGTTTGAGAAGTTCCAGACATCAAAATTGAAATTTTTGGATGCAATGATTTTAACAATGATGATATAATTGAAACCGTAATGTAAAAAATGAATATTAAATTAAAGTACTCAAGATTGAATTCATAAATAATTTTGAGGTTTTATTGTTGTTCCAAAATTACCCAGCAAAGGACAATTACTAATAGATGATAGGATAGGCTGAAAAGATAGAAAGTAAAATAGATTTGATATAAATGTAGAATAATTAAGAGCTTTGGATGGGATATCATGGTTAGAGATTATCAAGAGATTCAATTTGGGTTACTCATTATCTTTGTATTTTCAGAAGAATTGATCTATTCATTAGAATTAATGGATATAAAATTCTCTTTATTTTTATTTCTAATTTAAATCCTTACAAACATATAAATTAATTTGAATGGAAAAAGTATTGAGTTATGATTAGATCGTTTCACATTTTGTAGATTTTTGTCATAAAAATCAAGACCAAGAAATCAGTCAGATTGAAGCAACAAAAATGTTAAACTAGATGAGTGTGCAAAATGGACATCAGGAATTCAATTATGAAATTGCTGTCGAATTGTTTGAAAGAGTTGCTTCTTACAATACTTCTTTAACAATTTAAACCTTGGCTCACGTGATCTATGAAGCCAATGACATCATCATTAATAAATACAATCAGGCGATGAATAGGGAAATGTATATGGAAGAATAAAAGGCATATCTCAAATAAATCAAGCCTTATAGCAATACAACCAATCTTCATATTAGCTATGTGAGAATACAAGAAGCCTATGTACAAAGACCCTACATTGTTGTTCTAATAGGAGAATTTATACATGAAAGTGAAATACAAACAAAAAAGGAGGGATGGTTTGAATGGACTCTAGATGTTCAGATTCCAGTGAAATCACTTGTTGCAGATTTGAAAGTTGAATTATTAGAAGATCATAACATAATAGCAAGTTTACAATTGCCTTGTGAGGCCTTGCCAATGAATGAAATGAAGGAGGCTGAATTACAAATGCAAAATGCTAATTGCCACACATTAATTTAATTGCAATGTATGCTGAGTGTTGGTAACAATTATAAGGAATTGATTGATGAAAAAATGCAGTTTCTTGAAAATCAAACTTAACTTTGCTAAGAAGAATTGTTCCTCCTCCAATCTTAATTGCATGAATTAAGCAGACCCTTCTTCAGAGATGCTAATATTCAACCCAAATACACCAATTATTCTAATAAGTCACAATTGAATACTGAGATATTTTAGAATATCCCTAACAAGAACACCCTTTAGCCACCATCCTTGTAAGCCACAGCATTCAGAAACACTTCATCAGCGATTGGATTCAAAAAGATCGTAATTGAACCACAAAGGCAATTACACTCCTACCCTATTATGGCTCGTATAGATCTATTGGCAACAATTATAGCGGTATATGTCTAATTATAAGTTATAGGTTATTTCTATGATGATTAATTTTATCACTCCTGATATCAGTGTGACTTACATTATGATTATAGTATTCTCAATAATGTTGAAACACAAACATACTTTAATTTATATTTTGATTGTAGTGAGTTTTGGAATCATAATTGAAATTTTTACGTTAAGCTATTTAGATCTGAGCGTATTTTCAATACTGTTAATAGTATTAAACATATTATTAAATATTGGATTGCTCGTCCTTACAGGTTTGCTCGTAATTGATGTTGAAAATGTGACTATACTTAAATCCAAGCTTTTACTACCCTTATGATTAATTAAATTTTGTTTACACTAAAAATATTTAATTGATATTTCATATTAGAGAATAAAGTGGAATGATCTCTATGATCCATGATTTATTAAAATATATCAATATCCTATATTATTTTTTAGGTACTTTTAGTTTAATTTAATATAATCAGCACTAGTTATTTATCAATATAGACTAAATAATAAATAAAGTGTTAAAACAATTTAAATTATTCAAAATAGTAACGATTCCATAAGAGATTTTTCACTTTAAGAAATAGAATGTTTTAATGATATCTTAAACATTTAAATTAATTATTTATCTTAAAAAGATTGCTTGTCGAAGCTTTGAGTATAATATTTTATCAATAGAAACTTTAGGTAATATAATAACATTTCTTCATTTTTAAGAGAGATAGTGAACAGCAAATTTGTATCACTGATTCTTAAAATTTAGATTGTAAATGTAGATATCTTATTTCGACTTGAAATTATGTTTATTAAATATTAAACATATATTTGAATGGATAATTTAAACGATGAAGAAATTTTTAATGATCGTGATCGTATTGAGCCATTTGTCAAGGCAATCACCAGAAATAAGCATTTATTCAAAGATAAAATTGTGTTGGATCTAAATGCAGGGATGGGATTGCTTAGTGTTTTGGCTTCATAATCTGGAGCAAAATAAGTTTATGCCATGAAAGCAAATTGTTATGCCGCTGAGATTGTGAAATAGAATAACATTTAAAATGTTATTTTAAAGAAAGAAAACATTAAAGATGTGGATTTAAATTGCAAAGTAGACATCATAATTTCTGCTTGGATGGGTAACATGCTATTTTATGGTGGGTGTATATAAGAAGTGATATATGCAAGGGATAAATACTTAAACAAGAATGGATTCATCATGCCTGACAAAGGGCAATTATATCTGTAATCTATTGAAGATAGCCAATATCGCAATTAGAAAATGAATTTTTGGTATTTTCAATCATAAATTTTATATAGGAATTCTGTTTATGGAGTCAATATGAAATGGATGAAACAGTGGGTCGCGAGAGAGCCACTTATTGAGAGCATAAAAGATGATTAATTAAATAGTGATGAATAGTTAATTTATGAGGTCGATTTGCAAACTTGTAAATTGGAAGATCTTAGTTTTAGCAATTAATACTAAGTAAAGATCAAGAGATAGGATTATGCAACTGGAGTGATTGTGTGGATGAAATACTCATTCACTTACACCCATCTGCCAATCCATGTTGTTATGGGTCCTACAAAGTCACCTTTTTGGAAACCTGTCATTTTGTATTTTAAGGAAGAATTGGCTGTTAATAAGGGCGACAAATTACAAGGTTTAGAATTGTTTACTATTAATTAGGTTCATTAGCTGTCAAATTTGAATCAGAAGAACTCTTACAAATTAAGTTATCTGTACATATGTAACAATATAATTATGTATCATATTTTAAGTTAAATTGAGTAAGTAAAATATCAATCATTATACTTTCATTCTTTTTACTATTTTTGCACTTTATTTATTTTAATTCACCAATCTAAAGGCCAAGGGAGATGATCTTAATGAATTGTACAGAACGGTCTCTGTAATATTACGATTAACGGTTCTTCCTCTTGCATCATATTCGGTATCTCTTCTTTTTGAACAAGATGAATATGATTTCATTCTTTAAGCAGTGTACTTTGATTAAAGACACTTTATTTCTTGAGTGTTTTATTGTGAATCACTTTGAGGTTGTTTTTGACTTTCAACTGATCTGGTAAAATAGGATAGATATCTATTTAATGAATTAATGAGGAAAACTTTAATTTAGTCATTCTAATCTGAAGTAAAATAGGTTCTCAAACTGTTAATTGTGTCTAAAACACATTATTTCAAATGCTTAGTCAATATTTTTGTCTACATATACTCTTAAGCACTAGCTTTTGAATCAAGAATGGGTATTACTAAGGATGAATCACATTTTTAATCAAGTTTTGATTCTAATTCCTGAATAAACTTTAACTTCTAATCAATTTCTGTAAGCTTATCTTCCTTTATTTAAGGCTTATTATTAATTACGGTTATCTATTAATTTAATTGATCAAATTGAGTTTTGAATTTTTTTGATTCTTCTAGTAGTTAAATTATCATCTAATTGAAATATTCCATCCTAATATTAATTGTGTCTGACACTTGTATATTATTCTCTTGATATTTATTTGCTTTTGGCAATTTTTATCGGAGTTCATCAAATTAGTTTTGCAATTCCTATATTCTAATATCTGATCTTTGAAATATTTTCTGAATCACATCAGAATTAATAAACGATCCCTCTCTTAAAAAATTCATAGACTTTCTTTACATTCTTTGAGGAGATGGTTGAGTGCTTTTCATTTCTTCTTAAGAAAATTCAACTCTTTTTGGACTTTCCCCATAGGTTACGCTTTCGCCATCCTTTTGAATAAGTTAATGTTGTAAATTTTCTATTTCTAATGTTTTTTGTTTGTTGAATTATTGAAATGAGACCTTTTATTCAAATATAGCTGCACTTATAGATTCAAGTTTTTCATTTAGATATTCTGATTCTCTTTGTAAACTTAAAGTTTTTTGCATTGCAATTTACAACTCGTCTTTCATGACAACCTTCTGGAATTTCAAATTAATGACAGTTAATTATGATTTTAAGTCGTTTACTATTTAATTCTCCTCTTTGAGTTATTCCTACATTAATTTATATTCTTCTGTTATTTCTTTTTACATCATTAATATTTTCTCTGATAAGATCTTACATATTTAATTTACTCTATCTTCATACACTCTTTGATCATTTTTTGTAGCATACACTTTTAACTTAGCATTTGCCAGATCCTCAACCTTTTTATCATCTAATTCACTCAAGACTTACATCTATTTATCTTTGATGAATTAAATGTTCTCCTAAGCAATGCCTAATTATTATTTAGTACACATTTCTCCTTACAATCTATCTATTCTCTGTTGAAACTAATTCTTGATATTATCTAATTCAATACTAGTTACAAAATCTCTCCTCATTAGATCTTACACTTTAGTGATTTCTGAATGGTCAATTTTTGAAGCCAACAATTATTCAAATTAATCCAGCCTAGTTTTATAGTTTTAAGTTAATCTATCATTTTACAAGAGAATACCAGTGTATTCTTTATATTTTTAATTCATTTCTTTGATATTGAGTCTCATTTAATTGTTCATCTCCCTATTTTACTTTGCTTCCTCTAAAATACTTTGAAAATATATAATTACATATGTACTTATGCATTTCATCAATGCAAGGTTGAATTTATTTAATCTCCACAGAGTGCCTGTTTAGGATTTCATCATAATGAGAACTAAATTTTGAGTGTTATGATTCAATTGAGCTCAATCTTTCTTAGAGATTTAATTAAGAGTTTAGTTTTTAGATCGTATCGCTATTCAAATCAACTCTTGAATTATTTGTTATAAAAACTTCCAAGGCTGACAATTTTTATTACATCTTGGAAATTTGGTTAATGTGAGGCAGAAAAGTATTGTTCAGTTATTCTATAGATTCCTCTAGTTTGATAAATCGTAATTGCTCATTCATTAATATAATAAATGTAAATCAAAAATTAAAGGTTAACACAATCTTAAATATATATATATATACAAATATCATTAGCCAAAAAAAGAAAATGATGGCTGAAGTATTCATTTAAGGTTAAGATTAATTGCTGATATCTTCTGAGTTGCTTGTTGATTTCGGTTAAATTACAAAAAACTTGTATGTAATTAATTTTGCTGAAGTTCTTACTTTACCTTTACCTAGTATTTGATGAAATTAGATAAATTAGAGCTTAAAAAATGGAATTATCTTCTAATTTATGAGTCAATGCTATTTATTTCATATTCAAATTATAAAATAGTTAAATTAAATAATATAATAAATTGTTTACATGAAACAAATCAATGTAGTATTCTTTAAGTTTACAATTTTGATGTTAGAAAATTATTAATAGAATGGTAGCTTTGATTGTGACAGAAATTATTAGACCAAAACTTTTATACAAAAATATTGATGAGTTAAACAATAAAAAAATTGATAGAAAGGGAAGGAAAAACTATGAAATTATCCAAAGATAATAAATTATAAATATCATCAAACACGATATGATTTAGTAGAATCAAACGTTAAATTCATTAATACTACTAAGAGATACATCCTGGATATTACTATTACAACTACTTTTGCTCTAAATTACATGTTTCTATTAATAGCTTTTTCTTGCCATAGCATATATTAAACTGCTATTTTTATATCCTGTCTAAAGCACCATCTTAGAAAATGCAGAGTCACTATTTATGTATGTTGAAACCTTTGGATTTTGAACTAATAGTTCATATGGATGTCCTTCTTCTAGGACTTTGCCATCTTCCAAAACAAGAACTTTATCATAATCTGCTATTGTATTCAATCTATGTGCAATAGTGAATATTGTGCAATCATTAAACTTGTCTTTGATGATTTATTAAATTAAGCAGTCAGTTATCATGTCGACATTTGCAGTCGCTTCATCCAAAATCAGTATCTTTTTCTTATTCAACAGAACTCTACTTAAACAGATTAACTATTTCTAACCAATAGAAAAGAATTCTGGTTCAATCTAATGATCCAAACCATTAGGTAATTATTAAATAAAACCTTCCAAACCTGTGTCAGATAAGACATTTAATAAAGATTTATCATCAAAGTTTTAAAAAGGGTCTAGGTTCTCTCTCAAAGTGCCTTTGAAAAGAAAAGGTACTTGAGGAATAATACTGATTTCTCTTCTTAACTTGTATAAATTAATTTTGCGAATATCTTAATCATCTATTGAAATTACACTAATAAGTATATGCATATATAATACCCACTGTTTTAAATAGAACTTAATCTGAAAAGACTTGCAATGACTGAAGATTTACCAGCTCCAGTTCTACCAACTATTCCAACCTTTTCTCTATCCTTAATCTCGAAATTCATTCCTTTTAATACTAAAGGAGTGTTCTCTCTGTATTACATTTTTACATTTGAATAAACAATGCTGCCTAATTTTGGCCAATTTCTAATCTTTAATTCCCCCTCTGCCTCTTCTTTTTCAATTTCTAAATCACATATTTCAAACATTCTATTAACACTATTCATCATAGAATCAAATGCCATAAATTATCTCAATGTACCAGCTTATGTATTGAAAGTTGAGAGTAATAGTAAGGCTTATGAGAAAATAGTGGGATCTGATACCATACCTATAATCAAAAAGATTCCAGATATATTAGCGAACTACCCAAATAAATCAATATAAAACCCAAAACATCTTTATGAATACAAAAATATTAGATTGGCCTACATGGATTAATTAGATAATTTAGTAAACTTTTCCCTTATCCATTATTAATTTTCATTAATCCTTATTTAAGTCACTCCATTAATGGTAATTTTAAATTAATCAAATAAAGGGGATCTTTATATTAAATCGCATATCTATAATTGAGAGACCACTGATCTTGTTATTCTGAAAATTACGATTGTACTAATAATTGTAAACATAGCAGCAAATGTGAAATATGGTTATAAAATGGCTATGGTAACAAGCGATACCAAAAATTGTGATCCTTATTCAAATATATCAGTAATAGTTTATTGAATTTAGGTATCAGCCAATGACAAATCAGTTGAAAAACGATTGATCAATCTTCCAGAAGGGTTTGTGTCAAAATATAAAATTGGAGATAGAATTAATTTTTGCAGCATTTTGTTGTGAATGCTATTATTTGATGTAAGAACACCAAAGATATTTAAAAAATACTTTATGATATTATTGAAATAGGCTGCTAGTACCAAAATGGCTGCATTGTAAAATATCTAATCATTATCTTGTTATTTATCTTCATCAAAAGAAGCCATCTCTTTGTAATAGTAATTATTAATAATTTCACTAGCAACATTTTGGCACAATATTATAAAGATTAAAAAGAAAGGCTTCCAATAACTAAAATATCTTCTGTATGTTTCTAATGTGGCATCGCATTAATTTTGATCTTCATTTGTATATAAACTTTAGGTTTCATCCTTGCTTGATTTTTATATCTAACTGACAATCTTGCCAATCAACTTACTAGGTCTTTTGATTTTTAATGATCTAATTGGATTTTCAATGTTGCTATTACTAGAATGAACACTTGAGATTTCTAATACATGTTTCTTCATCTTATTCTTCTAACCCTAATGAGTAATCATGCCACCATCGATAATAACAATATAGTCACATTCTAATGCATAAGAGATCTGATGTGTAGCTAAAATAACGGATGGTGTTTGTTATATGAAAGCCTAATGAGTCTTAATTAGACTAGGCCTGTAATTAGGTTGAAACTTAAATATAAATTCTTTGATTGCATTTTCAAATATTTTGCCAGCAACCTTCGAATCTACGGCTGATAAAGGATCATCAAATAAATATAAATCAGCTTATGAATATAATGCCCTTGCCAAACTTAATCTAGCCTTTTAGCCTCCTGATAAATTTGCTCCTTTCTCACCAATTTCTGTTTTATCCCCTTGTCTGAAGGATAAGATATCTTGATCTAAACAACTCACTTCCAAGACTTTTAGATAGAGTACTTAATCATAATCTTTACCAAATAGAATATTCTCTTTGATAGATCCAGTATAAATAAAAGGGTCTTGTTCAACATAGGCAAATTTCAGCTTTTTTTGATAGGTGACACTTCCCTCATAATATGGTAGTTCTTAAAGTATAGCTGTTAAAAGTGTGGTTTTGCCAGCTCCAACCTTTCCTATGATTCCCATAATTTCACCTGATTTAATTTCTAGATTAATTTAACTGATAACAGAGGGGCCATCCTTTGACCATTTGCCGTAATATTGAGATATCGAAACAAGGGATGTTGACTATAAACTCAAACTACCTTTTCTATTGAGTCCTCTACTTCTATCCTGTAACAATTATTGCATAGGTTAATTTTAGACATCGTATGTAGTAAATGTAGTTCTAAATTATTCAAACGTTGTGAGGTTATTGGATTGCTATTTAAGTATCTCAGAGACTCTTGAAAATATTACACTAAAATTCATTAGTGCTTAAAAGGCATAGGACACTTGAAAAATGCAATAGTATTTGATCATTGACATGAGCTAAATGGTTCCCATAATGTTAGAAATAGTTAAATGAGTATCACTGGCATACAATATTAAAATGAAACAAAAAGATCCCCAAATGTGAACACTGAAGTTGAAAGAACGGTCTAACAAATTTAAAGCATGAATATTCAAATAATAGAAAAACTCTTTCCTTCTTATAACATTAATCTTATCTTCAAATAGCTTCTCCCATACATACATTTTAATATACTTAATCCCCTCAATAACAGTGTTCGTTTACTAATTTACTAAGTTTTAATCATACTTGTATTCTTTGATCCTACAACTTTCTAGTCTATAACAACAATCTCTTATTGATATTCTGAATCAATATTTGCAAAGGGTACAAAATGGCGCAAAATATAATGGCAACTAATCCAAGCGGGCCATCGAATCTTAACTAAAAATTAAAAATTTGATACCCATAAAATGATTGAGGTAAATAATAATGATCCGGGAATCACTGCCACTTAATAAATAAAGGTCAATTAATATTCTATCACATTCAGATCACTACTCACGAGATTCATAATTTTTCCTACATTCAACATTGATATTTAGGTTGAATTCAATTCAATCACTCTCTCATAGATTAAATTGATAAATATCATTCTTATTTTAGTCGCAAAATTACTTATCAAATACCTAATTTATTATTAACTTTACTATTATTAGTGCTTACTCATCAGTGCAAGCAATGAAAGCAATGCTAGAGCTGTAGCCTGCAAATAGGCGCTATTCATGTCATTTTCTGTCACCGCAGATATCAAAGTTTCAGTCAAAATTGCCATAACAAATCTTGAATAAGTCTCAAACATAGCAAGAATAACAATAATCATTGTGACATATTTATTATCCTACCAGAAAATCAATTTAAAGAGTGTTCTATTATTAAAGGTAAAAAAATCCTAATATTTAAAATCGTTTTTACATTTTTCTTTATCTACTCTTATACATTTTTTAAATTGTACTAAATTGAGTCTAGATAACTTTACTTTGGTAAATGGGACACATTGATTTTCTACATAGACGTTTCAATAATCTATTTTAATTGTTTCATATAACAAAAAATATGGTAAAGGAATAATCTCTACAAAAAATTAAAGCGTTAATAGATAGTTTCGTTATTGAGTTTATGGTTTTGGGATGCTTTCACTGGAGAGTAGAGACTTTTCATTGTATTTAGATTTTTATATGATTTAATTGCACTTTCAATCTATGGTGAGTCTACTACTTTATGTTGTTTAGGTGTATTAAATGGTTAGGCCTCTAGAGGATGGCTAGGGTCTTAGTTGCTTTCACTCCAAAGTATTTCCTGGTTTTAATTATTTCGACTTTTAAAGGGACTCTCAATTTCTTCTTCAAGAATGTAATTCAGAACAGCATTAGATTCCTAGCGATTAATTTATTATTAAGATTATTTCTCACTCATATAGTCTTCACTATCCTCCTCTTTGATTATGTCACTGTCGATGTCCAAGTTTCGAATCTTTACAGACACTTTCTTTTTCGAAGGCCTTTCCAGTCTTCTTCGAATATCTGGCTCCTAAGTTTCTAAGTCTGTATTTGAAGAAACGCTGTCATCAGGCTTAGGTTAGTGAAGGTAGCGAGATTAATTCTCTTGAAATCTTTTTCTTTATTTATGAGTACTAGAATTTAGCATTTGATGTTAAAATGAGATTTAATTGATATATATATATATACAAATACTGTTGAATTTTAAAATACAAAGTAGATAATTTACATCCCAAAATCAGGTTGAAAATTTAATTGATTGAATTATTATACATAATAATCATATTAACAAATCGTTAATGGTTTGATTTCTAGCATCGAAATTATATTCTGATTGAATTCCATTTCTTTACATATAAGGTAGATTGTATTTTAAACATTCTTCGTATTCTTATTGAAGTAATTAAAGGTGAGGATTATTCATGAATTCGTTGTCCTCTTCCTTTTTTATACTTGGATGATGTTCCATTTCATGTTGAGGATTCCAAAATTCTTATTGAATATTAGAATAATAATATTTCTATTATTCTAACATCATGTAGTAATAAGGATCATGTGCTTCATAATTGGCGATGACGTTTGCCTCTTCTTTTACAATATACTATCAATTTTTACCTGCTTTTGGTAAGTCTGTTTGGGGATTCTTCTTTTTTCTGCCTGCTCTACTCCTTTCAGCACGAGGTAAGCGTTTTCCGTTTTCTCCTCTCAAAGCGTATGGGTTAAACTTCTGATGATGACTTCTGCACTAACTTGGTGTTCTAGTACCAATTAGTTCACTCATTTATTTGAATATTTTTGATGTCTTTTTCATCATTGAGGATGTCATTATATCCTCATATTGCTATAAAAAGGATATATAGGTTGAATGTTCATCGGTTGACCAATGACCAGTATTCATGTTTTCTTTCTTAGGCTTTTTAGTTTAAGAATGCTGTCCTTTCTCTTTTTATGTCTATTAAGAACCTTCTTGGGAACCTTAAGCATCTTGATGTGGATTGGAAACAATGTCAGATTGGAGTTTAGGCAATGGGCTGCCTTGTGTGTAATGAAACACTGGATATGGTTGTTTAATACTAAAGTGAGAATGAATTATTGTACATTTAATCTGGTTGAATGATTATTTGTTGTGGATCCTCAACAAACTATTTGTCGGATTCCAATGTTTTAGGTAATAGGCCCTTGGAATCGTTATTCCTTTTTCAATGAAATTAAATTCAATTACTTATGTTTTTTATTTTTTTTATTTTTTATTTGGCTTGGAATCTCGTGTTCTTGTACGAACTCAAATTAATAAGGAGGAAATGTTTGTGGATAAAAATTCTATTGAAATAAGTTAAACTCATTATAATTTGAAGCTTGGCTCTATTCTGAATTTATTAGATTATTATCATACTTGCTTGTTCAATGTCCCCTTAGAGTTACACTTGCGCTTCATTCACATAAGGGAAGTAATTTTGATAGTGCTGAACGTTCATCATATATATTTAGAAAATATTTGTTTTACAATTTTTAATTAATATTAATCCAATAACATACTTAGTTTCTCAAGTTAAATCATCCTTCACCACCATCTGTCTAATTATCCTATCCAATTGATTGTCCAAAAACAAGGACTGTTGAGGAAGCAACAATAAAAATCGTTTCATCAAATTGAATTCCCATTTAAAATAAGACAATATTTTTGTGTAAACCAACACAATGACCAGCACAACTAGTATGATGAACATCATATTTATTATCTAAATTTAGAGCTAACAATTTACCAAAATCTGTGAAATTAATTCATCAGTTGACTACTTCAACTAATTTTAAAATTTCTATTTCAAAACTGAAATTGTATCATACAATATCAATCCAGCCTCAAGTTCTTCCTAGGTCGTATAAACCTTGAGAGCAAATCCATTTGTTTGAGCATACTCTGTTAGTAAACTATTCCTTATTTCTGTACCAGCAGCCTAAAATCCTTTCCTCAAAACTCCTTAATAAACGGCATCACAATGACTTTAAGCCAACTCGACTTTATTCTTGTAATAAAAATCTAAAAATTTACTTCTGGCAAGAATTAACACACATCTGAACTCATCATCAGATTCATTTGGGATACGAAATCCTCAGATGTTATATATTTATTTGTATCCATCTCAGATATTAGAGATAAGAAATTGCTGATAATTTCTATCTAATTAAAGAAATTTTGCACAAAAAAAGTGGCATTCTTATCTGGAAAAAAGTAAAAGATTTTTGTTAATGGGAACTTTTAATAATACGTAACATCTCTCATAGAGAATATTCCACTGACTGCAATACATAAGTCTGATAATGAGTTAAAAAATGTTGTTGTATCTGGATACTTTTGGAAGTAATTTCTTCCCAAGGAATTCGTAATGAAACAAAAAATAAAACAGATTCCAAATAGCAATGTAAATGTTAACATTGATGGCAACATTGACATCTTTTAATTTAAATTGGCAATTTGGCCTTTTTACTTTGATTTATTGTTTTTTTGATTCTAAGCAATTTTCTCCTTCCTTATATCCTCTGCTGCTAAAAATTTCTCCTTTATATCAATATCAAACTAATATTTAAATAAAACATCGGAATCTTTAATTAATAGAGAGGCTATCCCTCTGTACCTATCTATATCTCTTTACAACCATACAGTGTCAATAAAACTGAAGAGTTAAAGAAAACTATTGTATTGATTTAGATAAGCCTTATAAAATGAGAAGGCAATAAACAATAATAGCAAACAAACCATTATAATTGGAATCAGAAGGTAGTTCCATTTATCTGATACAGTACCTGATCGAGTTATTGAGTAGTTTACCATCTCTTCATTTAATATTTATAATTATTCTGCAAATGTTTAATAATTTGCATACAGGAACACCAAAAACCCTTAAGTTAAATCTAATGTAATAATGTTATAATAATCTATATTGACAAAATTATAACAGGCCTCTAAATATAAATACATGGATTCTCTTGCAGATATTGTATAATTTGTTGTATTAGGATACTTTCCAACCATAATGTTGAAGTACTTATCTTCAAAAAAGGGATTTAAATAAGGATTTGATAACTATTTAGTAAAACTATCCTTGAGTTCAATATAAGTATAATTTATATCTTTGATTGAATACTACATTTTTTATATTTAAGTTGTAATAGTGATGTTTGGGTATAATAGCATCAGTACAACATATGTTGTTAATGCATTCTAAGCATCAATGTACTTATTAACTGGTCCAATAATGTTAGATTTTATTTAAATTAAATCAAGCTCCTCCAAAAATCTGACCAAATCATCGTTTGAATAATAGAGCATAATTCCACTATATACTAAGAATAAACTGAACATAATTGTCAGAAATACAAACATTATTTTAAAATTTTTTGAAAACTTAGTTGAGTTTATCAATTTTTCAATTAAATCATACTTTTTAGAATATTTAGATTTCTTTAATCCTGCTATTGAACTTACTTATGACCCAATGTCATCAATATGAACTATTCGCTGCTCTTTTGAGTCCATTTACATTTGCATTCTAATGTTTTCTTATAATTCCTAATCTATATCATCATATTAAAGCTTATCAATTTAATTTTCAATTATCTGGTCTTTTTTTATTTCACTACTTTACTGAAAAGATGAAGAATAATCCTCTTATTCATTTTATTGATCTGACTTAAAGAATTGTTATTTCTTTTCATACTGCCTATTTTATATTGAAGTTACATTAAAATCTGGGTTTTTATTCTCTATCAGTCGTAACCCACTATCTTTAGGACTCATCATAGATTAATTTTGATATGGTTATTAATAAGATTAATTCATGCTTTTATCATTGGCCCTTAACTTTTTCACGTTGTAATCAAATTAATCAAAATGGTCTAAATTATCAAGATTTTCAGGTTGATCTTACAATCCATATAATTCTATTGCCTTAGGCATATTAACTGCAAATTCTATATCTTCTTGTTCAATGTCCATTACATCCAAACTTTCAAAATCTTAATTTGAGTTACATCCTAATGTCATTTATGGCTCAGGAATTGTGGTTTCTGTTCTTGACTATTTTTTCATTTCTTTGATCTCAATTATTATATAATTCAATTCAGTTTTGAAGTTCCTGATATGCAAAACGCAATCAACTTAATAGTTAACTAAATGATCTTAGTTGTCCCAATTTATTTTTTAATTGCTTTCTAAGAGCAAAGCTTACGGAATGTACATATGTAAAGAATATTCACTAATTTATGTGGTATCCATTATATCTTAATTAATATCAGATGCTCTAGAAATGTTAGCCTCAAGTATTGTGGAAATTTTAGGGAAGACTTTGCTTAGAGGAACCTTCTGAAATGCCTAAGCCAAATCTTTATTTAATTTATTGCTGTAATTCAATTTATTGATAAAGCTTTTTGATATTCCAGACACTTTATGATTAGATAAGGAAAATAGATACACACTTTGAGTTTCAACATTTTAAAGAAAGCAAGCAAAAGTTAAGTCATCCAAATTCATAAAATTGATATCATAAAAGAAGTCTATCGTTTTAATAAATCTTTACTGATATTGACAAAAATTTAAATTAATCTATCTGAAATATTTTGATACTCCATGTTACAAGAAATTAGCAACTAATTTTTCATGTACAGCTTCAAAACCTTAAGGTAGTATTGAATTGATTTAGGAGATCATTTTAAATGAATCTTAGGATAATCCAAAAAATTGGTGAATCATATTTGAACCATTTCTAATTGCTAATTTATGTGATTGTTAATCAAATCCTATAATGAGATAATCGATTTTATTTGAAAAAAGGTCAAAATTAGTTTAGGATTACATTTTCAACAATTTTTCATCTGAAATAGAAGCGATGGTCGCTATTTTATACGCAGAAAAATAATTATTCATTATTTCAGATTAATAAAATGTATTGAGTGCTTGCATCTTCTAACTTGGAAACTGATCATATAATTTGTATAACTAATCTTCAAGATCATTCATTTGAATAAGTAGTTTTTTGCCAGCTTAAAAAACAATAACATCATTGCTTAACTGATTTAAATTGTTGAAGAATTCCCTTTTCCTATTTATCATCTTAACTACTTTCTTTCTTAATTTTTTATTGTTTTCTTCAGATTGCAGAAATAATTTAACAGCATGTTCTAAGTTTTCTGAAAGTTAAGCAGACTACTTAGAAAATCCTATGCTCATAGATTACTTGATCTATTCTTAAATTAGATTGAGTTTTTATTTTATAATGAATCCCATATTATTTAATCTGATATGTGTTGTACTTTAAGCATTTTTATCTCCTCCTATTTTGGATTTCTATAGGGAATGACTCTTTACTTCCTAACTATTATTTAACTCTTTTTTCTCGCTTTTTTATTGATACAACTTTTAGTTTACAAAATTAGTAGCAGATGAACTAAATTAGATCTATTCACTGTCAAGTTGAGCCAAAAAATTTGACTATTAAAATGCCTTTGTATTCAATCCTAGATAGTTAATGAGAGATAAGTAATGCAAGAAGAATGATTAACGGGCAGATTCATCTTTTGTTCTTGAAATCATTATGTCAAAGTACTTGACCTAGTCTTTAAGGAATAAAATGATAGCATCTTCAAACGAAAGGATTTGTCTCTTGCACATACATTTGGAATCTTCACATTCATCCTGGTGTGTCTATTTAAACAGATGGATATATGTTATCTTCTTTTTGTCTTGCAAGTAATTTGATTGCAAATAACCATAATCATGTATGATATTACCAATTTTATATTATAACATTTCAGCTGTAATTTTTGAACTATTAGTCGCCATTAAGGATTCATGTATTTTCATTTGGTAACTTTAAACTATACCATTTAAAATTGGTGAAATCAATAATATCAATAACACATCATATGTATCTTGATCTTGTTTGGTAACTTGGTTGATGAATAATATTATGGCCAGTGTTATTTGAAAAAAATTACATTATGCTTCAATTTTTTATCTATGATATAAGTTAGGATAACTCCATATCAACGCCCAAAAATTACTAACTTGTTTGACCAGTATTATGCTGAAAATTAGATAGAATTTGGTTAAATTAGAACTGTCCATTTGATCAATAACTACAATAATTAGATTCAATATGGATTTCCAATAATTACTAAAGGTGACTTATAGCAATTAAAAATTATGAGGTGTTACAGAGATTGATTCTAAATTACAAAATAATTGAACCAAAAAATTCCCAATCACCAAGATTAGCGTTATTATTGAAAATGACAAATTAATCATATTGATGGACGAACTTTTTGTATTATAGAATAAGGAGCTCAATGCTAATTCTGTCAAAGGAATTATAGTAATGTAATACATCAATGAATGAAAATATGATAAAATTCTTAAAAGAACTTAAATTAATCTATTTTAACTTTTCAAAAATTCTCTTAATCTATGCTATTTTTTATTTTTTCCCAAAGACATTATAAATAAATATATCAATAGAATCTGATAAAGCAATGTGATGCATAAGGGTATTAAATAACTCAATTCCTTAAATTGCTCATTTAAGCTTAATCTTATTCGAGATGCCAAAGAAATTTCTCTAATAAAAGTAAAGAAATTGATTCCTTTTTTGTAAAATTCATCTTGATAATTTAACAATAAAAAGCTTAATTCTTAAATGGTGGAAAATATCAATATGATATTAATTATGGCGCTATTGAATTTAACGAAATTTTGTTCACAAAGTATTCTAACTTAAATATAGAATTCAATAAATCTTTGATCTAAAGAACTTTTTTATTTTTGTTTCTTTTTTACTTATTTCATTAGGTATATATGATAATTATCAACAAATATCTATATTTATTAAATTCGATAAAAAATAAAAGTACAAATTCTCTACTCTGAATAATGTATTAAATCACAATTGTTCAATTATGCACTTTTATAAGTATTCCATCCTTTTGAATTCTTACAAGTGATTTGCTGGAGATTGTAAAATAAATAATTTTAAAGGATCATATTACCTTAAAACTATAGGATTAAATACAATGACAATGCCTGAGATATGATATTTGGGTGTAAATATTGAAAAAGGGAAAAGTTTCAACTCATTGTAAATAAAATTGTAAATTAAAAATTACATGAACTTTTGACCTTTTTAAAGAGTTCAATAAATTAGGTTGAAAAAATTGAAAATAATTACATTTCTAATTCAGACTTAAAATTTTAGAATAATATAAAATTTTAGGCAATCCCCACTCAAAATATAAAGTTATCATAATTTAAAAATGTTCCAAATAAAATCGATAGAGATAATCTATTCTTTTATATAAGATAAATTTTTAAAGGTAGTTAGGACAATTAATATAATTAATTTGAACTAAGGTGATTAAGCACTTAAGAACTTAATAAAATACTAATGTAAGCTAAATAAATGATATATTAATTATAAATTGAGAAAAAAATTGACTAATTGAATTATTATTTTTCACCCCATCGTATTATTGATTAAGATTAAATCATTATAATTTATGCCCTCTGTATTATTTGAATATTTATATTAAATTCTTAAAATCCTCTACTTAAATTGAAATATAAAATTTTAGATTATTTATAAAAACAATATTTATATATTTTTTTCAATTTATTTATTTAGTTAGATCTTATTGAAGACTTAATTTAAATAAGCAAAAGATGATTGAAAATCTTTGAATAGAAATAGATATTGATATTTGGATAGAACAAAACAACATATTGACTTGAAAATTAATTTCTAATTATAATATTACTAGGTCATTGTAAAAAACACAGGACATCATGCCAAAATAAGTAAGGAATAATAGATGACTGAATCGAATATAATTTTATTTTTAAATCCTTAAGAGTCACTTTATTAGACATTAATCAAACTTACCTAATAAAATAAATTATAAAAAATCATAATATTACATGAACCTATTAAAAATTCATGATTATAAATATTAAAGAAGTTTAAAATGAATTTGAAAAATCTTCAAAAATATTAGTATTATTTAGTAGTATAAGAAATTTAGAAAGGACAATAAACCAAAGGAATAAAACACTTAGAAAATGATTAATATATGCAAATTCATCCAACCTCATAACAGGAATATGACGGTCAATCACATTATGGATCATCTGTTTGGAGAAGTGGAAGATTGGGCTGAGAAACCAGAAAAGGTGAATATAATGAGATGTAAAGTGGGAGTTTAACAGCAAGGTTAAAACATTTATGAGGGAGCAGATGATCAAAATTGCCGTTCGAACCAGGAAGCTGATCGAAATGGAATGCTAACAGTATTTTAGGAAAAAAGGATTAAGATTGCAACAAAATGATATATAATTCATTTTCATAATTATTACATCTAACCTTCAATTTTCAGTCTTTGAAAATGCCTTTGCATCATGATCTTTATCTTTTGCTGTTTCTGAATCAATCTTCAACTAGTCCATCTCTTTCTATAAAATCTATTAAGTGTCTTTTTCTTCCAATTTAATATTGCCTAAATTAAAATCCTTAGATATCATTTAAATATTTATACAGTGAAGTATTAGGATACAGCAGGATGCTTGTAGATTTCCTCCCATGATAATCTCTTGCTTTCATCTACTTATAAACATCCAATTATTAAATCTTAGATTTCTAAAGAAACTTAATTGTTATCAGTAGGGAATTTTAAAGGCTAAGTTTTTATGCTTTGTAAGAGCTCAATAGGGGATTTGCCTGTCCAAGGTGCTTTTAGATATTGTGAAGATTGTTACTCTTTCCAAATAAGACCTCATACAGTATAATTCCTAAACTCCATACATCTGATTTTGCATTATGTATAAAGAGATCCAAGGTTTGAGGACTCATGTAAAGTGGAGTTCCAACCAAAGTACCCTATATAATGCAATTCCCACGTTCGACAAAGTCAATATTAGTTATTTTATAGGTCTTGATTATGCTGACACAAATACTTATTTATCGATTAGTATATTTTCAGGTTTAAGATTTTTATGAATAATACCATTTTTTATAAGTTGAGTGAACCCATTAAGAATATCAACCAAGAATTTGATTGCATCTTTTTCAGAAAGTAGTTTTTATTTTTTCAAAAGCCTGAAATTTATAAAATATGTTACTCTTCTAAATCTCCTCCATCCCAGTATTCTTAAATAATATAATAACTATTCATTGTTTCGATGGCATCGAAAACAGCCAAAATATTTGGACTCTTGAGTATTTTAAAATAAGTCTAAATTTCAATTCTAAACCCCTCCATTAATTTATCATCTCTATTTTGATGAAAGCATTTATTACTATCGTATATCTGTTTTATTCAACCATTTGATTGTGACTTTTTCTCCTGTTTTTTGCTTTGTCGCTATATAAACTTAAGTTTAAGATCCTTGTCGAATTTTATCTTTGAAACTAAAACAATAATCATCAATATTTTTCATTATCAAAATCTATTTTTTTCAATTTAATATAATAACTAAGATAAGAGCATGTTTTAATGTATAAAAATAATAGTTCATCCTTTTGCACGCATTAATTATATTCGTTGTAAATATAAGAACAACCTTTGTTTTGAGAATCAGAAGAATAAAGAAAGAGGCAATTAATATCAAAATATGAATTTAATATTTAATTAATTATGTAATGGATTAAAGACTATATGAATCTGATAATTTAGACAAATTTGTCACCATCATTAAATAGTGTCAAATTCATAACGTTTGAGATTCTGATCTACTATTTGTAACTCACACACTTCATTATGCAACATTATGATGAAAATGTTTTCAGATTGATTAAAAGCATATCAGAAATATGTGTTCTTACTCCTTTGTTTTAAGATATCTATGCCATCAATGTTCTCACTGGTGTATTGCTTACCATGCTAAACTGTTTACCCTATCTAATAATATTGCATAGAAAATTTACAATTGAACATTCAAATGTGTCAGTCATATCCAAATCATTATCTCAGGTATAAGCAAACTTAAATTAAGTCTGCCACAAAGTTGGTGAATTGTTATTTCCTGTATTTCAATTGGTTTTTTTACTTACCTCAGATGCATTACATAGGTTGGAATTTTTTAAGTCAGAGCGACCTACTTCTCGTTGTGCTTTCAGTGATAATACTCTGCATTTCCACAGGATCATTGCTCATTTCAAACATCTACTTCATCAATTTTGAATTCAACGAATAGTCATTAAGAAAGCATTTTACCTACTATAATTGTTTCGCACAATTGTTGATTATCCCCATGGCTATTTTAAATCAAAGTGCTGATTCATTGTACTAACTGGTTGGCAGAATACTTCACAGCATTATTCTATTTGTCTTGATTTATGAGGCCTATGTCGAACTACCATTTGGGTAATTGTAATTGAATAAACTTTAGATTCTCAAAATACTCAACCATCTACAATAGATTATTAATTATGCATATATTACTATTTATATTCACAACTATCTTGTATTCGAACCCCGATCAAGCTTATAGTTCATTGGCTTTAATGCTAATCCTCCAACCAGTCTCCTAGCATCTCTTTTAAACGTTAATACAACACAAAAGATTAAAGACCTACCATAATACCTTAAATTAATATTACGAATTGCTAATCATAGAAGATTTCTTTGATTTAATCTAGGCTGCCTAGAAGAGCAAGAAAAGAATCATCGAGTTAATCTAGAAATTTAGTTTGCACTTGAATCGTTGCCAGTCAGTTAAATGCTAATGCAAGAAGATAGGAGCCGGAGGAGTGTTGAAATAGGAAGATGCCGTCATTCTAACATCCTGTTTATTTAGAATTGGTTTTGAAAAACACAGGAATGATTCCAAGAACCTTGAAATTTATAGTCTTAAATTCCTTACATTCATCAACAAATACAGAAACAATGCTCCAAAGAGTTATTAAGAGTTGAAGATCCTCTTTTAAAAAAAGCGAGAATATTCATTTTATTTTATTTAAATTTCCCTCTTATTATAATTCATCTTACAAGCTCAGATGCAAAAGGACGAAGATTATAATATCAACAAGGATACTCGTGTATCTAATGTGAAATTATAAGTGAGCAAGAGCGAAAGAAGTATTGTATAAACATTATACTAAATGGAATAAATTAAGTAGAATTTACTCCCCTTATTAATGTAGCTAAGCTAATTTAAGATTCAATTTTGGAAGCAATATTTGTCTGGTAAATTTTAGAACTTCTCTGAAATTGAAACTGAGGTTAAATAGTTGCAACTTTTGAAAAACTAAATCTTAAATCAAATTAAAATTTATCAATCAATATTTTATACTCATGGTCGCACATTTAATGTTCAGTTCCTTAAATATAGCGCATTGATTGATTTACTCTTATTTAACAATGTTAGGAGATATTTTGAATTAGAAAGAGGTAAAATATATAATAATTATTGATAGAAAGAAGGGAAATTTTATAGTTGGAAAAAAGCATGAATTCTTTTGAAATAACTAACATTAACTTTTTTAAAGGGGAAGCCATCTCTGTAAAAGTTTGCATCGCCTCAGGTCCAAATATTGGGAAAGTTCTAAATGAAGTTATTTCACCTTTGATCCCGAGATTTTTTGGGTTCCATCATTTCGATAATCCGTTAGAAGCATTCCTTGATTTTACAAAAGGAAATATTAATACTCTGATGCCGTCCTGGTTAGAACCCGTTCATGATGAGATTATGTAAAATTACATTAGAAGAGGAGGCACTGCTAGGATAGGTAAGTACTTTTAAACTTTTGCAAAAATATATGATAAAACATTGATAAGATGTTAAGTCTATCTAGCCCATAATTTTAGTTAAAACTTAAATGACGATTTTACTATGATTGGTTGTTTGAAATCCTTGGAAGAAGAACAACCCAAAATCAAACCTGGGAAAGAGCCTAAGAAAATAAAAGATCTTGCTTTTAAAGGGGCGTAACATATTTTATTTGATGTTAATGGAAATATTTTAGGAATAACTTAAGGGTTATTTAAAATGATTGATCGATTACAAAGGACTAAAAGTGCACCACACTTTGAATCTTTGAAGCACAACAGTCATGAGAAAAGTAAGTCTGAGAACTCATCATTTGAGAGTGAGAGCTTTGATGTTTACTAATAATAATGGTCAAACTAACTGTTAAAAATAGATGAGTTTTATTAAAAAGTGTTAATTTGGATTTTGTTACCATTTGTATCGAGGGAGATTGAATCCACTGGAATTGAATATTTGATGGATGGAGAAACTCCACCTAAGAATAGATACCCAAATTTAGTAGATCTGGAAACTAGTAATAGCATTGTAAGCAATAAAGAAACTTATTTATTTATTCCTGAGGATATTAATTTGTTTGTATCTTAATATGAAAAAGTGTTACAAAAAATAATGGATGATGTACGTGTTCAATCGAATAATTTCTCTTCAGGGAGTCAATACAAAGGGATAAAAAGTGATTACTAAGAAAGTGAAAGTTTTAGTGCTCAACAAAGTGTTACAATATACAATGAAAAATTGTGTAGTTTTTTCTTTGATTAACATCTGAAAAGCCATCAAGCCTTGTAATTTGGTACTACTAGGTAATCAGAGATGCAAAAGACTTCAGTAAAACCATCTTCATAATCATAAGTGTCATTATAAAGTGAAGATAATAGTGAATAACTTAAAACAAGAGCTGAAAAGATCTATTAGGATAAGTACACTAAATACATTGAAAAAATTTCTCTTTAAGATTTCAATCCAGTTCCTGTTTTCTATTCAGTCAATTATGAAGAATACAGGTATAAAAAGAATGACATCGAACAAAAACAACAATTTTTTGTAGTTGAATTAGTTGTTAATGAATAATAATTATTAAATACTATGGGTTATAAAAGATAGGTTAGGGAAACTATTAAATAGGCTTGTTTAAATTTTCAATCTAAAAGACTCTTAATTGAACAATAAATATAAACTGAAGATTCTAATAGTGTTCAAGGTAATATTAGCGAATAAAGAAGTGACCACGATGGAGAGATTGTTAATTACATGTTCCCCACTCATCCATCTCACTATTATGAGGATCTATACTTTCATTCTCCTAAACAGGATTAAGTTCCTAATCAATTTAATTAGAATGATCAAAAATACTTATTTAGTAGTCGGAGTGATGAAAATGAACACTAGAATAAATAAAGTGTAAACACATAGGAATCACTCATGAAAGGATCTTTGCATTTAAAATTTCCAGAAAGGAATCTGGCTTTGAAAACCATGAACAAATTTATCGAAAAGAAAAGATAACAAGATTTCTTTAATGAGACTGATTCTAAATTAGCAATTGATAGTAGAGCTTCTTAATAATAAATTCAAGAAGAACATTAAGTCAAATATTCTGAAAATCTTAAAATCTTTGATTAGAATTATAAATCAATACATTCTAAATTGTAAGAATTCAATAATCCTACCTCTTTTAAAATCTAAAAATATCTATTATATTTTGTGCTTTTTTTGATAGTTGGATACATCATCCTATTAACCATAGCAGTATTTCAACAATACAATTTTAATGATTGCTTTGATCTAATTGAATTAATGTTATCTACCCAATAAAGTTATTCTTAAATTACTCATGGCCTCTATCATTTAGAATTAGCAGATTAATTTAAATCCTTCGATAAGAATTTGAAGGAATTCTATTCTACTTAAATTGATAGTAATCTTTAAAACTTAATCAATTTATAAAGTGAACAATTAATTGATATCAATTAAGTTAATTTTAGTGTGAATTAATTTTATAATATCGAATACTAAGTGATTCTTAATCCTACGCTATAAGAAACTATTTAGATGAGTCTAGCGTAATTTTATAAAATAAAAAACAACACATTGAATTCATAAGTTACACTCATTTCAACTGCTAATTTAAAGGAAATAGGATAGTTACCTAAATTGGCATATGATAATTGTTATGATGAAAAAGTCTAGAATGAAGAAGAAGTCCAATCATTATTAACAATTTATATGTTAATTATTTTCTTTTTGGTGATGTTGCTGTAGTTTTTGTAAGTGCCATTGATATAGAAACTTAAGAATGATCATAGAAGATTATACAAAATTGTGATTAAATTGTAAGTGTATGAAGTATAAGATGAAATTGAGACTTACGAGCATATACTTTCAATCTTTAAAAAGTCATTATATGAATGGATGCTGATTGATTTTGTATAAGAAACTCGAATGTTCGAGAATAGTATTGAGAATATCTAGATGTAAACTCAATAATTAACTGAATAAAGTTAAAATCTCTTGCTTAATACTAGTAATAAAAAAAATAAGTATAAATTATTAGAGAAATTAAAAAAAAAACGCATTAATTAGTTTAAGTATATCATAATATTAATGATTGGATTAATAGTAATACTAGCTTATTTTTTAATCATTTTCTTTGTAATTTTTATACTATCGCAATAATTATTTGCGAATGCAAACTTTCTATTTAACTTTAAATTGATCCAATCCTCTTTTATCAATATCATCAGCAATATTGATTTAGTGTGCTATAATACGTATGATCAATAACGTTTCATAAATCTAATGGGCTAAGAGGAGTTTATTAATTATTCATCCACATTAAAAAGTGATTAATAGGATTAGTACATAGAATTCAATAATAATTTCGCTTCTATTGTGAGTGATGAATAATTAAAATATAATTTGCAATAGATAAATGAGAATAATATATGCCTAGACTAGGTTGGAATTGCTTGTAATGAAACTTCAGCCTATATACTCAATCCCAATATATTCTAATATTATTAACACGGAATGAAGTACTTAATTACATAAATTGATAAATTAATTCAATCCTAACCGCATTTCTTCTACGATAATTATAATAACAATACTTTTCAATAAGTGTAAGACTTCCTATCAAGTAATGATCATATCATATACATTGATTATGGAAGTGAGGTCTTAACTAAAGCATATGCAAAATTAGTTGACACTGCACGTTAAGAATTTGATTAAGCACTAAAAATCTATAAACAAACCCTAATGATATTCATATTAAGCGTAGGAATGCTTGGTTTGTTGATTATTTTAATGTTGGGTAAATTGCTGTTGAATATGCAATAGGATTCCATTCGTACTTGCCAATCATCACTTCTTCTCATTTCTCCTAAAAGATATTTGAATCAAAATATAGCATAATTAACATAGAAAAAAAGATGAGTGTTTTATTATCTTTTTAACCAATGAAAAATATTATATTCTTATAAAAGCATGGTTCTCTTATGAAATATCTTTGAAAATATCTTCTTTTAAAGCATTTGCAGTTATTCTAGTTTATATTATCAATTTATTGTAAAATTATTTTAATTAATGAACCCAACAACTTTCAAATAATCCCAGCAATTAGAAAATAACAGTAATATTATGGGGAGCAGTAATGGGTTTAACAGAAAGATCAAGTTGTCCTCTTAAAGACCTGGAAGTAGAGACTAAAAATTAAAAACGGGAGAAATGTATTTCAAAATATATTTACCTAAATAGATTTCCATAATTTTAAGATCCTTTAGCTACAAATCCATTTAATTTGTTAAGTCTTAACCTCTATTAGGATGAAAATACATTTATTACAACTATGAAAGCTGAACTTCTATAAATACAAGAAGAAATCAATAAATTAGATATTGATGGACGTGTACTAATAAACAATTCATCTTTAGATTCGAAACAACGACCCAAGACAAGAGTATAGATTGCAACAACTTAAAAAATGGGTTGCTCAAAATTCTACGTCTAAATTCGCACTAGACAAATTAAATAATATTGAAATCTCATAACTCCTCACTGTGTTAGATGTTAGATCTTTAGAGTAATAAATATAATGCTATTGAAGGGAGGCTGTTGTCAAACTCTATAAATTCATATCGATTATGGATAGTATAATAATGAAAATTACAGAGTATGAGGCCGTTCATTTGATCAAATTTGATGAATTATTTGGTTCATTGTGTCCTAATTATTAAGAAAATCTGCAATAAATATCTGTCTTAAAATTTCCAGTTTCTATTGCTAATTTAAATCGCATGACTGAACTATATCAAGTTAAATTAGACCGTAATCAACCATAAAGGATAACTAATGATTAAATGCTTCTGAAATAAAATAAGCAAAAAGATGATTAAATTCTTGAATTAAATAAAACTATCAAATAATTATAATTGTAACTGTAAGCAAGTTTGAAGGGGAATAACAATAGTAAAATTAGTTAAGATTCTACATAATAAATTGATTAAATTAAAAATTAGTATGAAATTAAATTACAGAAATAAAGTGAAGATTTAACGTTAAAAAATGATAAAGAAATACAAAATTTATAATCTTAAATTGAATAATTTTAGAAATAATTAATTTAGTTAAAGAATCATTATGAGAAGTAGATATCTGAATTGGTATCATAAAATTTATAAGAATAAATGAACATCAAATCTTAGTATGAAGATAAATTGTAATAATAATAATAATCATCGTAAATTTAGACATAAAAATAAATTACTACATCATCCTAATCAAATAATGTTGTAAAAGATCATAATTATTATCAAAAAATCTTAGATAAAGCGTAATAAGAATATAATGAAGGGTTATAAACTTTAAAAAATGTAATCTTATTTATACAATATAGGATCTAATCAAATTAAGTAATTAATTGTTAGAAAAATAAACAATAATCGAAGGTTTATAGAGAGAAATCTAATAATGGAAAGAAGCAAATGATAGATTAAATAAAGTGAAAGTATTAGAATATATTTAATTAGGATGAAATCTATCTATAATTTTAAAAGCGATACACAACTGAAGAATAATTTTCGAATTCTTATGAAGCCGCCTTAAAATTAGAATTTGATACCATGAAAAAGGCTTTTGAATAAAAGATACAAAAATATCAATAAGATTTAGAATCTTAGAGGAGAGAATCAGGAAAACAGTTAAATGAAATACGAATTTAATTGGAAAGAGAGTAAGAAACTAAAAAATTATTAATGAACAAACTTAACTTATATAGTTGAAATTGATATTTATATATAAAAGTTTAGACTCCTAAAATAATATTAACCAATTCTTAAATTGAATTTTAGGTAGGAATATTAGAAATTCATCAAAAATCATTTTTCCAATAATTTTTTATATTCAAGTGCATTATCTCTAATCTTTAATAAGAATCCAAATAAACTTTTATGGTTAGTCTTCTATTTTATAATCAGGAATTTTTTAGAGTGTACCATAGGGATTTTACATTTTCTTCACTCTTCTTGTACTTCTATGGTTACTTTAATCTTTGTAGAGCTGCCTGAGCTGTTTCATGAAAGACTCTACTATATATCAAGTATCTACACAATGAAATATTGGATTTAACAATTTCTGTATACTTAAAGAGATTTTATGCTTTAATTACTATTAATAATAATTATTCGATTATTAAAATAAATCATGATATTTAAGTTAAGTATTTTTTATCTTTCCTAGAAATAAACTAGGCATCTCCCTCCTTTTTTTGAACCGTGATGGGGGAAAACAGTATATTTGGGTTAGAATTTGTGTTCGAACTTTATGTAGTTTCCTTGCATAAATTGCATGGTTTAGTTGACTTTATTGTTTTAAAAGAATTCACTGAAATATAGTCTGATATTGAGTTCTCCACTAAGATGTATAAGGCAACTTACTTTCGATAAATTAAATCAGGAATTACTATAATTAATCAATATCTTTGGATTTCTCGAATTATGTTATAGCATTCATAAATCTGCCATTTTCCTTGGATACCAAATTGTCTTATAGTTATCAAATAATAAGTACCTTTCAGTAGGCCCTTTTAATCAAGAGAAATCGTGTTATTCTGGTAGAGAGTATAGATTAAGAACAAAATTCTTGCCTCTATGGATTCAAATTGATTCATATAAATTATAAATTATTTACAAATTAACCCCAATCTAATAATTCTAGCTTATAAAAGAATAGATTAATTAGATAACTTAAAAGATACAGACTACAAACATTAATCTACGTTGTAAATTAATTTTATTCTAAAGTACTTATGATTTCATTTCAATATCCTATATAATGGATCTTTCTCAAATCAAGAAATTAAACTAATTTCAACAATTAATAACATGAATTTTATGGCCAAAAATTAAAATATGCTAATTCCAATAACAAAATTGATAATATTTCAATTCAATTAAAGACATTAATATGGATTTTTAATTCCTTATTAAACTTTTTCTATCATCTGTTCTCTAAATTAATTCAAAGCTACTCTTACATCTTTGCACTTTTTTATAGCAATTTCTATTAATCATAATATATTTAGTATACATTCAAGAAGCGGCTGAAGATCTTTTAATGCTCTATCTTTAACATCTCCAAACCAACTTTAAATGTAAATTCCATTCTCTGGTTGCAATTGAAAGTTTTCAGGCATATTGTCAACAATGATAACTTTCGATAAATTTTTATTTAAAATTGAAAGATCCTTAATTATGTAAATCTAATTCATTACTTTGATGTAAACTTCATCTTTAAACACTGTTTAATCTCTATACAGCCTTTATTAAACTACTTCATTTTTGTCTATTATGTCAATTATAAAATTTGCATAATCTGGCAAAGCTGCTGTGAAAATCACGATCTCATAATGTTTTGATAAAGCTTCTAAGAATTCTTCAGCAAAAGGTCTAACTAAAAATTATCCACCTCCTTTCGGAAACTAATTATTCTATAATTAAATTACTTCTTAATAATGCACCAAAGTTTCATCCAAGTCTAGAACCAATGTATACTCTCTTTAAATTCCATTTCCAACCTTTCCCATTTTTTGAGGTATCAATTTCTCTATTAAACTACATAGTTTTCTCTATTGTGCAAGAAATTAATCTAAAGTATTTGCTATGTTTGAAATATTCAATTGAATTTCGGGACGAACTATTTCGTCAATCCTTTTAAACTATCATATTGATTAAAAAAATTACATTAATCCTAAAATTGACTTGATAATAAAGTTATTTTTCTATAACCCTTAGCTCCCTTTAGTGCTTTATTTTCTAGAATTCTAACATCTAAGCTCAATTCTTTGCTTTATGGAATTTTAAACTTAGTGATTAAGCGTGGTTCCTTGCAATACTTAGAAAACATAAAGATTGCTATTCAAAATATATTGGATAAGGTTTTTAACATTATGGTCTTCATTTGTATCCTAATCCTAAGATTCACTTATTAATATAAAATTGGCCTATGATTCATACAATAAGGTCTCAAGTATCTTTGGCTCTATTTTAAATAAATATTCACTCTATAAATAATACGATTATATTTACATTTTATCTCTCATTAATCTAAGTAATTAATTTTAATAATTAGTCACTTTTTTAAATTAAATTAGAGTAGGTTGAACTTTCAATCAGATGGAAAATGTCATTCCATAATTGCTCTTTTTCAAGGAGCAATTTAATTATGCTTTATTGAAATGTTTAATCATTGCACTAAGAATAATTATTTGAACTATCTCCTTTTAATTTTGGAGAGTTGAGAGGAGAAATGTTGATAACCTTTTCCATATTCTTCTTGCTTGAAGATTATTTAGATTAAATTGTGTTATCTAATTTTTATTTTAGACTGTTGAAAGATTCCAAATATGATTTATTAATCATTTGTGGGTATGTTTTTTTCGAACTGCTGTTTTGATTTTTTGTATTCAAATTTTAATTTGCGTTTTTCTGATTACTATTTAGGAGCATATTAATTGTATTGATATTCTCATTGTTAATTGTATTTTGACGTATTGGGGTGGAATGCTTTTAGTTATTCTATTTAGTTAGTTGATTAAGGGTATTTTAACAACTTTTTAAATTTCCTTTTGAATTTGAAGAAGACGAAGACTAATCATTTTTCTTGTTGTATTAATAATAGAGATTTTGGAAGTATCGATGATCCAATTCTCTATTTTATTCTGGAGCAATAAATGTTGATTTCAAGAAGGTTTCATTGTTTTTAGGGGTATTTTATTTCACCAAATAACTCGTTCGACTTGAAACTAAATATATTGGATATTAAATACATTAGCCATCCCCTTTGTTATCAATAATCTAATTTTCTTTTTTTTTAAGTACATTTTATCCAAACAACTATGTTGTAGCTTTGTTAACTTCATCCTAAACCAAATTGTTTAAAAATTATTTAACTTTTTGTGGATTGGAATAATCAAGTCTAGCAGTTTAAGGCCTGTTATTAGGGTTCTTAGGAGTAAAATCTATTTTGATAATTAAAATTCTTACTTCGATTATCAGGTTGATTTTCTTTAAATGATCCACGGGATTTATTGGAGCATGATGACACATCAAGTATATTTAAATAGTCTGATGCTTTTGAGTTGAGTTTGCTACAAAACATATTTGAAATTGTTAACAGATTTAATTAATTTCTCAAATAATCCAATTTCAATGAATTTATTACTTATATAAAGAAAGCCCTTTATAATATTTGATTTTCTATCCTTCCCATAACCAACCAAGAACATTTCACACTTATAGATCAGTCCAAAAAATAAAGAAATTGGTTATTTCAAAAAAGTTTGTGTTTATTTTTGAATCGAAAACTGCTTTAATTGATTCCATTATTTTAATAAGAATTTATTATTTGTTAGTAATATAATTGGATAAAGTAAGTATTAATTACAAAAAAAATTTGTCAGGTATCTAATGCAAATTCTTCTATTTCAGTAAGATCAATAATGTGGGTTCCATAGTGTTTTTACTTCGTCAGAAATTAAGAACACTCGTCAGAATTAATGAGTTTATAATTGCTAAACAAAATCAACTATCTATTTACCTGCTCAGTTCCTGCAGAAACTATTGAATTCCGATTGCTCTTTTTTTCAATGTATCTGGAGATAAGTTTCCGAATATGTGTTTGGATGGAAAAGTCAATTTGATGCCAAAAAGTTTCTTAAGTTTTTGATAGAATTGCCACAGTGTACTATAGCGTATTTCCATAATCCATATTTTTCCTTATTCATTCACTTCAACCTGAAATATTGATTATATGAAAAAATACTTGATATTCAGCAAAGGTTTTATGTATTTTTACTGTTTGCATCTTAAATTTAACATATTGAATGGATCTCTTCCTCTGTTTTTCGAGAAATGATAAAATAGGTAGACTGTTAATGTTTAAATTTTATTCCTAATTAAGTGAAATATCTGATATCATTAAGCATATAATACTCTTTAATTAGATGAAAAATAAATATTTAAATAGAAAATAATAATAAATCATTTAGTGTTAAAGAATTATTTATTTCCACAATTTACATTTTGATTCTATAAAAATAATCTTATTTTGTGTTCAAAAAAAAGCCATATTTAAAGTCCTAAAATAGAGCTCAAATTTAATATTAAACATCTAGAAGTATAATTTTACAAAAAATACAATAGCAGAATAATAGTTTGACAGATTTATATTTATTCTAAATTATTTGAATAATTTCATAATTTAGAATAGTTTATACAAATGCTTCTAAAATATAACTAAAATATTGCAAGGGATAATCAAGGAATAGCAATCATAGAATGTAGGACCTACTCCTATTGAGATAGTCGTGTTCTGAAATTGAATTTCATCCAATTATTGATGCTATTTAGGGTGTTGTTTTAGAAAATTAGTTTAAAATAGTACGATAGAAGTGATAAAAGGACTTAGAGTAGTAATTATTAATTTGTTATTCGAATTGTCGATTTGTTTTGTTGGATGTGAAAAATTGGAGAAATTATAAGGGTTAACTCTTTTGATTGGAAAAATGAAATAATTAGAGTGAGAATGATTAGAAGGGGCAGTTTCTCGAGGTAATGGGAAAGACATGCTCAAAAATTTGTAAACTAATTATAGAACTATTAACCATTAAAATTATTTTATTTTATTATAAGTCATTTATATAAAAGTAGATGAAGTAATATTGAATATGTAGTCTGCAAGTAATTGGGATTATATTTATTAATAATTTCAGAATGCAGGAGATTGACACGATATCTTGCACTGTATGTGTAAAAAAGTAGAGGTAAAACGTGTATATTTAAAATAGGTGAGGTCAAAGGGAGAAATATGATTGATTAAGTTTTATAAATTTTTAAGTAATTTAATTAAGTTATTATCTTAGTCTTCGAATATGGGAGGAGCTTGCTCTGGAAAAAAACCATAGCCAAAATAGAAATAGCAATAATAGGAATTGAATATAGTTGAATAACCATATTTGCAAGTGCAATCAATGAGTTAACCATAATCCAGGCCGCCAGAACAAAGGAGTGAAAGTGGGTAATCTGTTAAGGAGTTGCTTTATTAATATAAAAAATTTACAGATTTCTTAGGATTAGTGGGTAATTTGGATCATTTGCCAGCCCACACAAGGGAATAATTGAATAATTGTATTATTTAGAGATCCAATATAAATATACTTATATAGAATAGTATTAAAAGAATAATGAGGGAGTAGAAGATAATAAAGAGAGTGGAAGAAAGTGATTATTATTTAATTCATAATGACGAGAAATTTGCCATAACATTTGTGTAATTAATGTAAAGAATATCAAATATAATATTGACTGAACTCCAATCGGATTCAAATTTTTAGGAAGCTTTTCCAATGTTGATTGTTTCATTTGTTGATTTGGCAACATAGATAAATAAGGAGATAGAGAATTTTTAAAATTTCAAAACTCATCTGATAAAAAAATAGAATACCAAAAATCAAATTTCTTAAGACAATTATTAAGCATCAACTAATAAATGATTTCTTTGTAGTAGTGATTATATCTATAAATTTAATATTTAGAGATTAATGCAATTTATTGATCTCAACCTGGTGTATCTTCACATTTAAAATTATATATAAAAATATATGAAAATTAATAATTTATAATTAAACAATAAATAATATTAAAAGAAACTTATTGATATTTATCTTATTTGTATTTCCAATGAAGATATGTTTTTGGGTGGCTTAATTAATTCAAGACAGAAAACTTCTAATTTGTATATAGATTATAAGAAAATACAAATATAATTTATTAATAAAATGGACTATACTCCGACAAGTGTAAATTCATTCACAACAACAGACAAAGAGTTAGAAAATAACTTGAAGGATTTGCTTGAGAGAATATTGGTCTATGTCGAGAAACACATTGAAACCAAAGAAGAGCTCAATTAAATTGAAAGTGAATTGAAAGACTACGAAAGTTTGTCCTACTTGGTTGGTATAATAAAAGTAATATTTACTAAACTAATGCTCAAAATAGAGAAGAAACTGTTGTAAGTAATAAATTATTATTCAAAATCCAAAGGAAATTGGATAAATACAACGATTAGAATAAGTCTTAATTCTATAAAGATGATGAAGAATATGACAAGTTAGAATAAACTCTCATTAAATATGAATAAGAAATTCGCAATCATATCAGTGTAACTATTCTATGATAAGTTTTAGGTTGAATAACAATTAAAGTTATTTGCTGAATCAATCTAAAGCAAATTGGATGAGAGCGAATCAATCAGATAAGAATTATTGGAAACAACCAAAAACAATATAAGTGTAAATACATTTCATTTGATTATGATAGAAATTGAAAAGGGAAAATTACGAGTTGAGTGAAAAAGAGAAGTAGTTGCAATAGGAAGTCAATAATTTAAAGTAAACTATTTAAAATTTGGAAAGAGAGAACAAAAGAAAGTCAATTGACTCTAATCAAAGAGACTATTTATAGACTCTTATCAGTACATAAACTAATTAATAATAAAATCTAACAAAAAATGGACTTAATCAAAATTTTTATCTGGAATCAAGACAATTAAACTCTCATTCTGAACATTAATCAAATCCAAGGTAATATTTAAAAGAGTAGTAGGATCTAATAATCCCTACATAATCATCTCAAAAATTAAATTATTATAATATTATCAACAATGCAAATACTAAATAAAAATCAGAAGTGATTAAATCCATGCAACAAAAAGACTTTAACAATATCTATAATTAAATTATGAGGAGTAAACATAATTCATTATCTTCTATAAATGAACTGATTAACAATGTGACACAATAAGATAAGAAGCGCTCTGATTAATTACAATCAATCTCGAAGAATAGTTCATAGAATAATAGTATGATTCAGAAGAATAGAGGTATTAATAACTATTTAATATTATTTAATAGATTATAAATAAATTGAAACATTAGAACTTTAATAAAGGAGTAAAAGTTCTAAAAAAGCAGATGACATCATCAAATATAAAACCTTGGAATCTTTGATAAAATTAAAGTGAATCATTTAATTTTTCATAATATAATTTAAATGAAAATTCCTATTTATGTTAGTAATATTGATTATGTCTAATTCTTCAGCACAATTTAAGATTGATAGTAAATAGGTAAATATTATTAGATTATTCTAAAAGAAGATTAATTTACTAAAATGTGATTTATAGATTTATTGAAATAAAATTTAGTGTATGGTTACTAAAATACAAATCAAGAATTTTATTAAATCTAGACTGCAATTTGATTGCCTTATACATTTTCATCGGCTTCTTGTTGTTGGGAATCCTAAAGTGCAAATGTATTGAAAATTTATTCGATCGATGCTTATTTTATGGAGTACTGGGAAATTCTATTTTGTTTTTTCTAAATTTATTAAATAAATATATACATTTTGCTCGAATCCTTCAAAAAGTTTGCTAACAGTAATTTATCCAAGTAATCTAAACCTATAGAAAGTTTAGAAATGTTCAATTATTTCAAATTATCCAAAGCTTTACTGAATAAATCTCTACAATAGATCACCCATTCTCTCTACTATAATATATTCTGCTAGTGTTTCAACTGCTAAAAGATTAGGTTTTCTGAGATCATTATAAATATGTGATCCTGATCCTTTCATTGTGATTTCTTATTCTAGATGATTTTAATTGATTTTTTTCAATATCTCAAAAGTCATGCTTTAATCCAATCTAGTACTGCCTTACAATCCCATCTATTAGACTAATTCTTGAATCTCGTTTATTTAAGGTTTTTCTAATTTGACTTCAATTTCGTATCCTTTTCCAAATTTATTTTTGATATGTTGAACTGATCCAAGACATCTGAGATTACCACTAACTTGGATAGCAATTTTAGTTGATAGTGCTTCTGCTTCTTCCATTGAATGAGTAGTTAAGATAATAGTGCTTTGTTTTCTTTGGGTTGCAATTCTTGAGATAACATTCCACATGAATCTTCTTGCTTCTGGATCCATACCAGTGGAAGGTTCATCTAAAAAGACAATAGGAGGGTTTCCTATCATAGCAATGGCAACTGACAACTTTCGTTTATTTCCACCTGACAGTTAACCCGATTGAATATTCTCAAATCTCTTCAAATCCATCTCATTTAACTTCTTTTCAACTAATTCCTCTTTCTTTTAATATGGTATTCCTTTGATATCCGAGAATAGTTCTATGTGTTCTCTGACAGTAAGATTATCTAATAAGGCATCAAATTGAGGACAATATCCAATATTGACTCTAGCAGCTTCAAGATCATTAATGACACTCTTGCCTGCAATAAATGCTTCTCCACTTGTAGGTTTTAACTCTCCTGACAATATCTTAAAGGTGGTAGTTTTACCAGCTCCATTAACTCCCAATAGGCCAAAGACCTCTCCTTAATCAATAGCAAAACTGACTTAGTCGACAGCTACCTTGTGTTTTCCTTCTCCCAACATGAATACTTTTCTCAACTCTTTAACAAGAATAGCTTTCTCTTCAGGCCTAAAGGTTTCACACAATTATTTTTCTTTAGCAACATCATCATCAATCGGTTTTGGAATGTAAGGGATACTGCTTTCACTTGATCCCAATTTCTACAGTTATCCATTATCCTCAAAGTATTCAACGATGAATATGCTTATTGTATAAACTACTCCCATGACTACGAGCATTAGTATGTCTGCACCACTTACTTCCATATCATAAGTACTTTTCATTTCACTCCATCCCTCAATTATCATGTAAGTGTCTTTAGAACATGCATTTAATATACCATATGCAAATGAGAAAGAGGGAATCAATCTGAATATCCATTATAAAACAGTGGCTACATCTCTTGTGGATGAGATCAATCTCAAGATGTAAATTATTAAACTGACAATTGATCCAACCAGTAAATGAATGAAAAAGTTCAATAACATTGCATTCCCCTGTTATTTGAAGGCAAAACTAAAGAGGTAACAAAAGGGGATGATTGCCCAACCATATAAAAAGAAGATCAACCATGAGAATCCATAGTTCTCTCCTTGTCTCAATGCAGCTATATCGAAAGCCAAAATTAGAAGACAACACACCACTGCTGGAATTACATGTTTTCCTAAGTCCATAATCCAATTACTAAACCAATATGCTTTTACTGAAACACCAGATACCAACTGTTGATGTTTAATATTAATTTCTCTTTCCTTAACAATGTATGAGATAATAGATGCTGGAATGAATGCCATACCCATGGAAAACACTAGAGCAGATAAGAAACCAGCTATTGCCTTCGACTCATTCAATTCATCATAGGTTTTCCTCAAAGGGGAATTTGTAACTCTGATCTCGTAATTGTTATTATTAGTTGCTTTTCTTAAAATAGCTTAATTCATTTAGTTTTGCATAACAAGTGGGCCTTCCCTAAAGATGGTGTTCACAAACATATAATATTCATATTAATCATTTGAATTGCTGGTCAGATAAAACCATCCAATATTCGATGTTGAATCAAAAGTATCAAAGTAATCTTAATCCATCTTTTATAGATTACTCAAACTATCATCTCCAAAAACTTGAAGTGATGAATTGTACATTTCCAAATCGATCTACGAAAATAGAGATTAGTCATTCACTCCTCCCCATAAATATTGAATTCCATTCCCGTAACATTCTGAAGGTGGTGTCAATATAATAACATCAGGTTCAGTGATAAAATTTATGGTCATTAGGATCAGACCCACAAGTACAACCAAACATGGTAGAAGGATTTCACAACATAAACTCATCATATCTCTTTTAAAAAAGCGAAACCTCTTCAAAAGTAAAGCAAGAGTGTGATTGAAAAATAACAAAGTAGGATTTGTCACTCTTATTTAATTAATATCAAAATCGTCAATTTTAATGGCTTCTTTGTTTTTATCCTCCAACTCCATATAATCATTTACTTAATTATGTCCAGCTCCTATCTAGGCAACCTTTAAAAACACTTCCTCCAGGGTGGTGATACTGATTCCGTAACTTTAAATATGCAATGCTTTCAAATTATTATCTAAATCTGAAAATAATTTTGGAAATTTATTCACAGCATTCAAAGGTAATTACATGAGAATCTCAGCTGAAACCTTAGAAATCAGAATAGCTTCCGGACAAGACTTCATTATTACCTCTATAATTGGATCTGAATCAGTAAGAGTACTCTCTTTAACAATAGTAAGGTTGTAGCCATTACCAAATTGATTCTTCAAAAACACACTGCTTCCAGAGCATTACAACTTTCCTTCTCCCATAATACCGATTCTATCACCTAGAAAGTCAGCCTCATCCATAAAATGAGTTGTCAACACTATGATTCTATCTTCTTTGTAATTCTTAAGCATTTCCCAAATGTATCTTCTAGCACTCGTATCCATTCCTGAAGTAGGTTCATCCAAATAGATTAATTTAGAATTACCAATAAATGCAATTGCAACTGATAATCTTCGCTTTTGTCCTCCTGATAGATTCTTACTTAAATAATCAGTCTTTTCTAGTAGATCAACATCTTCAATCATTCTTCTAACAGCTGCGGGAATATCGTCTGGATTCATTCCTTTGAAAGTAGCAAACATTTCCAAATGTTCTTTGACTGTCAAATTATCAAATAAAATATCATGTTATGGACAAACCCCCATAAATTATCTAATCTACTCAATTTAAGTTTCAATATCATATCCAAATGCTGTTGCTTCTCCTGCAGTGATATCTAAGAGACCTGTCAACATAGAAATGGTGGTGGTCTTCCCTGCACCATTATGTCCCAATAAGGCATAAATTTAACCTATATACATAGTCAGACTCACATTACTGACTGCTTACTTTCCACTTGGATAAATTTTGGTAAGATTAGAGATTTTAAGTACTTCTTACCTACCTTCCTAATCTTTCAAAGCCTACTCCACTTCTTCATATCTTTCTTGATGAACTTAGGATGACTTCTTCCTCAATGATTTAGACTGTCCACTATTATGTGATCTATTGAAATAGGGAATGCAAAATAACGGGTGCAATTTCTTACCCCATTCATTTGGAAATACGAGATCCAAATAAATCGACAATATCAAGTAGAAGAATATGTTCAAGAGGTGCATTATCAAGGCAATATTAACCGAATAGTTTTCAACTTTGGTTGCTATTGAAGACATCGAAACACCTCTCCCTTGAGCTTCAAACAGTACCATCACATCAAAAGCAAAGGACATTCCTGCATGAGAAGATATTGAGGCTCCCCAATAGGTTGCTTCAGGAACTACCTACTCTCCACTGCCAACTAAACTGATCACCATGTACATCAGCAAATACCAAACGATTGCTACGATTAATCCGAACAATGCTCTTGTAAAAAACACACTAGGATTAAATTAATTTTTACCTTATGAACATAGATTAGAATATCAAGACTATGCAAAATAGCCAATAATTCAAGAACAACACAAATCCATCAGTATGAGTAAATACAATGGCTGATAACAGAATTGTAGCAAGAATTGATATGATTGTATAGATTATGAGATACTGGATAATCCATGATAAATAGAATGATGTGTTGTTCAATCCCATCATCTTCATACCTTCCCTTAGCTTTTTCTCCTTTTCATAAATCATAGCGTAGGTCATTCTCAAATATATGATTATCAGAGGCAATATCAAGTAAACACCAAATTACCCTCTTAAGAATTCTGCGAAATCATCCTTAACACCATCCTATTGATGCACTAATTGAGTTAAACTCATAAATACCATAAGAGAATTTTGGAGTTATAGAGGCTTAGCTGTTAGTTTCGATCTTCAAAATAACATTATCCACAAAAGTTTACACGGTCAACATACCAGATTTCCAATAGGCATTCGCCTTGTAATGATCTTGATATTTAACTGGATCCACATCAATCTCATTTGTTGGAGGGATTTCATAATCAAATAACCCACTTGTATTGAATCTTAATTGATAGTCATAAATATTATTCCCGACAGTTTCATTAAACATCACAGCAAAACATACACTAGGAACTTCACCTTTTCCATAATCTGAATCTGAAGTGTAAGTGTCAAGATCATCATTGTTCTTAAAGATTAAAGTTTTGTAATCATAATATGCTAATTTTGATTGTTATATATCTTACTTTCAAATATGTACTTCAGTTCCTTGACAATCTTATGATCTTGGCTTGGCCCAAGCACCACATGTCCGTTCAACCAATAAGTATCTTCGTCATAGTTATAGTTGTCTATGCAATTTCTAAGTTAATCTTATCAAATACTTCATTTTAGGCAATACTGATAATCTCGTTTCGGTGTCCAAACTCTTAAGATTCTGAACAAGATTCAAACTTGGATCCCACTTTTGTATGGCCATAATATTATTTTCTATTTCTCTTTCATCTATAAAAGGAGATAACATCACTGGCACATTAGGATCTGATGATTGCCAGTCCAATTCAGGTCGTAAAAACCCAATTTCATCAATATTAGTCTTATGTATAATGCGCCTAGAACTCATGTAATTTTTACCTTATTCCTCCCAAGGCCACTATTAACAGTAATGGTAAAATGATTTCGCAAGTAGAACAGAAGAAGTTCCTCTTCCAGAGAATCCAGTTCTTTTTCAGTAATGAAGATAGATGACCCATCTAATGTTATTTTATTTAATTTGATAACTAGGATTTTTCCCAAGTTCTTAAATCACTAATTCTATAAATAGATATAGAATATTTAATTAAATCAATACATCGTATTATTCAGATTTTCAGAAATTCTAATCTTCAACTTATTTACCGATTATACTCCTCAACTCTGGCTGCTATAAATTAAGTTCACCTCAAGTCACGATGTCTCAAAAGTAAGATGGAATTGAAATATCAATCAATAATATAACAAATAATTAGAAAGAAATACAAACCAACTATCAATGTGATATTTTTATTTTGTTTTACAAATCCCTATAGCCATATTCAGTCTCCAGTGTGTTATTCCAATGGCTCCTATAAAGATCACATGTGAAATTATAATTTCAAGGTGGAAACAGAAATCAAATATGATCGATCCAAACTTACATCAACAAAGTTTCTAGTCACTCTGATGATTTGTTACAAAGAATAACAAAAATTTTTATTTACTTTTTTTTCAATTTTGACAATAATCACATAAAAATTTAATATATGTAATCATAAATGAAATGAATACCATCCTTTTGCATTTCATGTAACATTGGATGAGTGTAACATTAACTCTACTGAATTTAGTACAACCAATATTTTTTGAAGAGAAACTGATGTGATTTATATAACTGTCATACATAATAATTATATCTCAAAATATTATCAAGTTATGAAGCAATTCATTTGTGAATTTTATTGTCCTAAAGTTTTTTGGCTGATTAATTTATAAAGCTTTTATGATTACTTAACATACTTTTTGGTATGTTAGAGAAAATTTAGTTATTGCCAGGTGCTGTTGTTTATTATTAGGTTGTTTTTAGGTAGACTCTTTATTATTAAATTTCTTATAAAATTAATGTATTTTCAGTGCTTATGGTTTCTTCTTTTGGTGATTTTGTTTCTGTATTTATATGGTATTTTGAGACTTCTTTCACAAAATAAACATTGATTTTATCGTTGCTTATTACCACCTTGGGTGATATTGACTTGTAAGTATCACCCTATTTGAGATTTTATTAACCATCAATTTCTTTGACAGATTTTCTTTAAACTCCTGATGATTTTATTTTTAAATGTTCATCACCTATATAGAATAAGAGATATACTTTTTTAGTTGGTTAATGTCTTAGAACTTTAACAAGTTTACAAAATAGCTTTCGGTTTAGCCACTTACTTTTTTTATAATAAAATAGAGTCCTTTTTTCCACCACTTAAGTCTTTTAACTGAATTGAGGTTCTTCTATTATTTGATCCAATCCTGGCAGTGTTGTAACAGTTTTGTAGAGTATTCATTTGTTTTTTCTCACAACAAAACAAGTTTAATACTTATTCGCTTTTCATATGATTTATAAACAATATTTAATATCAAAAAAATACCTTATTATATGAAATTTACAAATTTGAATTATTACTCTATCACTAATTGAATAGATATATTTTTAGATATAAAATGATGTTTCAATCAGAATCCATAACTGGTTAATATTAGACTTTAGAATCAAAAATGATGACCAAAAATAAGAATGACTATGTTTATATTATTAAATGAACCAATTCTACAAGTAGCTAAATTTGAAGTCTCAATTAGGATGAATAGAATTTTAAAGATATCTATTATCAAAATCAACCTCCAAATCAGCATCCAATTCAAAACTTTAATCCTTCCTTATTGACCATTCTAGTGTTAATACCAGAAGTTTGTAAGATCTACTTTTTGGTCTTGTAAAGCAGTCAATTTAAATTTAGTAGATAAAATATAAGGAATAGGGTTTTTGTTTATGAAACCTATCACATTATTATCATTTTTCAGTATTTAGTTTTAGGCAATTAGACTGTCTATTGCTTTTCTAGTTTAAATTATGCAATTTTCAGTGATTTAATTCTAAATAGTAAACTGTAATTTCATATATTTGAATACATTAATGAAAAACTTAATCTTTTCCATTTCAAACAGTTTAAGATTAAATTATCAAAACCAATTTTTGATTTAATTCCAATTAGCATAATTTATAAAAAATAATATTTATTATTCTAAAATCCAAAAATTTATTAAGGAATATTATCTAAACATAAAATTTGAGACAAACCAATATCACATAATGAAAGATTATTGATAAAAGAAAGTATAAGAAAAATCATGAATACATTGAAAGGATGATAACACTAGTATTATTTAATTTTAAATAGATTTCTAGAAATAATATAAATACAAATCAAATGTATTTAGATTTTTATTAATCAATAATCATTATTCGCTTTCCTTTTTTATTTCATTTTTCCTCACATCATTTTAAGGTTATTATGCAGAACCATTTTAAAACATTTACATATTTCCCTATTATTGTTTTAATTATGAAAACATCTAGAAATTAAATGCATTCTTATTAGCACTCATATTCATCAAAAATTGAAGAGAATTTGCTGACAAATTATTTTACTATTGAGAAAAGAATTATTATTATTATTGGCTAGGCTGTTCTTGCTTTATTTGTATCACACTAGCCTTTTTTTATTCTCCTGCTATTTATGGTTAATTATTATCCCTATTCCCTACAATAATTAATTTGAATTACTTAATTCTTCTTCTTATTCTTATTACAATCTTTAAACAATTTCAGTTAAAATATTCGAGTAATTAGCGAATCTCTACTAATTTTTAGATTGCATATTTGATAGTTCTTACGTTAATTGTTGACTTTCCTAGAATAGTGTTTCATTTTGTTGCATAATTTATTAGAGTGCTATTTATAGTTATTTTTAACTGTCAGCTATAGCTTAAATTTCATTTTTTAGTTCCTTTTGTGCTTTCTTAAATTACTCAATTTCATCAACAATTTATGGAATTTCCTAAGATTCTTAATAAATATTTAACATCTTTATCGTCATTTTCTTCCTAATTTCGTCTTTTTATATTAGTCAACAAGGCTCTTCCATCTCTTCGAAACCATTTATGCTCAAATTTTTAATTAATCTCGTCCGCTTTACTTTTTTTAAAATTATACATGTTGAGTTATCTAAAATTTGGAATCAAAATTTACCTTAAAAAGCTTGGATAATTCTTATGTTTGAAATATTTTGGCAATATTTTATCAGCAAGCAATTGTTAATTTCTTACAATGAATGCGTTTCCCTCAGTATTCCATCCAATAATTTCTTTTAGATCTTCATTCTATTGTGTTTATTAGATAATACTTCCATAATGTCAAACAGTCTTACTAAAAATGAAGGCACACTTCCTTTTTATCTTTATTCTGAGCTTTAACTTTAAGAATCTTAGAAATTATCACTACTATCTTGCATATTAATTAAAAATATTATTGTTTTGATTTTTATTAAAAATTAATATATGTATTCATATCAAAAATCTTAACAATACTGATGAATGCTACAGAATCTTTTGCCAAAGCAGATGACTTAAATTTCCTCTATTTTCAATTTTATAGGATAAACAGTAACTAAAATTAATTAGATTCTTTATTGAAACATAAATTATGTTCTAACATATATTCAAAATCCTGTTTAAAAATGAAATTAAATACTTCAGGTATTCAAAATCTTTCAATTATAAAATAAATTAATTGGAATATCAACATATTTGTTAATTTTATCTCATTTTCTTAAGTAAAAAAGAAACGTAATCTTGATCATAAATAAATTTAAAGTATATTAATATTCATGGAATTTATGTTATATTCTTTTTTGATTACAAAATGTTATTAATTTTTATATTGACCTATTAGAATCTCTTATAAAAGACTTATTAAGGATTTGATAGTAACTGATAGAAATTGTATATAATAATTATTTAATGAATTTGAGAAAATTTTCCTAGTTGTCGTATTTTTAAGCTAAAAGTTAAAAGCAATAGAATCCGCAAAGCAAGGCTGTATAATAGAAAAACATAAAGCCTATCTATGAATTTGAGAAGAAAAATTTGAAAGATTAGTTTGAATAAAATCAAAGCAATCAATAAACGTTGATTAACCAAGAGACAAATGAAATTACAGTTTCTGATTTCGAAGCATCTACACATGTGGAAAAAAAATGTAAAATTTACATAATTAAAGTAATTAGCAATCCAAGGGCGAAAAGAAAACATTTTTCACCAATCTTCAGAACAAACAACATTACAATTGATCAAAATTCAACTAGATTCTAATTATCTTTATCTAGAGAAAAATTATTGAGCAATGATGTTATAAGCTTATGGGATTCAAATCAAAGAGGAATTAAATAATCCTCCCATAGTGTGTAAATAGAAGATAAATAGACATTCATCAGCAAAGGTTCAAAGAAAAAGTTAGAGAAAGGCATCAAAATCTAGTAAGAATTGGATGAATTCCTCAAGTTTAGGCATTAGAATATATAAACTTCATTTGATTGTACCAAACTAAAAAAATTTGAAAAAAGAAAACTGAAAACCAAAATTAGTATTGAATATCAAATTGATTCAAGAATTGATAAATAAAATAATGAAAAAGAATGCCAATTTAATGGCTTGAATAATCAAAACTAAGACTTATATACTTAATTAAATAATTCACAAGAATAGAAAGAAAAATCGAAAAATAGTAGTTCTATCAAAAGTAATCCTTTGATTCCAATTCACATTCGATCCTAATATGAAAAAGAATATAAGGATGCTAAATAAAAATCTAGCGAGAAGTTAAATGAATAATAGCAATATCTATAAAGTAATACTATAATGTTAAATTTTAGGAAAAAAAGTAAGTAAGGATTAAATAGAGGAGTTTTTTAAAGAATAACAGAAATTTATGAAAAAGAGAGCTGATTTTTTTGAAAAGGAATTTGAGAAGAAACTTTGGGAAGCATCCTAACATGAAAGTGAGTTTCTTTATAAACCTGTGCTTAATGAATAATCAAGTCGAGTATATTTATTAACTAAACCTTTAGATTTTGGATAAGAAATTAAAAGGAAAAAAATTTGATTAGAGAATAGAACAATTTTAATAGAATAGATAAAATAAAATAGAGGAATAGATATAAAATATGAAACCATCTTTCACTCCAACAATAAGTAAAAAATCAAGAAAAGTAATCATCCAATAATAATAAAGCTCATGGAAAACCCAAAATAAAAAAATGATAATGCATTTTAGTCGTATAATTAAAAAGCAAAGACTCAAGAAGGTTAGTGACTTAATTTAAATGATATTAATTATATATATCTTTGTTAATCATTAATTCAAAATACTTTTACTGATGGTATTAAGATGTCTTTATGAAATACAGGACCTGATCAATGTTCCATCTATTTTATACATTCTTTTCTAAACATCCATTTATTACTCTCATTACGTTTTCGTTTATTTTTTTATCTTAATTAGTTTTTACTTTTTAACACTAAATTTATCGATATAAATCTTTATCATTTTATCCTTTAAAAGGATATTCTCCTGTTATCATTTTAGATAAAAGTATACCTAAAGACCAAATATCTGAACTAGCAGGATGATGAGGAACCTTATTCAATAAATTGTAAAATTACCTTTGCTATGATTTCTGGAGACATATAATGTGGTGTTCCACAAAAAACGTTAGTTTTTTAATTTAGAGGCATGCAAATGGCAAAACCGAAATCTATCAGTTTTACTACATTGGTTTTCATCATTAAAACATTATCTAATTTGATATCTCTATGACTTATGTTTAGATCATGCAAATATTTTATAGCCATGGCAATTTGATAGAACAAAGTTAAACATTCTTTTTCTGGTAAGATTCTATTTGGCTTAGACTTTATGTACGAAGCCAAAGATTATGAGGAAATATATTCCATGACTAAATTGATCTTATATTATAATAAAGTACTGATTTTNGAAAGAAAAATCGAAAAATAGTAGTTCTATCAAAAGTAATCCTTTGATTCCAATTCACATTCGATCCTAATATGAAAAAGAATATAAGGATGCTAAATAAAAATCTAGCGAGAAGTTAAATGAATAATAGCAATATCTATAAAGTAATACTATAATGTTAAATTTTAGGAAAAAAAGTAAGTAAGGATTAAATAGAGGAGTTTTTTAAAGAATAACAGAAATTTATGAAAAAGAGAGCTGATTTTTTTGAAAAGGAATTTGAGAAGAAACTTTGGGAAGCATCCTAACATGAAAGTGAGTTTCTTTATAAACCTGTGCTTAATGAATAATCAAGTCGAGTATATTTATTAACTAAACCTTTAGATTTTGGATAAGAAATTAAAAGGAAAAAAATTTGATTAGAGAATAGAACAATTTTAATAGAATAGATAAAATAAAATAGAGGAATAGATATAAAATATGAAACCATCTTTCACTCCAACAATAAGTAAAAAATCAAGAAAAGTAATCATCCAATAATAATAAAGCTCATGGAAAACCCAAAATAAAAAAATGATAATGCATTTTAGTCGTATAATTAAAAAGCAAAGACTCAAGAAGGTTAGTGACTTAATTTAAATGATATTAATTATATATATCTTTGTTAATCATTAATTCAAAATACTTTTACTGATGGTATTAAGATGTCTTTATGAAATACAGGACCTGATCAATGTTCCATCTATTTTATACATTCTTTTCTAAACATCCATTTATTACTCTCATTACGTTTTCGTTTATTTTTTTATCTTAATTAGTTTTTACTTTTTAACACTAAATTTATCGATATAAATCTTTATCATTTTATCCTTTAAAAGGATATTCTCCTGTTATCATTTTAGATAAAAGTATACCTAAAGACCAAATATCTGAACTAGCAGGATGATGAGGAACCTTATTCAATAAATTGTAAAATTACCTTTGCTATGATTTCTGGAGACATATAATGTGGTGTTCCACAAAAAACGTTAGTTTTTTAATTTAGAGGCATGCAAATGGCAAAACCGAAATCTATCAGTTTTACTACATTGGTTTTCATCATTAAAACATTATCTAATTTGATATCTCTATGACTTATGTTTAGATCATGCAAATATTTTATAGCCATGGCAATTTGATAGAACAAAGTTAAACATTCTTTTTCTGGTAAGATTCTATTTGGCTTAGACTTTATGTACGAAGCCAAAGATTATGAGGAAATATATTCCATGACTAAATTGATCTTATATTATAATAAAGTACTGATTTTTTATCTTCTATTGCCCAATACAATTTGATAATGTTTTGATGTTCAATCCTTTTCAAGATGGATATTTCTCTTTTTACATTGTTCATTTTTTGAGAATCATTCAATTTTATTTTTTCATAAATTTTAATAGCATATTTCTCTTTCGAATTTTTATCAATACCTAATCTAACCATTGCAAATGATCCTGATCCTAGTATTGTTTCCAACTTGAAATTTCCCATAATCAATTCTTGATTGCATAACTAGTTCAAGGCTAAAGCACTTTTGGGTGGTTTTTATGGTTATGGACATTTATCAATTATTTATTGTTAAGATTCTATTTTCTATTTCTCTTTCGTATCTTCGAATCGCTTAATTCTTGTAGCAACTCCTGATAATGCTGAGAACGGTCTTGGCTATTGAATTTTTTTGTTTATTGAGGTGCTCCATTGTCTATCTTACTATTAAATTCTAGTGTTTTGTGTAGTATTTAGGGATAAAGGTTACTCTTTCGAAGATTTCCATTAAGAACATTCTATCTATTATATGAAGTATACTATTTATTTAGTTCTCAATATTTTTGAGAATTACATCAGCTTGCAATTTGATACTATTTAAATCATAAATATTAATCGCATCTGTTTTAAGTTCTAATGTTATAGCAAATTAATGTTACATTTATTCTTTTCAATATTAGCTAAAAATGATTGAGTAACAGAGTCATTTGATTCTGATTTGTTAAGTTTTATTTATTTTAACATTTTTGTTTTTTTGAAAAATTAATAATGATAACGATAATTAATTAATAAAACAATAAAATTTTTGTCTAATTAGTATAAAAATATAAAATATAAAAGCCATTTAATCCATTATTTAATTCATTCCTACAAACTATCTGATCTAGATGAAAATATTCTATCAACTAATTTGATTTAAGCTTTTTGATTAACAAAGGATTTTGATGAATACTTTCTAGGAACTGAAATTAATTATTTAGTAAATATGCCATAGGGATCTGTTACCTTAATGGTTCGTTTTTTCTCTTGACTTGACATCTTATAATTTTTGGAATTGCTTTCTAATTGACTTGTATCTTAACTATTGTATTAAAAAATATTTGATTTTTTGACGGGTTTGCATGATTCGTACTGTTATTGAATAAAAGAATTTGGAGATTGCTTGATATTCTAATCAAGATAATTGAAAATATTATAACAAACATCGGAGACATCTTGAGCACTCTGTTATGTACTTTGCTTTGTACTTTGTTTGGTGCTTTGTTAATTACCTAAATTTTCTTTATTAGAATCCTTGATTGAGTGCATCGTAGTTTTTCTTGAAACAGGATTCTTTTGTAATAATTTAGTTTTCAACAACATATTTTTTATTGCGGCGAGATTTTATTAAGGTAAAGAATTCTCTCTTCTCCTTCTAAGCATTTATTACTTAGTTTTTGTGACTTCAGGATTAAAGAATTAGGCTGTCTTTTAAAAGGGATCCTCTTTTCCAAAACTCTATTCAAAAAAATTCATTTTCAAATTTAATATTAGTTTATTATTAACAAATAAAAAATTATATTAAGAAGAATTCATTATAATTTATATTAGAATCTTAGATCTTTGATATAATCATTTTCGCTTTTACACCCAACAAAAAAAAAGAAGATTTTTGAGAATAATGATTGCTATTTGAGTTTTTCCTCCTATTTACTCTTCTCTTTTTGGTGAGTTGTTTTAAAGGAAAACTTTTAGTTATTGTTGCCTAATGATATAGATCCTCATCTTTAATTTACTCATTATAGTCAATTTTAGTGGTTTCTTCAAATTGCAATTTCATTTTTTCATAAAAGATCCACAAACTAAAATTATGAACAAATCTTGGGTTTTTCATAAAAATTTATTAGACATGGATAAATTCCTTTGCATTTCATAACCTCGTCGTTTTGATTTATCAAAATAATCTTTCTCTACATCCAATTTTATTTTTCTAATTTTTTATTTGTCCAATTCATAATTTAAATTTCTATTTGATTAAATTCATTATCAGCTTCCAATTTTTTGCAATACCTTATATGGTTTCAATCAAAAGTTATCTTAGCGAAGCAGCCTCTGCTTTTTAATTAAAACTAACGATAACTAATCATCAAAAGAATTCCTTAAGCTACCCTTGATATCTACACTGTGTAAATAGATGTTAGAATAAGAATTTTAAATAGTCCTACATGAGTATCTTGGAGCTTATATTTAGAAGAAAGGGACATTTCTTCTAATAAATAAGATACTATTCTTCATTTCTCACAGAAAAGTAATGCTTTCTGATACCCATTCACCATTTTTAGAGCTATGTTTCTGTAGCACTCTTTTCCATTATAATGCTTTAACATAAATATTATTATTATTTTTTTATTTATACATGGAAACAGTTTCTTAATAAATTAAACAATTGAATCAGAAAAATCAAGAGCTCTCAGTCTTAGAGAACCGAATAGTCTAATTGAAACAATAATTGAATTTGCAATAGGCAAACAATAATATCTTAAAAACTAAAGTAGATAAGATAGTTCACTCCAAAAAACAAAAGTTTTATGATTAAATGAAGGTAACTTCATTACTAACAGAATTTAGCTGAAACAAATACTCCAGGATAATGCTGTAAATAATGACTAAGCTTAATATATGATTCAAAGAAATAAAGTTTTATTGAATGAAGAACTAAGGCAAACTAAATAGGATATGTTGGAAGAAAAGTATCTTCAAACCCAATAGATGAAATAAAAATTAGATTTGGACATGCTTATTAATTAAAAAAAAAGAGATCAATAACTCTTAGAGAAGTAGTAATAATACGCAAAAGTACTCAAATAATTTTATCTGATAGATTTCAGAGTGGGAATTTAATCTTAAACTTGATTTAAAATAAAGACAAATAGATAAAATTGACAGAATCAGATCCGAAGAAAAGGAATTCAAAGAACAATTAGCAAAAAGAATATTGGAATAACAACAGCTCTGTGATTAATTGACCAATGAAGAATAAAGATTGCTAAGGTATTTTTCATTGCAAATTTATGAAGCAAATTAAAACATTCCCAATAGTTTGGAACCTCCCTTAAAAATGATCTAACAACTGCTATGCATTTAAGTATAAAGGAGTATAAAAATAATATGTCCGTGTCAATGCCCACTCATATTAAATCTTATAGTTCATCTAAATTACCAAAGGAACAATAAAACAGTCCATATGCCCAATTGCCTACTATGCTAATGATGAAAATAAATGGATAAATCAATAAGAGCAAAAATGAAAACTCTTTTTATCGTGAAAATATTATGAAAGGTTATCAATTTTCTCTGCCTTCTCTTTGTAAGCCTTCCTTTACAGAATAGTAACATCAAGTTGAACGGCTTTATTAATCCAAAACAGTGAAGAATAGCAAATCAGATTTGCAGTAGATACTGAGTTATTGTGATTCTACTGGTAAAATAGAATAGAAATAAAAACATCGTGTGAATTAAAGTGAAATATTAAAAAATTAGATGAGTAATTATTCGATAAAGGAAAATAAATAGAACTAACATGAGTAAGAATAAAGTAAATAGCAATCAACAGAAGAAATGAAAAATAACAAGGAATAAGAAACATCAAATCAGAATTAATAAGAAGAATAATAATGATGATATGTATTTATTAAAATTTTAATAAAATTTTATATCAGATTTTAAATCATTAAAAGATCCTATATTTAAATCAGAGTCCAACTGTAATATTTTAAGAAGGATTCTTCATTTTAGGTCTTGAGAAGATCTAAATTGATATGTTTATGTATTCTTTCAGTTTTCAATAAAATTGACAAGCTTCTTCATAGCTTTCTCAGCTGAAAATGCTCCGAAAGGGCCATCTCCACCTAATTTAGAGTGAATTTTTTCAGATTTAGCATCCTTTCTAGTCACGGTTATTTCCATTTCTCCTGTTATTTTATCTTAGGATTTGCTTGTCACTTCAGCTTGAGGATACAATGATTTAATGTATTGTTAGGCCAAGTTGTATTGTGACCAATATCCTCATCCACCACAATAGGTGATATGAACTAGATGATAAATGAATAGGAAATACCTTTGAATTATTTATCTTTAGAAGTTTTAAGTGTTGAAATGTTCTCAGGTAATTTGATCATGAAATAATTAATAATATCTTATTATAATATAAAATTCACTTAAAAGTGTTAAAAATAATGGATCAATAATAATTAAAAAAAATAGTCCAAGAAATTGTTATAAAACATTGTAAAAACAGAAAAAGCTTTGCAAAAATGAAATATTTGTGATTTATATTGTAATGTGTAATGTATCAAGCTACAAGTATGCATGCTCCTCCTACTGCTTTGATTCTTCTCTCTGCAGTTTTGCTAAAGAACTTAGCTTTGACAACGACTGGTTAATTTGGAAGTCTGCCTTTTCCTAGGACTTTGAAATAACCAGCTTTGGTGACATCAATAACAGCAGCCTTGTCCTTTGATTTTGCATATTTTTCTCTGGTTTCATCAGTGACAAGTGACCATAATTTATCAATGTTGACTACAGGTCTGTGGAGTGTGTTTTTTTTCAAATGGAAATGTCTCATACCGGTCTAGAGGAGGAATAGGAGTAGATGGATACTTTTTGGAAATAACCTGGATGGTATTTATTGAAATTGATTCTATGATGTGTTAAACCTCCTGAAACACCTCTACCACTTGGATGTTTTCTGTGTTTGCCAACTCTACCGTAACCATGGCATACATGTCCTCTCATTTTTCTACACTTTCTCAATCTGCTGACCATTGTATTAAATTTTAAAAAAAAGATTTTAATATGTGATTAATACCCTGATTGAATATATAAATCGAAATAAATCGGGAGTGGAGATTACCTAGAAATGTGAATTACTGTTAATTAACTATTGCGCCAATAAGTTGATGGAGAGAGTATTATTAAAAAGGATTAAATAAATAATTAAAAATGTAAAATGATGCAATCGATTATCTGAAAATCTTCACTTCATTAACTATATTCAAAGCGTTCTGTTCTGGTGTGCATCGCTATAAAGTTAACTAGATGCCATCCTCACATTACGAAACCGTAAATAAGTGATCATGATATTATGATAGGAATCAACTTTGGCTGTTCTGATGAAAATTCAGATGCAATTCAATTTTCTACTTCTTCATTCCACATTGTTTTTTAAACACTTGGATAATGTTTCGGAAATGGGTTAATTCAACCTCATCCTAATGATATCAACAAGCCTTTTTGCTCTGACCTTATTGCTGACAGATTACAGATGGCTTTTGAAAATATATAGATACGAAAATCATATCCTCAGAGAAGATTACCCAATATTTGAATTCTTGGGGATACAAGTCTTTATGATGTTTGGATGCGCCTTGCTCATAACTATTTAATGGTTCACAATTCCAATTCTTTCGGATCTAATGTATCAACTTTTATGCATCTACAAAATACCATAAATCATTAAATGTCATCAAAATAACCAACTGCCCAACATCACCTATTTCTGCTTTCTCGAAGACTATTGCATTTTAATTTTTTTCTCCTACTACAGAGGTTGCCCCAGCAATATCTTTAAACTCCAAGAAAACCTGGGAATTTGCATAAGCGTAGCCATTTTCATATGCATTCAGCAGTGTATTCTACTCTATTAGTTTCATGTCAAACCCTAACTCTACTACAATAAGTCTTAGGTCGAGGAATTTGCCAAATAAATAAGGGAACAAAACATTTATTCAACCTTTGATGACTTGGTTACTAACAGCAACGTTGAGTGTGCAATTTGTCTTCAGGGCATTGAAATAACTAATTCTTCATAAATTTAACTTGATTCTTAGGATTCAATAGTTTTGACTCGTTGTTCTCACAAGTTTCACGAAAGTTGTTTGATAGTTTGGCTGAAAGTCAAAAAGCAATGCCCAGTGTGCAGACACTAATTCTGATTGATTCAATATTGTTTTTATCTTTTACGCATTAATTATTTCTCGATTATATATGAGAACATTGATATTTACTATAATTTTATATGTAAAACACTTCATAATATTCAAGCCACTGTATGAATTAGGGTCCAAGTTAATAAAAATTCACCCACTGAAGCTCCTAATCCCTCTGTGTATATTTCTGTATTCTCTATTTTATCTTCATCGACCTAATCAATCATTTTGCAGATAGTACTTATTTGTATTTGAAAACATAATAGTATGAAAAACCCATCGACAAAAACAAAAATCCCAAAATTGTCAATATGCCTTGTAAATGTAAAAATCCTGCCGCTAATCCTAGAAGGACTGAAACTATTTGTCTCACAAAGAAAAGTGCTGTTTTGATTTGATCAGGACTTGCTTAATCGTTTGTGGATAAAGAGAAACTCAAAAACTCACCTAGAGACTAGAAACCTTCCTTTTTTAAAGGCATTCAATAATATAAATTTATTAAAAATAAATATAACATGGGAAAAATTATAATCGAATACCTTGAAGGCAAGAAAATTTATGCTTGTAAGAACTGCAATGTTCATCTTTCCAGCCAAGACTACTTGACTTCTAAAGTAATTCCTTGAGTTAAGTTATAGCAATTCACAGGAAAGTCTGGAACCGCATTTCTCTTCGAAAAAGGGTAAGAGTAACAATAATAAAAGTGTGAACTATCTGACAGGCATACCAGAAGATAAAAGGCTAAGAACTGGATTGCATACCACTCAAGACATCATGTGCATCAAATGTCAAACATATCTCGGATGGAAATATGTAATGCCATGAATTACAATATTAAAGCTGCATGCTTATGAGTAATCTGAGAAGTACAAGGAAGGCAAAATCATTTTAGAAAAACTGTTCTTGACCAAAATCAAGTGGAATTGATTTACTATCTTTAAATTATAAAATCATAATAAAATCATTCTATTAATGAGACTCTCTCCCCTAAGTTGTTAAATTTATATTGGTGATAAAAGTTCAACCCTATATTCATCATATTCACACCCAAAATCTCCAAAAATGTTGTGTGTATTTACCTTAATTCCAACATGCTAGTAATTGCAATGGTTATTTATAAAATAGAATACAGTAAAGATTACCTAAGGGAAATAGCAATCTGTCTCAAAATCTCATTCTTGTATTGCCATCTGCTATCCCACTTTGGATGTCTATTCAATTTAGATGTCTGGATTATGAAGAAGACATAATTGAATAAATATGATATCCAAAAAACGGTTTTAATAGACCAATATTCCTTCTTAAATTGCTGATATTTCGTATCAAGCATAATATAAGTTTTAAGTTATAGTAAGCTATTCAATTACAACATAATTTGAAATGCCAATAAAGAAAACGATAGAAAGGCTAAGTCATACAATCCTGATATTAAAAACCTATCAATTCAATTGAAATAAATACTTTATGATGAGAAAAATGCCGATTCCATTTTCTAGTAGGGAGAAATATGAAAAACAAATGGTTTTTGAAATACTTGAGTAATTTAGAATCTTAATTATAATGGTGTAGAGGCAAATTAAAAATATTATTAACAAAAGACCAGGAAAATTATAAATGACTAAGAAAACCTATTCATCAATAATTTAGTTGTTAGTTTAGTTTTGATTATTATTAGTTTGATTAGTGTTGTTATGATCTGTGTAATAATCTTGAGTAACACATTAATTTAAATAAAGATCTAAATCTCCCTCGCATTCTAAACATATTTCTTTCTCTAAAAATGCACAAGCTGTACACTTTCCAATTGAGCAAGGATAGCATTGGCCATTTAATGCGTAATAATTGATTGGACATTCATCTATGCAAGTAGAGTTATATAGATATCCAACCAAACATATTGAACATTTATCATAACTTTCACATTCAGCACAATCATTTGAACATTATAATGAGATGGATTACCTAAAATATCCTTATTATTGGATTTCTCCTTTATAATATGTAGTAAGTTTATAGGTGAATAAGTAGACATATTGATTCGGAATAGTAAAAAATCTGAATGGAATTTCTAATAAACCATTCCCTTCAATATAGATATACACAATCTAATTCTATTCTTATTTACAACCATCACAATATATTATAATGTTTCCTTCATATCTTATTACATCCACTTAAAACTATAAGGCAATTCGTAATAATGCTTCTTTCATTTATATAAATTTGTTATCCATAAGTTGTATATTTGATAACTAAATCTTTTCAAATTCCCAATCCTGGAACTTAGAACTGAAAATAGCTATTTAATCTTCATTCTTATCTACTAAGGTAAATTACCATTCTATTAATTAAGGTTTAGAAGGATTTTACGGTTATGAAATAAGGAGATGCAAAACTTAGTGTTTTTTCATTAGGGGCAAATTAATTATCTCAGTATTGCAATCAAAGTTATTTTGTTAAAAATTCAAGAATTAACACTACAGCTTTTACTTAATGATCAAATTAGTAGGATAATGAATTTTCAATTTATCTTATTCATTTATGTCACAAGGTAATTCTATACTAAATTACCATTGATTTAATGCATTTAATTCTCTTGTAGTGGTTTATGGAACAATTTAAAATTTATTTGGTTTAAAAAATAATTAATATTCGATTTAACTTTGTTAACATTCCTTAGCATATGTCGAAATAAATAATTTTGATTCCTTTGCTAATCTCGGTGTTTCTATATTATGAATGACATCCTTATTTTTGGATAATTCTATCACTGAAAAATTTATCTTCTTGCAATTTTGGCATTGAATATCATTTATGTTAATTGAATCTTCAAAACGAAGTTAAACTCTATATTCACTCTCTAAAGAAACAGATAAGGTAGTCTTATCTACAGTTAATTAACTGCTTAAAGATATTTATACATTCTTAATTAACTAATTAGGTTTCTGAATCAGAACTACATCTGATAATAGTTATTCTCTAAATTAATCATTTTAATAAGCCTGTGATTCAAATCTACTAGTTAAACATATTGTTGATGGGTTTTTAATCCAAAACGTAAAACTAAATAATGTTCCACTTACTATTTAACTCTCCCATGAATCTAAATTCAATTCTTTGGGGAATTGGATATAAATAACACCATTTAGGATGGGGTTTTACAATTCAATGTTTATATATAGATTGGTATCTTCATCTACTACTTCAGTATCTCTACTAACTATAAAACTCTTATATGTATTTGGCTCAATAGAATAAACAATATCTCCAAATAAACTTGCACTTATTTTATTAATTAAAAATGAGAATATTATGTCTTACTTATACTCTAAATTCTAAAATTAGAATTCAACTTTTAATCTAAACTCTTCTAATAATTATTCATTAAAATCAGTTATAGAAATAACATTGTCATTCTAAACAAATGATTTTTCAATATCATTTATAATTAATTTATCAATCACCAACAATTTTGATAAGGTAACTTACAAATCTGAATTAGCAAGTATATATTTTTAAGAGTCCAGTAATATTTATAAAGTTGTCTATTGTGTTGCATAACTATTAGAGCTCACTAAAATTAAAATGAAGTATACCTTTCACTATTCTATCTATTTCAGATGGAGCATATGCCCCAAAATTGAATTAACCTTCAGATAATTTATTGTCGCTGTTAAAAATTTTAGCAGTGGCTGTATATACTTCTAAATTAGAAGGAAATGTAAAGTTATTAATAGTAAAGGAGTGCTGACTTTCATTATAAAGGAACTCCACATTTCGATTGAATACATAAATGATATTTTCTTTTGATTGGCAATCCTGTCCATTCGATAGTCCAGTGAAATTTGTGCAAGATATAAAATGACTAGTGAATACTGGGAATTCTAATTATAAATATAAATCCTGAAACATTATAGGTTTATGCTCAATTTAATAAAAGTCGTATTCGAATGAAAATTAAAGGTTAGACCTTTCAAACGTGACACCATTTCCGTCAGCCTAACATTTCAATTAATCATCTTTAATTTCCAAGACTAAAAACATATTTATTGTTTTTGTTCCATTTATTATTGTAATCTTGATGATTTTTTCTCCAGGAGTTGGAGGATTTTTTATTTTAGTAAAGGAGGCCAACAAAAAGTAAATTTATCGATCTTCGCTATTATATATTACTTTAGGAGGTTAAATTTGGAGTGGATATTAACAGTCAACGTTGAAAGCTGGATCGCTCATATCAAATTCACTTAATGTTATTGCTATCAACTTTGTGATCTTCTTTAGGTATTAACCTTTAAAAGTAATCTACAAATCCATTTAATTGTAGGAATTAACTTTTTCATATTAATAGGTAAGGGTAATATCAATATCTGTGTCACTCTTGACCAATTCAAATGAAGTGGCTTTTAGGATTAGAAGTGGCAGTAGTGTTAGTTTTAATAGCATTTTCAATAATAATAACTAAATTCAACATTTTATTTCAACTATTTGTTTTTTGGAGATTTCCACTAAAAGTTTACTTTTTTCACTAAAATAATAATATATATTTAATATATAATTCATATACAAGAAGAGTTAGGTTGAAATTCTGTATTCAATTGTGTTTTTTATTGATTACTCCTCTATTTTAAGTATCAATCAATCCTTGGCATTAATAGTATTTGCATTAAATAGTTAATTATGAAAAATAATATTATTATTAAAATTATCACATAGATCATAATATGCACTCCAAATTTCAGAAAGAAATTTTGTAATTTTATAGATAAGTGCTTAAGTGGGCCAATCTGAAACCAGAGCCAGCAAAATCAACTATTAAAATCTATGTTTAGAATGAGTATCGAAAGAATTAAAATATACCAAAAAAGAAATTAGATAGGGTATTTTCTTGATTAATATCTAGATTGATTTTCTCTTCAGATAAGGAAAGAATAAGTACGAAATATGGAAGGTATAGAATTTTCATATATTAAGGATGCAAAAATTGACTAAATATAAATTAAATGATTTATAGTAAAAATTTATTAAACTTTCAAGGTTTGCCTTTTTTTATTTTTTCTTAGAATTGACAAGGCTTTTCGCATTCTGTATGTGTACAATGATGGCGTTTTACAAGTTACTTACAACATTTGCATTCCTTTTCCTTTGACTCTCTCCTTTTCCTCAATTTCCCATTTTAAGAATCTGATTAACTATCCAATACAAAGTCATCCTCCTTAGACATTAAGTCATCTAAGTTGACTTACACAGGTAAATCAGCTATAAAATAGAATGATGTTAGAGTGATACGTGAATTCTTGACTTTGATAACATCCAAAAGTTTTGTAATTTAATCATTTGGTAATCTTTCAAAGATTTTGATCAAATCATCACTCACTTTTCTTGATATTTTAATTTATCCTCTTTCATCATTTAACTTAACCTTCTTTTCAATTGAGTCATTTTCACTTTAACTACTATTTTCTTGTATCCTATGATCCTGTTTCCTTAATTTAAAACTACCCCTTACTTATTATCCAATCCAGAAGACTTAGAATGACACTCAGAGGATTCAGAATTCTAAAACATATTTTTTCTAATATATATAAAATATTAATAAATAATTCATTTTTCAATGCTTTATTGCTTTTATATTGAATTTATATAAAACTGATTCCAAACTCAATAATATTTATGAATCCCACACTAGACTAAACTTCTAATAGTTTAATTTGAGTGTTGTGAATAACCATTCTGAATAAACTATTCTATTGATTTAGTAATAAGGATTTTAAATGAATCATAAGTCTGGTCAGCAAGTAAAGAGCAAAATAATATTTTTTAATTCTGAAGTTTCAGAATATATTATTTGATTTGAATTCTATTTATAAATTGTAAAGTGATTAGTAAAGGAAGCATTAAAATATAAAATTATCCTAATACTTCATCATACCAAATGAGAAAGTAAGAATATTCCTTTTATTTTGATTGATTATAGAAATTGCTAAGTATATTCAATATTAAAAATAACATTTGATTATATGCATTAGTTTCTTTCTTTGTACCTTTAATAGTTACTCATTTCTTTTTAAAAGAGCGGTAAAATCGAAATAATAAATGAGATTAATAAAATCCATTTTCACTTTATTAATCACTTTTATATATAAGTGTTTAGTTTTTAACGATAATAATAATTTATTTAATATTAACAGAATGATCATCGAAAATCAAAGATGTTTTGGAAAGGAAATAGCAAATTCAACTTTGCATCAATCCAAGGACATAGGCATGATTGTGGAAAAACATAAAAAACCTTTCTCCATTATACCAAAAGTTTTTGCAATGAGTTTGGATGATAAAGAAAATAAACTGTTTAGAAGAGAATCAGAAAAATTACAAATTGAAATAGAAACTGAAAAGAGCAAGGATGTTAAAAATCCTTAAAATGTTGAGTTATATTCCAATGAAATTTTACAACACCTGCTGATTGAGGAAGTAATATTATTAGACTATTAAAGAATAAATATACAATAAATTAGTATATGACACCTGAGTAACAGCCAGACATCAACATAAAAATGAGAGCCATTCTTGTGGATTGGCTAGTTGATGTTCATGCCAAATTCAAGTTGAAGGATGAAACACTTTACATTACAATCTCTTTAATTGATCGATACTTGGCTCTGGCACAAGTCACAAGAATGAGGTTACAACTAGTGGGTGTGGCTGCCCTCTTTATAGCTTGTAAATACGAAGAAATCTACCCTCCTGCTTTGAAGGATTTCGTTTACATAACAGATAATGCGTATGTGAAAAGTGATGTTTTGGAAATGGAAGGTTTAATGCTACAAGCCTTAAATTTCAATATATGCAATCCCACTGCTTATTAATTCTTACAAAAATACTCAACCAATTTAGATCCGAAAGATAAAGCGTTAGCTTAATATATACTGGAATTGGCTCTAGTTGAATATAAATTTATTATATATAAGCCATCTTAGATTGTCCAATCTGTTATATTTTTAGTTAATAAGATTAGGTAATACTATAATATTTATCATAGAACTCCCACTTATAAAACATCGAATGAGAATCAATTAAAGCCTTGCGCTAAAGAATTATGCACATTACTCTAAACAGCAGATCTAAGTTCCCTCTAAGCAGTAAGGAAGAAATTCAATTCTTCTAAATTTTTTGAGGTTTCGAGAATTAAAGTAGAAAAAACAAACAAATGATTGTAGTTTTAAATGTCTTGTTTCTTTGACTTTCACTCAAATTTTAAATTTAAGTTTTTCAATAATTATAAAGAATTATCATTACTTTCTAAAAAATAAGAAGAAGTAAAATAAATTAACGATTATTTTGAATAAATAGATTTACAATATCTGAATAAATGAATTTAAGAAGAATAATCTTTAATATCTATTAAAAAGTTATTTTTTGATTAGCTTAATATCTTTATTTGATTTAAATTACAATTTTTGTTTTTTTAAAAATGTATATCTAGAATTGAGAAGAATAATAATATAAGTTGAGAAATTCTATCTTACTTCTGTTGATAATTAAAACATTTGTTTACATTCAAATATTCCAATTAAATAATTAACTTCTATTGAAATTAAACATCACTCAAGATTCTACTCTCAATTATCTTAGTATCATAAAGAATCTTCAATCATTTTATCTGAAAATGCTTTGATTTATCAATTTTAAGGAATATATAGTTATTTATACAAAAAAGTAACATTTATTTAGTTAATTTACAGTAGTAATCTAAATGTGGTTTGGTGATTAAACAAATAATATTGAATATATTTAATAAAAAGATGAATCTCATCTTCCTGACCATGATGCAACTTATTTCTTGAATATGATGATGACTTATTCAATGATAGCATTTTCTTCATCTCTCTTGGCCTTGGCTTCAGCATAGTCTTCTCTCTTGTTTTCTAAGTCGGATTAAGCTTAATCTAAAGCATCTTATGACTCTTGGAGAATGATCTTTGATTTGGCTTATTAGGCTAAGGCAGCTTGGATTTACTAAGGAGATATGGAGGATAATTGTTACAGTTGCCAATCTGTCTGCATAAACTTATTTTCTTTCGTATTCAACTTTGAGGTTTGCAACTTCGGCTTCGCTCAAAGAGACCCATCCTGCTAATTCCCATGAGGCATTAATTTCATTGACTTCAAGAGCTTCAAGTGAGGCTTAAAGGTTGGCTTCAAGTGATTCTAATACTGACAAAACTCTTTCTGCTAATGTGGCTCCTCTGCTTACTGAACCGTCTTCTTATTTGTTGGCCAATTGGAGGAATGACTTTAATTCTTATTCTTAGAATGTGCTACTGTATTGCTTCAACTTGTCAGCAACACTGTGAACTTAGACTAATTCAAAGGAGTCTCCATTGATAATATATCCTGCGACATCTTATTTGAGGACTCTGACAACTTCGAGTGCTTCTCTGTTTTATTTGATTGATCTAACAAACAATTGATTGCTGAGGCACTATTCATCAAGAAGGACTTAAATCTTTCTAGCAATTTCATCTTGTCTTTGTTCATTCCAAGCGAGGTAATTTTTGGTGTCGTGGAGTTCTTATTCGAATTGTGCTCTGTTTTCAATTGATTATTAAAACAATTTTTGGTTGAGATTCTTGATTTTTGTGAATTGTTCAATTGTTCTAAAATTAATTAATAAAATTACTATGCTCCAACCCATTCGTCTGTTTCATTCTTTTAATCAGCAGCAAATTAGGCATCCTTGTTTGATTAAATCAAATCATTGAGTAATCCAAACACTGTATCAATAGCATCACTTGCCTTTGTTCCAGTCTAAAGGAGGGCAAGGATTTGATCCTTAGTTGATGTTGCTGATGCGAATGTGACCAACAATACAAGGGCGATTGCCAATTTCATTATTTTATTAATATAGGCAGAAAAACGGGTAATTCAATTAAATATCAATCCAAAAATATAAATAATCAGTATAAAATCAAATAAAACCATGTGATCACCCACTTACTAGAGTATCCTCATGAGACATGCATAAGTTGCTTAATGAATTATGATACTACTATATAACAGATGATCCTAATTAGATATAAGTTAAAGTTTTCAGAATTTGATGGCATGATTTGAGTATCCACTATTAACCCCATGGGAACCATCAAAAAGAAGTTGGTTATTGAAGCTAAAGGGAAGAGATTGGCAGACTTGGATGAGATGAAATGTCGTGGTTGAGAGAAACATGGAGAATCAATGGTTTTTTGTGGTAGAAATTAGAATATAAATTAATTTATATATATATTTATATTATATTTAGTTTATGTTTTGAAAAAAGGTAATTGGTCATTCAATAAGTTATATAAAATTTTATTCTTTTGGATAATTATAATTATGAATATTATAATATTAATTATAAAATATTAAAAATGAATTAAATTCAATAAGAGATCACTATGATTCCAACCAAAACTTTTAAGAATGCACAATGGATTTCAAAATCTTTGAGTGTAAACAAACGAAAAAGTCCCAATTATCCATGTAAAAGATGGGGACATACGGCCGTGTTACACGACAAATATATGTATGTTTTCAGTGGTTGTGGGAAATCTGATAATCCCAGATAGTGGGAACAAATATATAGAATGGATTGCGTTACATTTTAATGGGAAAGATTGAATTCACCATCTTTGAAGCATCCTCCCGGGAGAGACTCTCATTGTTGTGTATGTTTATAAAATAAGCTGTATTTTTTTGGTGGATCCAGCAATGAATTGATTCTTGGGGATTTTTGGAGCTTTGATATTGAGACTTCTGAATGGACAGAAATACAGGTACCAAAAGATATGGAGGGTAGAGAAGGGCATTCCATGGTGGCTTTGTCATCAAGATTGATATACATCTATGGCGGATGGGATTAAGTGCAAAATATAATGACAGAATCTCATTGGTTATATGATATAAAAACAAACAAGTTTTAATAAGTGACACATTTTACAGGGGATGAGATGATTAAATTAGAGAGTCACACTGCTAATAAAATCGGGGATAGCGTTTATGTCTTTGGAGGGTAAGGTCAGTAGTCGAATAAGCAATTAGTATTTCATAAAGATTTGTATAAACTAGATTTTGAAAATATGAATGATTTGCATTCAAAATTTGATTAATTGGACTCTGGAGATGATAAGGGTTAGAATATAGATAATAATACTGTAATCAAGATTGAGAAGATCAAGGCAAATGGATCTCAATAGCCAACTCCAAGAGCTTCTCATTCTGCAGTTGCTTATGGAGAGAGATTCTTATTTGTCATTGGAGGAGAAGGGTAAGAATAAGTAACAAATCAATTTTAGATATTAATATGACTAATAGAAGGATAACGAAGAGGAGGCAATTGAACAGGATTAAGATGACGATTAAAATATTGATGAGGAAGAGAAGCCAATATTTCCGAAAAATGATATTTGGATATTTGAAACATTCATGAGAGTATGCAATTGAAATTAGTTTATTAGACTTGGAGCAAATTGTAGCCAAAATCTAAAACTCCAGTGTTCCAACCGAGGTTTTCACATAGTTGTATAGTGTATAAGGATTAGTTTATAATATTCGGAGGGTTGAGAAGTATGGGGGAAGTGTTGGAAGACATCATGGTATTGCATTTAAAGGATAGTGAAACTAATGTTCAGAAATACTCAAGGGATGAGATGAAGAATGTTTGTAAGTATTGCCAATTGATCTACGGTATTCAGTAAGAAGAGGAAATATCATTTCATAAAGCAACAGAGAGTAGTGCAGTAAAACTACCCAAGTTATCTTTGACATTCGTAGATGAGTAATATTATATTTAATTGATTAATAGAGTTTCTAAACTGATTCAGTGTCCTATGTCTTGTTTTGGGCTCTTTTTGGACAACGTAAAATTATCAGAGGCTGCTGAAGTCAATTTTGAATATGTGTTCTTATAAAGAAAGAGGAAATATTCAAATACTGTTGATGAAATAAGGGATAAGATACCAGTGTTGATAATCTTTGAGAAAGACCCTAGAGAATTAGATGATTTGAATGATTTCCTATTTAATTTTGATATTTCCAAAAAGAAAAGCAAGGTGATTAATTAGGACTTGGACTTGAAAAATGAAAGTGAGTAAAACCAAGCTCTTGAGGAGTAACAACTACTCAATAAGAAGTAATATGCATTAAATTTAAAAATTGCATCATTGCGACTGGGAGATAGTGTGCTAATCTGTCATAAATCCTAGAACAATTATTATGTTGGGTTGATATCGATGAACAATCAACTAAATCCTAATGATGAGACCTTGACCTTCTATAATTACACGATGACTATTGCGAATGGGACTGAAAGGAAGATTGACTCGCCTGAGAGCAAATATGTGTTATTAAATGCGATTACTCATTTAATTAGTGAGGAGGACTTCATACTGAACTGCAATTTCAATTATACCAAAATCTTCATCTTCGATTTAGCTAGGATACATGCTTTATAAAAGATATTTGAACTTAGTTTATTTAATGATGATATAATCTCGAATTAATCATTAGCATTTGAATTGAAGAAGGACGAGGCAATTAAGCATCCAGATTTCTCTTTGAAGGAGTATCTCAAATATTATTCATTGGAACACTTACCTTTTAGAGTTACTGTGTAGAATCAATTGATAAACACGAATCTTAATGTGATAAGTCGAATAGAGAATAAGCACAAGGTTTCTGTGACAAACGAAAAAGTAGTAGTCAAATTAAATGAATGGGCAGAGTCTTATCAACTAGGCAGACTGACATAAAATAACTTTGGGATCCTTCTGTATTATTAAGGGAGACTGATCAATAGGTATAGAAAGCAATTAGGGATCTATCCAGGAGTTCTTGAACAAAGCGGATATGTGAACATTTCAAAGATTGTTAAACCGAATATGACATCTGAAGTAAGTAGTGCGAATTATGTTAGGGATTTAAGAATTCATACTTGGCGTCTATCTTACTATAAACTCTGGAAGCATTGGAGGAAGAATGCGAACCAGAGAGAAGAAAGGAAATTAAAATTTGATGTTATTGTCTATATATCATAATATAATGTAATATTATTAAATATGCTGTTACGAATGAATGTTAGGGAGTAAACAGGTATGCATTTTGATATAGCAACTCCATCGATTAATGAAATTAAAGTGTCAAGTAAAAGTTTTAAAATTTGATATTGTATAGAAATTAGCAAATTTTCAATAGTTTTATCCAATTAAATTGCGCAATACTAAGATTCTGATTATTTTAGAAATACACATTATCAAGGCAATTTAATTTTGTTTGTTATGAACTCACATGAATAACAATTTATAAACGACGATGTAGTCTTGTCTTCTGATGAGGAGGAACAGCTCTCGATGATTATTGAACATGATCCCACAGGTCGATTCTCAAAAGTACTTATGAACCCCCTTATAGTTTAGTATAACGAAGAGATAGGCAAGGGAGCTTACAAAAATGTATATAGAGGTTATGATAACGAAAGTGGATGCGAGGTCGCATGGAATGTCTTCTAGTTAACGAATGTCTCGGAAAGTATGAATTGAAAATAATAAGATGAGAGAAGAAGAGCCAAATAAGAAATTGCAATTTTGAAAAGTCTGCAACACTAAAATATCATTCGTTTCATACATTCTTGGCAAAGCAAGTCAAAGAAGGAAATTGTTTTTATCACTGAAATCGTGAATGGAGGTTCCTTGAAAAGGTAATCTTATAATAAAATTATATAGTTACATAAGAAGAATAAAAAGACCCAAATTGAAAGTAATACGCTATTGGTGCAAGCAGATTTTGGAAGGAATTGAATTCATGCACTCCCAAAATATCATCCACAGAGATTTGAAATGCGAAAACATTTTCATCGACACCAACAACAATGAATTAAAAATTGGGGATCTGGGATTGTCTATTTAGTAAATACACTTTATTAAATAAGAGAATGTCATCTCAGAATACAAGTTCCGTCTTAGGCACCCCAGAATTCATGGCCCCGGAAATATACCAAGGTAATTATAATACCAAGGTGGATATCTATGCATTTGGATTGTGCGTTCTAGAAATGGTAACTGGCTTGAAGCCCTTTAGTGAATGCAAAGGAGGCACAGGTTAGATTATCAAAAAAGTGATGGAATCTTAAAAGCCACAAAGTATAGAAGCAATTCTAAACGAAAAAATCAAAACAATAATTTTAGAGTATAAATTTAAATCAATTGAAGATGTCTCAACCCTCCAGATCAGAGACCTACAGCTACTTAATTATTGAACCAATACTTTCAATCCACCGTTTAAGATGACGATAATCAGCCTGTCTCCATCAATGAATCCCTGCTTGTTCAAATGACAAACGATAGCAAAAGTATACATTGTCCAATACTTAGATTCCTCTGTTTTAAAATATATTCCTTCGAAAAATGTGAGTGAATAGAAAGGAACTAACAATAAAGTTCTGGTTAATAATTAGTCCTACAAAGTCAATTCTAACAATATTCTCTAAGAAATCAATCCCAATTCAATGAAATAAAGTGGAGTTAAGTTCAACAAACTAAGTATTGATACTAATGATGATTATTCTGTGGAACAGTAATTTACTAAACAGTATAGAGAATATTATGTAAGAATTCATTTTATATTTTGAAGCTAACTTAAAATGATGAAACCTTGTAGGATCTAGAATAGAGACAAGAGAAGGAACTTTAGTTACTTAGAAATATTCATAAATAATAGAAGACAGAACTCTCGAATAAACTATCGTTAACCAATAGAGTTCCTGTCATTCCTTAAGGATCAGGGTTTTTATCTCCAAAATCGTTTTTTACACTATTTGAATATAACAGCAACGATTTCCAACATCAGCAAATATCATAATAAGCAATGGTGTATCCGCTTTAGGTTTTAAGGAGAGCAGATACGCTTAGTTAAGATGAAGATGGGGTTAAAAAAAATGAATTTAAAAGTGATACAATCAGTACTAATCAATCGGTACTCAATATAAAAATATGTTTAGCAACAATAATGTAAATTTAATACAGATGTTGCATTGTAATCGAAGTCATAAAGTATTCGACCAATTTTTTAAAGTTGAATATTAACATAACTTTTAATGTTAATAGTGATTAATATTTATAATTATTAATTTTAGTGAGTTTGTTTCTAGAGAGAGGATATGTCTATGAGAACATCAAAATAGTGAATTAATTTATAAATTGAAACATTAACATCATACTTATGTTTTATCACTATTTTGCAAGTGCTGATTAAATGATTATTAAGGATAGCAAGCAAGGTGATAATTGTAGCCTGGATGATAATTAGGAACTTACTAATAATTGTGAGTATTCAAATTAGGTGGAAAATTTAAGACTGACCTTGAAGTGACACTTTAAGAGGCTCCTTAATACTAGGATTGATAATTGTTGAATTGGAAAAATGGGAAGTAAGAACTTATACTAGGTTGATTCTCTGGCAGGGATATTTAATTTTATTATTACAAGGGATCTTCAAGATTTTAATTTAGCAGCATGTTGCTTAATAGATTATTATAACTAGGTAGACTAGTATTACTTAATAGTCCATACAACCCTTAGTTCACGGCAGCATCTTTATTCAAATTAGCTTATTGCATGTTTTTGAAGAATTAATTAACTTGTTCTTAGTTGATGAAATAGATTTTATTTTTCTCCTTATTAACCAAACATGTTTGAAGTTAGAGAGACTCTTCTGATGAGATTTAGGCAAAATCCATGATTTAAAGTGGCAAGGTATTTTATTATTATTTATTAATTTCTTATTGTTTCTTTTTGTCATTGTTGAGATTCTCGTCACTTTAGCTGTGATTATCCTTATTTTTAATAAGAATTTCATCATTATTTTTTAATGGTTCTTCTAATTGTTATTACTGTTTTATATGTTTCGGATAACGGGTTGAAGTAATCTTCTTTGACTGTTAATCGAAATCCTCTTATTTGACATCATAAGGATCACCACCATCTTGTTTTATTCTCCATTCTATTTTTTTGATTATTGCATTAATGCATCTTAGTTCTTCTAAACTCAATTCTTCAACGGAAGGGTCAGACAAAAAAGAATCTTATTCCTCATTATTGCTTTCTTAATTAGATTGCGTTTAAACTTTATTGTTTTTTTCTTTTCTCATGAGACAATTAAATCGATTTTTTACATTATTTTCGCTTCTTTACAGTTTTAGCTATTTTGAAATTTATGCCCATTTTTTTCCATTTAAAATGGCCAATTTCATAAGCTCCAAATCTTCAGATAATTACCATGGTTTTCTTAATATTAATTATAGAAATACCTATTAATAGTTGGATTTAAATGATTATTCCATCTTTCCCTGCACTGTTTCCCATTTCGATGGACACTTGAATCCGTTCGTTTGTTGAGAGATGTGGCTATCTGACTCCATTTGTTGCCTTTATTTAATTTCTAATATTCTTGAATAATTAATAGAAGTGCATCATCTTCTTGTCTGGTCCATGGAGCCTATTATAAAGGTAGTCTCAACATTTGCAGCCACTTCTATTTGCAGTGGAAGGGCTCTCTCCTCTGCATCATCGAAGATATGTTGATCCAATCAGATTCACTCTATTAATTTCATATGATCATTTCAATACAATTTGTTTAAAATCTCGTTTGTGAAGGGCCAAGTACTTTCCAACCAACCAAATTAACACCTTTTTGTCGTCGTCAGTCCAGTTCTTCTTGAATTTGTTTGCACCTTACTGGATACTTGCTTGGTTGTTCTTTTGGATGTTCAGAATTTCGTAGTTATTCGGAAATTATTCTAAGCCAAGATTATACAGCTCTTTCATATACGCGAATCTCACATTGGTAATGTCTTTAACTTTATCGAAAAAATCTTTAAATTTAGTGAAGAAATCATCCATCATTCAATTCTCAGAAATTATAAAATAATCCAATTAAAAACTACCCCATTAAATTATATTGTCTGAGTATATTATTAATAATTGTTTATTTTTGTATGAAATAAGGTTATTGGATTTAAGGCTGGAGTGATTTGGTTGCAAACTTGAAAGTCACCCAAAATTGCATGGACTTGATTGACGTCCAGGGAAATGGCCAATATAATTTGGTGGTTGCAGATTAAAATTAAAGACTAGTGTCCTACAGGAATACCAACATCGCATGGGAAACCAGACTGACAGACAAACCAGTTTGCATGACCTATTTCTATGGTGACACATCAGGCCAACCTTGCATCAGCATATGCCATGGAAACACCATATACAACTATAAGATTTTCAAAGCCTTTTATAAATGTCAAATTCCAAATATTCAATTGAAACAAGAAGAAGCAGACATCTGGAAATCGTATTCGACCGATAGGAATCTGCAAAACCTCATAAGGGATTTGAAGAATTTGCAATAATAACATTCCAATCTATCATACAAGTCCTTGGAATTGCTGTGCTTTTAGGATTTGCAAAAACAATAGGAATTAGCAGAAAAATATTAGGATAGTCCTTATATCGAAGATTCAATCACTTGTGTGAGTGTGCTTAAAAAAAACGTAGATGAGGATAAATCTCAAGGGTAATTAATTGTAGGAACAGAATTGAAATTCATATACATATATAATTAAGAAATCACTTAAATTTATAAAAAAGTAATAAATAATGTCATTATTTTTAGTATGAAATACCTGGAGTTCCAATCTCAATTTGCATATTTTCAGAAGAACAAAAAGATGGTCGAATCGCAGTATTAGTAAGAGAGAATTGTGTTTATTTCATTGGCAATGACATTGAACCCTACACTATCGATTTGCAATCCAAACCAATAACTATGATAAGATAGCAACGATGCCTGTACATAGCAACCATGGATAGGGTTGTCCAAAACTATTAGCATAAATAAAAATAATATTAGTTATAGATGTAACATAATATCTTGGGCATTGAAACTGTGACCACAGGCAAAGGATAAGAAACCAAAGGGTTGCTTATTGCATTAGAAAATAAAACTATTCAATTCTATAAGGATACTCAATTGATGTCTAGTATTAATTTGGAAGTATAAAATTAATTTATTAATTCAGAGCAATGTTTCAGTGATGAGATTTGGATTCTTCGGAGTCAGCCAAGATGGTTTTCTTATTACCATTAATATCAAAGGAGCATTAGAAACTAGAACTCTATCCAGAGAATTTGAAAGGAAGAAACAAGCCATATTAGAAAAGGAAATTATTAAACCCATTGAATTTCCACCTATCACCAATTTATTCATTGAACAATTTCAAAGAGAGAGAGAATAGGGCTCAGAAATGCTAAGAACATATTAGTATGATTTATTGAGAATGAGATTTAAAACTGCCCAAACATACTTGAACATATTGTCTAATAAAGAGTAGGCTCCTCAATTAAATTAGAACAATCCTTTGAGACTTTCAGCTATTGCAGAAGGATTAGGACCTAAATTTAAATTATGCTGTGTTGTGGAAAATATAAGCAATCAACCAATCAAGGATATCTATATTAATTATGTATACAATTCAGATATTTACTAACCATTTTAATTAATAAATTAATTGCCATTTTTAATACCTAAATATTAAAAAAACTTTGAGTGTTATTTCACAAACATTCATTAGAATGGTATAAGTGACACGATTAAAATCATTTTGTATAGAGAATCAAAATAACTAATTTAAACTTCAATCTAGATGCCAATGAGTGAATTAGAATGAAATAACCACAACTAGTATATGAATAATAATCAATTTTATATTTAAATATTTTAAATACAATAATTATTATTAAGCTTCAATTAATATTGATTAAATAATTATCATTTAAATGATTTCATAAAAGACTATATAATAAAATGTATATATATAATAAGAACCTTTAGGTAATTTATTATAGTTAAACATCTATAATATGATATTAAATGATTAATTCATTAACCAGTGAAGTTTTATAATAACATATCGAATTTAAATTATATTTATGCATAATTAATTATAATTATTATTCATCTTCTTTTCTTATTTCCTCCCTTTCTGGTTGGAATTTCTGAGTCACTCGATTATTTTCTCTTTTTTTTGACTCCCTCATCTGAGTCTGATTCACCTATAATAAAATCGATATAATGTGTTACCTTGATAATTTTCCTCGACTTGAACTTGTTCTTTTTATTTTTATCCCTAAATAATGATTCCTTGTTTCTTTAGTTCTTTAACTAAATTATTGGCATCTTCTCTTTGTAATTCAAAGTCCTTCATGATGGCATCTCTTAGAACTTATCCTTCATCCTAGGCTTGTAATCCAACTTCTTCTTGTAACACCTTCAAGAAATTGTTCTCATTTTTAACATCAGCATTAGCCTTTTCTAATCTTTCTATACATTATTCTAAACTAATAATTAGACTTTGATAAAATGATAGTTTTGGTTTCAATTTGTTATTGTCATCATCCTTGATGTCATACATCTCCAAAAAGTCTGCTTGTTTCGTGACTTAAGTGATGACCTTCTAAAGTATAATATTGTTGTGATCACTGACTAATTTACAAAGGTACATAATAAATCTTTCCTAGGGTCCAATGAAATCAGATTCTAAAGATCTGGATTCTAAAATATCTTTGAATTCAGACAAGGAGGGATTGGATTTCTAACCAGTTATTTTATAACTCATCATTTTAATTCCTGCACTTGCTGCTTATATTAAAGAGTTTTCTTGCCATTGTTGTGTGTCAAATAGATCAGGATTCAGAATTTAATCCTTTACATAGTGCAAATAACAACAAATGCTAAAGTACAATTCCAATCCCTTTTCAAAAATCCTTAAGAATTATAAGGATGATGTTATGTAAAGTTTAAGAAAACTGGTCACTATTTGTAATGGCAATTATTGAGAACGCAATCTGACATCGAACCACAAAAACAAAAATTAAGCTATCCAAACTTAGGGCTTCAAAATTTTATCATGAATTAATAATTTGCATAGTCCTTCCAATGCAATAGCCTAGATCACTCCCTCAGATTTGAATGCGAATTTCATTATGATCTATAGAATCTTCTATTTTCCATATGTTTCTGAGTCAATAACCCATGCCTAATCATCGTCATACATCAACAGTGCATCCAATATGCTTCTTAGAGCTGTTATAGTCATAGGATTGTCATTATTTTTCTAGGTTGGGACGGATTAATCCAAAATTCTGGCCAAAGTGGCAATGGTAGAACCACCAACATCAATTCCAAATAAGGGGATATATCCCAAACACCTGAAACTCAATTTCTTAGCCAAACAATCATCTCCACTCTTATACTTTTCACTAATTGTAGTGATGATCGTCTTTAATCTGATAAAAATCCTATCTTCGATTTTGGCTATATCGAATTAATTAAACAAGGCATCCAATAAATATAGACAATGAATATCAATATTCTTGTTGTGTTATTTCATTTTATCCAATTCATTGAGTGTTTGCTATATGGCTTTTTAATTTTAATCCAGAAGTTGCTCATTTAGTTATAAGGATTGCACATTTTGCTTCTTCTTTTTGACTAGAGCTTCCTTTTCTTATTCTAAGTTTTCTCTTTCTTCCTTTCTGACCTACAATGACTATTCCAATTATTATATGTTTTCAACAATTATCTATTTCTGTAGATCTTGTATGACTTTAAATACCTACTCTGCCATTTGATCTTAAGATGATACTAGAAGCTTAATTACTTTGATTGATGGGATCATTAATTCGTAATAACTTTTAATAATAGGCATTTCAAAATGATGCTATGCAAACCATCTACTCTCTAATTCTTAATCACTCCTATCTTCATAGATCTCATTAAACTTTTGGTTGTGCAATCTTTGACACTCTAGTTTTTTGTATTTGCTGATGAACTCGACCATTCGATCCAATAGTTTTGTTCTTCCTATCTCCTCTTAATTGATAAGTAATTAGGCTAATTACAATAATTCATAATATTGCAATAAATCCAAATCTTAATTAAAAATTTCGGCAAATTATGTGCCTTCTGGGAAATTGTGATCCACTATCAAATTCATTTATTATTGTAATTAGGCTTTCTACTCTTAGTTTTGAGACATCTGACACAACACTTTAATAAATGACATTTCTGGGCCACTTGTTTAATTGCTTAAATTCCTTAAAGCATCTCTGAAATAAGTTGATAATTCATCCTAATGAACAGATTTCAATATTGCTTTCAATCCATCCAATATTGTGGAATATAATTAAGGGAATATTAAAGTTTTATCAATTTAAAATAAATTTAAAAATCTCTTCACTGCCTCATGAATGTGATTCACTTACTCAACATTCATTGATTTTCTAGCTGATTTCTATCTTGAATCCTCCTACATTATTGAATCATCTTAGATTATTTTACCAAAAGATTACTGCAAAAATAACTCACATTACTCCACCACCTTCTAACTACTGTTTTTTAAACCATCATAAATCACCTGATATAAATCTAATGTTGTTAATTGAGATATGGAAAAATGATTTTTCATAAGCTTTTTAAAAACCTAAAGTCTCACATCCACGTCAGTATCCCTGATTCTAATTATTATAAATGGAAGAGTCGAATCATTTAATTCTGTATTTGTTAATGCATCCAATCTCAACTCCTTTTTGTCGTCCTCACAAATAGTTCGAACCATTTCATATTTCAATGCCACTATTGCTTATTTTAATTTGTTTTATTTTCTCTCCTCAAATGCAATGTGTTGTAAATAGGAACCCAATTTCACAGCCAAACCCTTCTAAGTTTTCCCTGTCTTTTATAGTTTTGTATTTTTGAATAAACCTACTGTGTGATTGAGCATGTCATATGCAGTTTTCTCATCCACCAACTAATTCAATAACTAAGGGGGAATACATCTCAAGATCATAAACAGATGTCTCCCACAACATATTCTTGTAGCAAAATTTTATGAGTCCAAACCCTCTGCGAACAATTGCATTAAATAGAGAAGGAAGCTATTATACATTTAATTGAATAAACCTTCTTGTGTTATCTGTGCTAATTTATTTTCGAGTCTTTTGGGCGGGAAGTGTAGATTCATTCCATTTTTTTATCATAAATGTTACAAATTTTTCAGTAACATTTTCAAATAACTTTCTATGTTGTTTCGATGTCCCATTAAAGTTCTTGATTATTTTTAAATAACTACATTCTAGTTATTTTGTGAACTATCTAAAATTTTATTAATTCAAATTACTATGTGTCTCCCAAAAAACTCACATGCAAATTGTGGATGTGTTGCTATGTAACATTGCCACAGTCAGCAACATCATTCAGAATTGAATATACATCCATTTATTTTAAATTTAATATATATTTTTTATTCATAAACCAAAATATCACTCATATACTATCAATTAACTAATTATTATATAACATTTCTTATTTTTCATCTTTCTCATTTTAAATAATTTTTAATTTATTTTGTATTTCCCCATTGACTCCAATTTTAATAAAATCCCTTCCCATTCTCACAAATACCAATTTCCAAGATCCAGATAGACCCTCTTGAAATTTATGCAATACTTCTCTCTAAAAATAAATATAGATACCAGAATAATATTCTATCTATGTATTTTATATTTATGAAACTCAATCTCAAACTACAAAATATCTACCCTCTAACCTTTACTATATATATCATACTCTTAAGTTAAATACATTTCATTTAATATTTTGGAGATAATTAAAAAACTGAATTCCATATTCAATAATTTAAATGAAATTACCTTAAATTCTCACTTCAAAGTTAAGGAACTCTGAAGGAACTATGAAAATAGTAAGAATGAATGAATAAATTTCCATCATTTAAGAATGTTTATTTTTGAAGATACAATTATCAGATTTTATTGCTCAAGCTTGAATTGAAAGAATTCTCATATTTCACTTTTGGTTGCATATAGCTAATGAAAAATCTAACGATTAAATTATTTAAAAAATTTTCGATTGATTTCCAAATTGAGAAGTTGAAAATTCTATGTATAAATGAGGATTCCACTTTGGAATTAACAAGTGAACAAATTACTTTGAAATCAGTGCGATTTTAGGAAATTAGAATCGAATTTATGAATATTAGGAATTAATGCAAATTTTCATTTCATAATGAATCCCTAAATTTAGTGAAAGTTTTGGTATTTAATTTAATAAAGTTTGTTCATATTATTTATTAATTTACTTTAAAAACAATGAGATATATGATTTTATTTGCTATTATAATGCTGGCTGTATCAGAAGATATTAAATGCCCAGCTGAAATGGATACAACTGTTTCATGTACAAAAGAATATGCACCAGTTTGCGGTTATTCTTCTGAAGATTATGTAAATATTTCTTTAAAATTTAAGCAACAAGGAACCTTCGAGAATTCTTGTTTCGCCTGTAGAGCCAAGAATGTAATCTACTACAAACCAGAACCTTGTCTAGTTTACAGTGTCCCCCCCCCTGAAACATCTACTTCAACTAATACTAACAGTAATTCTTCAACTTCGAGTTCAACAAGTTCAATTTATAAATGTGATTCACCCAAAGTTGAGAATGCAATTTGTCCAGAATAGTATATATCTTATGAAATATTATTAGTTACAAACAGACCTGTGGTTTGTTCAACAGCAAAATCTAATGTATCAAGGCTCCTTGTGGACAAGAATTTAGTAACGAGTGCTTTGCTTGTGCCAGTGCCAATGTTGATACATATTTTTTCGGAAATTGCAATGAACTTCCAAAAGAGTATCTATAAATAATATCCAAATTTTAGAGATACCAACCAAACTTCCTAAACTGATTACATCAAGTGTTCAGACCCTAGACCAGAAATGTGTGACATGCTCTATACAGACACTTGTGCATTCACTGAATTCCCGTGTTATTCAGACAGTTGCATGAAACTCACTGGAAGTGGTTGCTAGGCCTGCTCAGATAAAACTGTTGTTGGTTACATGAAATAAGCATGTTCAAAATATTAGTACTTATTACATTTAAGCTCTAGATAAATATTTGAATCCAGCGCTGCGGATGATCAAAATAGTGGAACTGATGATTTAACCGATCAAGAAGTTTAATATTAATGCAGTTTGAACAGACCAACCAGTTGTGATGACAATGTCAACGAAGTTTGTGCATCCTAAAAATGCAATGACACCGTTTGCAAAAAGGAATATTCAAATGAATGCTAAGCTTGCTTAGATTCTGCTACAACTTCTTATAGTAAAGGAAAATGCGATGTAGCCTCATCAGGAACCCTCCTAGGTGTTGCCTTCATCATCCACCTTTTTATATGAAGTTTTGAATGTTCATTAACAATATAAATAATTTAATTTTCAACCATTGTTGTAGTCTTCCTAATTTGATAGTTATTTCATTTCAGAATTGTAGGGTTAATTCTGAGGTTAATAGAATTGGCTATAATTATTAAATAAATTTAACGAGCACATTTTATAATATTTATTTTAATGTAATAAACTGTCTCACTTATTGCTGGAATGACTAAGGTCTTTAATTCTGCTAATATTAAATAATAGAATTCAGCAGATGTCTGTAAATCGGAAAAAGAGAGCTCTAAAGCTGGAAAATAAGGTAAGAATCACATCTAAGAATTAACAAACCAAAATAGTTTTAAAGAAAATGGCAAGGAAAATGTTCTGATTCAGAGCCAACTTTCAAGGAAATGAAATTGAGTTTCTATTACATACTATTATGATATTATAAACACTTAAAAATATTTTAACGGAATCACCCATTTTTATTTTTGCGGATAAACTTAATCCACAATATTTGCTTTTCTTATTCTTAAAGCCAATATATAGAGTGTAGTTTCTTACCTAAAACATCTTTATAGGTTTTCATAATATCATAGAATAATTTAATAATCTATTAGATATTGTAATACAATAGATAATGTTATATATTAATGTAGAATTATATTTATAAATTGTAATATAAGTATTATATATTTTTAGTATTTATTTTGATAAATAAAAATAGTCTTAATACTAATGGTATTAAAATGCTTATGATGAGTTTTACAACATTGTTAAATCATAAAAATGATATGTATTAGAATATAAAAAAAATTTCCTATACTTATTAGTTTAGATTATGTGATGCTTCAGTTCAGTTGGATATCTTCTAAATACTAATCATCTGAATAGATCATTTGAGTAGCCTCGTTTGTAAAAATGCTTAATTAAGCTAATTCCGAAAATTTGTTTAAATGATTACTTATGTAAAATTAATCAAATAAATAAATTATTTTTTACAAAAGAATTATATGTCATCGAAAAAGGAATACGGAATAGAGGAGCACATATATGAAACTCTGCTTGATTTATATAAGTTAGAGTGCAGTGAAGCCTTTAGATTTCCAGTTGATATTCATCTATTTAAATGCCCTGATTATTATTAAATTATAACAGATCCAATGGATCTTAGTACATTGACTACTAAATATAAGGATGGTGCGTATAAGACATTCAATGAAATCAAAGAATAGATTGATAAAATTATTAAAAACTGTAGAAAATTCAATACCGATCCTAATCACACAATATTAAAAACTTGCTCTAAATTCGAGCAGTGTTTTAATACGAGGTGGAATAAATTAAATGAAATAAGGATACAGTTAGGAATACCAGATGATTATTAATTAAGAGTAGAAATGAATAAATTAGATTCAATTGAATAAAGAAAAAATAAAAAAAAAGAACCCGCTTCATTAAAAGAAGATTAGGTAGGCAGGAAACCTCGTTTACCCAAAAATGAGATTAAAACCTATAATAATAACCAATTTACTTTCCTTAAACCATAGAATGATTTTGTAGTCAATAAATTTAAAATAAAATCTTCATCAATCCAAGATGATGATCAACCATACATTGATTCAAACACAAGTTTAAAAAATGAATCTTAAAACTTCTAAGAAAATCAATTTGAAAGTAAAATTTAGAAAAAAGAAGTCATTGAACCACCTCCACCGACATCTTTTAAAGTATCAATATCCAGAATGACTTCAAATGATACAACCTAAAACCAAGAGAAAATAAAAGAGGCCCCTCAAGCCTAATTTAATTCTTTTGATCCTCTCTAAAGATAGGATTCCACTAAATCAACCCTCTCATTCAAAATTCCAATCCCTAAATTGAACCCACCTCAATAGGATACAATAAAAGAAACACCTGATTTCTAAACACCAATTACTGCTAAACCTACTTAAACACAATAACAACAAATTCCTAAATAAGTTCCAATGCCATAGACTAATCCACCTATAATAACAGATTCTTAAAATTAATAATAATAACCAAAACCATAAATCTCTCCTCAATAATTACCACCATAATTACCTTAATAATCTATAAATTAATAGTCTAATACTTAATTGTAATCGTAGCCATAAGTTCAATAATAGCCATAATTAGGATCAATATAAAAATAATTATAACAGCCATAATTATAATAGCAATAATAAACATAGCAATAATAATAGATATAACAATAATCTTCATAAATATAGGCATTATAGTAATAATAATAAAATTAGGTTTAAATATAAAAATAATAATAATCATCCTCTTAACCATAAAATAATGATGATTACAAAACAATACCTAAAAAACTAGAAATAAAAAAAGAATAGAATGAAATTGGATAGTAAAATTCTTATGCATAATTAGAGACTCAGCACTAAGAAGTATTGCCAAAGATCAGCATTAATTTTAACAATTCAAATAAAATTATCTAACCAGAATCGAAACCTCAGCCATACGAAACAAAGATTACTATACCAAAATAATAACCTTAATAGTTAATTAATATTTCAAATTCATAAACTTCTTCATAAAAATTTGAAAAATCAATTCCTATTACAAAAGGAATTACACAAAAAATAGAGACTCCAAACACTCCTAAAGGAAAGAGAAAAATTATTGATTCTGATGACTCATAAGATTCAAGTAAAATAGAATAAATCCCTATCATTAAAAAGCCTAGCGAGAAAAAAGTTGAATTTAATGAAACCCCACTTTAACATAGCATATCAGGGCCCTCATCAGAAAAAAAAATATCGAATTTAACTTCCCATCCCTTTTCTTTAAATGATTAAGACAACAAAGTACAATCCAAGGAGAATTAACCTACTAAACTTGCTCCCACAACTCCGCCAGCTATAGCCATATAACCTCCTTAAAAAGTTGAGGCTGCTCCTCCATCCAAATATGTATTTAAAATAGATGTTAATGCTATTCAAAAATCAGAAAGTGATCATAATTAGAAAAAAATAGAAAAGTAATAACATTATATAATATCTGTTTAGAAACAAAAAATATGCTTAAAAAATTATGTCTATTTTGAAAAAACATATTATGGCGAGATAACCAAACATCGAAATACTGAATAGATGTTTGGATGTCCCATCAAAAACTACTCTAAATATGATTCTGATGTGGTTAAAATAAGAGTTTGACAAGATTCCTTTTTAAGAATATATAACAATTGCAAAATTTGTTGAATTGGCTTATCAAAGCATTCAAAAATTCAAATGCGAAGAGGAACCACAAAATGAATAGTTACTTTAGCAATATTTTAATAGAGAGAAAGAATAAGAGTAAAATCGTCAAAAAAAAATAGAATAGGAAATTAAAGTATAACAAGAACCAATAATCTTAGAAAAAATTGATATAGAATTGCTATCTAAATCTTTAAGAATTAGATCGAAAAGTAAATTTGGTTTTTATAATTTAAAATAGAAAAAAAGATTAACGATAAGGAGAAGAAGGATAGAGATAATGATAAATAAAAAGATGGCGATAAGCAACAATAAAGGCCTATCTTACATTAATAACAGGAGATTTCAAGCTTTACTTTAGAAAATCCAAAGAAGATCAAAGTAGATTAAAAACAACCATATATCGACGAAGATATTGATGATTATTTTGAAGAATAGACTCAAGGTTAGGATTGGTGGAAAATTTTAGAATAGAAATAGAATGAAAGCAAAGCAATAGAAGAGGAAAAAAAAGAAAAGGATGATTAAGAACAGGAGGAAACATTCTTCATTAGAGCATTGGATTAAGTAAGAGTAAATTATACTCTTAATTTGGGTGAAAAAAATGGAGTTGGTTTGTATCCTACAATTGTTGTAGAGAAGATGTTCTTCTTTCTATTAAATCATTAATCAACCTATTATAAATAAAATAAAAACTTACTTACAAATTTCTTTAAAAAATTAAAAGAAAGCTCAGCAGAAAAGAAAAATGATTTTTATCAATAATTTAGTAAGTACAATTACTATGTTGATGAGAAACACACTCAACTAATGGATTTATATAAGATTGATAATTATGCTGAAATCTAAGTCAAATTGACTTTGAAAGATGATGGAGATTTCGATCCTTATTAATTAGAAAACAAGTTAATAATTAATTTGGGGATTAACAATCTTTTAAGCAATACAACCAAACATAATTTTATACATTACTCTTCTATTAACAAGCAATTTTAATTGAAATTAGCTTAATACCCATAATCAATAAGTGAACCTATTTTGCTTTCAAAGCTATACGAGATGAATGAAATCTTTGTGGAAAGCTTGGAAACTACGAACATGAATGAGTAAATACATTTATATTATTTAGAAATGGAGGATGCGGTGTTGTCTTATGGAATTAAAAGAAATAAGCATTAAATTAAGAATACTAATATTCATGTCATTTATAGATATAAGTGCCTTTCACTTGTATCTAAGACTTATGCTTAAGCCTAAATGATACGATTATCCTTAATGGACAATAATTATGATATATTAAGTTGTTATGTATTTGATAATTTGAGTTATTGTTATTTAAGCAGTTCTTAAATAAGGAAGAAAACCTTATGCCTGATTACAAGTTGACATTTATAATTCTAGGGAATCTGCTTAAACACGTATTGATAAAGTAAGTATGTTTTATATGAATAATTCAAACCAAAGAGGAATGATTGATAAAACGAATTAATTTGAATTAATATATTATTTTAATTCATGAAGTTTTCAAGATTGATTGGCAGAATCTTATTAGCATTTCTATTCGTGAATGCTGGATTGTCTCAATTAAATAATACCGATCCCTTTGTTTAATTTGTAAACGTTAGATATCCACACTTCATTAATTATGTCCAAAAATTGACAGGTCATTCATTGGATTGCGCAGAATTTTTAGTACTTATATACTTGATTTTTAGAAACCCACAAACTTTATTTAACATACACCATGCTTAATTCAAACTATAGGAGCTGCTTAAGTATTGTTAGGAATCGGAGTTGGAATAGGCATTCAAGGAGCAGGATGCTTGTTGGCTTTGTTAAGTATCATCATAACAGCATTTGTACACAACCCCATAATTTATTCAAATTTTGTGTAAGTCTCATAATTAATTGTAGAAATGCATAAGCTGAATATCTGAGCATAGTTTTTAATGTCGGAATTATTGGTGCATTATTTTTGGTTGGAAAAGGAAGAAAGAATAAAGGAAATTGTGGAGTTGGATGTTGCGTAACCAAGCCAAAGGATGTTAAGGCTGAAGTTAAAAAGGAGGAAAGGAAAGAGGAGATTAAGGAGGCAAATCCACAATAAAAAGGTAAAAAAGGAAAAAAATGAGTATTTTAAATATATATCAATTAATATTATATATGGGTTGATGAAAAAGTATGTATTGAATTCATATACCATAAATTAAATAAAGATATAAAAATTTGAAAAATGGTAACTAAACAAGTCTAAGTATATAATAGGGAGTAGATGCTTACAAAAAGACTAGAGTTTAAAGGAATGTAGGTAGAAAAGTGACTTCTACAAACCTTTATTTGAAATTGTTAATAAAGGTAAAGCATTTAGATTGATTGTCTAGTTGTACAAATTCTTGGCAAGAAGAACAGACTCTCAATTCAATGCTACTGTTTTGAGAAGACTCTAATCCACAAGAACTGCAAGGTACCCAATTAGTGTCAGCAGACTTGTAAAATAAATAAATACAGCCAAAGATAAAACTAGAACTTTAGTTGTTGTAGGCACAGTAACTGATGAGTAATTATTGAATTTACACTATCTAGTGCTCGTCTTCTTACTGTACCAAAATTAAATATCTGTGCTCTCAGATTCACTGAAACAGCAAGAAAGAGAATTCTTGCAGCAGGAGGAAAGACTTTGACTTTTGATTAATTGGCATAACAAAACCCAACAGGTATTCAAGTGTCTCTACAATTTATAGGAACTGGTACTATTTTATTGAGAGGTCCAAAGGTGAGAGAAGCCTTAAAACATTTTGGCAGAGCTGCTGGTTTACCAGGATCTCATGCCAAGCCATATGTTAGCCACACTGCAAGAAGAGGAAAAGGAGCAAGATGATTTTTTTTTAGTACATTAGGACATTAAAAATATACATATTATTTTATTATATTAAATCAAAAATAAATTAATTTTGATGACAGATAAAAGAATTGACAAATATATTTTTAATGTAAAAGATAGAATTGGACAAGGATCTTATGCTGAAGTCTATAGAGGAACCAATGAAAAAACTGGGGAGAAGGTAGCTATCAAGATGTTGAGTAAATCAGTAATAAATTCGTAATAATTTCTTTCATCAAAATAGAGATGATTATTTAAGGGAGGGACTTATTCAAGAAATTAAGATTATGTAAAAATTAAAGAGCCCAAATATTGTCACTTTGTTGGATGTCATGGAAACAAACAACAATTATTACATTGTTTAAGAATACTGTGATGGAGGCGATTTTGATGAGTAAATATAATTTAATACATTTCAGACTTTTGAAGAAACGAAAATTACTTTCTGAAAAAGATTCAATCAAATTCTTGGTTGATGTACTTAATGGTTTCACACAACTTATAAAAAATGGTATTATTCATAGAGATCTTAAACCTGCAAACATTTTAATCGACAAACAAGTATTTTTGTCAACATAACCAAGACCTATAAATTGGCTGACTTTGGCTTTGCTAAGTGTGTGGATAATTTCAAGAAAACTATGATGGCTTCTATGGTTGGAACTCCACTTTACATGAGTCCTCAAATTTTAGATCACAAGAGGTATAACTCTAAAACTGATGTCTGGAGTATAGGATTCATCTTTTATGAAGCCTTATTTGGAAAGAGTAACAATCTTCTCAATATCTAAAAGCACCTTGGACAGCCAGATCGCCTGCTGAACTCTTAAAAAACATAAGAACTCAGCCTTTAAAATTCCCTACTGATAAAAATTAGGTTTCCCAAGAAACTCAAGATTTAATAATTGGATGTTTGCAAGCAGATGAGAGCAAGAGATTATCATGGGAGGAAATCTACAAGCATCCTGCTGTATCCCAATACTTTACTGTATTAATATTTAAATGATATCTCAAGGATTTTATTAAAGGAAATAGTAAATTAGAGGACAGAGCTCAATATTTAATTAATGACATCAGACAGATGATATGCAAAGAGAAAATAGATATCCACAAGTTATTTGCAGATTTGGATATGTCAAAAGATAAAGCTCTAGACGTTAATGAGTTGGGAAAGTTCTTGATGAAAGTAGATAAAGATATCACAAGAGAAGAGATCGAATATATATTTAATAAATTTGATGATGACGGCAACAATCAAATCGAATTTGAAGAATTTAAAAAGTGGCTTGAGGACAACCAAGTATTCTAATCTATTTATCTTAGATTATCACTAATGGGAATGCTTAACAATAATAATAAAGAAATGGAGGATCTCATAAAAAGCTATCAATATTACCACATTAATTAAAATCCTAAGGTTCTATAGAAGAAAGAGCTAATTATGTTATTGAGAAATTAAAATTGTCAATCTAAAAATATAAAATCAACCTATTAGATCTCTTTAAAAAAGTATCAATTTCTAAATTAAAATAGTTTGATAAATCTGCTGATCAGAGATTGGATAAAAATGAAATGGGATAATTGCTAAAAAGAATAGAGCCTAATATAACTTAAGAAGAAATAATTGCTTGCTTCGACTTTTTTGATGAAAATGGAGATGGAGAAATTACTTTCTAAGAATTTTAAACAAGTTTAAGCGAAGAAGTAGGAAAAAAAAGATAAAGCATAGATAATCACTGATGAAATATCATATTATCATATATTCAATAATTAAGTTCTTATTTTCAAACTTTTTCAATAACTGATTATTCATTTCAATTTTCTAAATAAATTTAATTCTTAAATTTACAAATTATAATACTACTAAATATATATCTCTCTTATCAGTCAATCTTTATAGAATATCTATGAATATTTTAAAATGTTTTCAAAATTTCATTAATAATTGTAATATTGGAGGTTATAAATTAATATTATTTTTAAATTAAATCATTATTCTCAATAATTGGAAGAATGCATCGCACCAAATAATTGTTTGAGATTATAAATAATCTGCATGGTGAAAGAATTAATTATTCTAGCAATCAATCTAAATAGAATATCATTTAATTTGTTTAATAATTTAACCAGTATCTTTTATTGCAAGGCTTATGACTAGATAACAAATAATATTTAAATTAGTTTATTAGTATTCGAATTATAATGATTATTTTCTTTAGTATACTAAAGCCGTTATTTAAATACTTAAATAATAAATAAGAAAAATTGTTTCAATAAAGAATAAACGAATAAAATAAATAAACTTATTATTATTTCGTCAAATGTAACCGATTTGCCTCAATATCGTCTTAACAAAATGAATCAAAATATCATATCTCATCTTAGGTGTTTTAAGTTATGGAAGAGGTAAATAGGTAACAATTGTTTCATACATTTTGCGTGCTTTTCTAAATTTTTCTAATTTGCACGGCTTTTTCATATCGAAATCATGTTCTCTAGTAATTATCATATGATGATTATTGCTAGTGTGTTCTTCATTAATTACACTTAGAGGTTTAACTACAACTATTTTTCCTTTGATTTTTAAAGTATCCGTTTCAATTTAGTAGATGTGAGGGGGCAAATAAGTGGTTTCTCCAATTCCACCAAAACATAAAATATTTGTTCCATTCACACAACTTGCATGGCTCCATCTTTTTGTTTATAAACCTTATCTCTACGCTATGCTCCAAACACTCGTTTATAGATTCAAGATAAATATATCATTTTAATACTCTTTTTTTTCTTGTGATCTTCCTCCAAGTAATATTAAGTACTCTCCAACATTCTCCATAGTATGATTATATCTAGTATCTGGTGCCTATCCCATTGTTTATACTTTCTCCCATCCTATTGGATGAGGCCCAAAAAACAACATTCTCATTAGAGGAAATGAACCTAGTTTAGCTGTTTATCCTCCATAGATGTATACTGTTTCAATATTTCTTTTATAATCATAAGCTGTGCATTGGGCATGCTATGCAATTCCTTCTTCGAATAATATCTTTTAACCTGTCCATCTCTTTGACTCCAAAGAATACACAAGTGTGTCATTTAATAGCTTTTCTGCTGAATCTATTCCCCCTGTTACAACCATTAATTTTCCAAAGAGAACGGATGCTTTGTGTTCTCTCCTTGGTTCAACAGACTCTAATGAAATAGTCCATTGATTAGTCAATGTGTTGAAGGATGCAATCTTTGAAAAAACCTCTCTTATTTTCATTTTATGATCATAGTATCCTGATCCTCCAAACAATATTAAAGAATTTTTCCAGACCACCATCGAATGATTAGTAATAAATAATTAGATATCCGAACAATAATTAAACCATTCTTACCTTTCTAAAAATAAATATTAAATTTATACTTAAATCAAACCACCAGATCTCATTAGTGATTCCTGCCCCACTCATTCCTCCATAGACATACATTCTATCTCTAACTATGCCTATCTAAGTTGACTCTCTTCTGCTGGGGATTGCATAGGAGTATGAATTAAGAGTTTCCTCAAAAAAGGTTAAAATTGATTAATCATGTTGTACTTCATCTTCTGTAATTTTCCTTTTTGATTGATGCTACTTTTAGATCTATGGCAATAGTTGTTTTTCAGGGGTGCTGCAAATCCCTAATTATTTCTCCAAATATTTCAAGGTTAATGGTTCTCTGTGCGGAACCTTACGTTGATTGCATTAATATTTTTTCTCAGTTATTGTTATATCTCTGACTGTCTAAGACATTTTTGATTATTCAAGTTCCATAAAACTCTACTATATAAACTTTTGTTAGGATTTGTTTGCCTGCAATTAATGTTATGCTCCTGCTTAAATTCTCCTTATAGAATGAAAATGTTATGAAATGTCTTCCAAAGAACTACTTTCAATGCTGGGAAGGACTAACTATACTTTATGATCGGATTCATTTTTTTCCTTTCTTTTCTTTTCGTACTTATATTGGGAGTTACTTTAATATCTCAAAGCATTTTATTAAGATTCATCTTTGATACATTTTAGCAAATCCTTATATTAGTCTCTCTCTAAATTTAAATCGACAGCACTCATTTCTGAATTAGACAAATTAAATATTATTTACTATGCCAAACTTATATGATTTATTCATACATGTAAATGATTTATTAATAATTCATACTATTTTCTACATTTAAGAAATTATACTAAATGGTATCAAAACATTTATAATTATTAATATTGCTAATCCTCACTTTCTTGATGATTTATGAGGTGTGAATAAAGTAAATTTTATAATATTATTCTAAAAATAATATTGATAAGAAATCAACTATTCCTTTTTGTTTCTAAATATTATCTTTGAGCATTTTCATCCTTTATCTTCTCCGCTAACTATGGATATAAGATCTTGTGCTAATTAATATTTATGATTGGATAATCTAAAAAGATATTTGACATTTTCACTAGATAGTATCTCAATTTCAAAGAAGCATTTTCGTAATTGCGTATTTAAGACTTATAAATACGATTGTAATACTCATGTATATCAAAGCATGTCATTTTCTTATTTTCAAGTTCGCCAAACAATTGCTGTCTCGCTGTCTCAAAATAATTGTCTGTATTGATCTAAAGTGATTCAATACTTATTTAAAGACTATCTATGTATCCTTGCAATTTTTATTCGTTAATTTTGTTAGTATCTGTTTCCTACTTTAAGGTGTAGCTCCCTATGTAGATGTGCTATTTTTAAAATATTTATTGACAGTCCAGCAATGCTGCTTAACTAAAAAGGAGTAAAAAATAAAATAGCTATAAGACTTACTATTTTATGACATCAGCTTTCGTTAAAAAATATTATATCAATTCTTATTCCAATTTAGATGAAAATATTTGAATGCAATCTAAATATTTGAGTATTGAAGGTGATATTGTATCATATAAAATAGATTCTCTTTCCACGAAAATTTATTATTATTATTATAATTTTTCAACCTCTGCTAGTAATTCTTCCCAAGAGATTCTTCTCTCAGGTTCATATATTAACATTTTTTCTATTAGATTATTGAAAACTAAGATTAAAAAAATTATTACTAGATTGCTTAGTACAGATGAATGGTTTTAGTTTTAATGACTTTTAATAATCTTTTAATTCTTATAAAGTATATGCTTGAAAGTATAATTATCCAAAGACAAATTAATAAAGCATAGTCCCTAACTACATATTGTATTTTTTTTTACAGAATAAATATCACATTTATTTGTATACCCCTTTCCTGTGGATTCAAGAACTTCTGGGGCAGAATAAATTGGAGTTCCCGCAACAGTCTTAGCTAAATTTGATGGTTACTAAATCTTGCTTACTCCAAAATCAATAATCTAATTCAAAATATATAAGTGTACCTTAACAATCTTTCTTCCACCTTCATACTTTATTAATAAATTTTCTGGCTTTAAATCTCTATGGATTATATTTAGGTCTTGCAAATACTTATAACCAATTATAATTTATTTTAAAAAGTCCAGAATTTCTTCATTGCTTATCGATTTCTATTTTTGAAAATATTATTGAATATTTTCATCGCATTTCTCCATAATCACATAAGTCTAGTGTTGATCATTGATTAAATCAAAAACTTTAATAATATTTTCTCTTTCTCTTTCATTTGAATTTGTTAACAATTTTGAATAAATTTTGAGTTCCAAACCTCCCTCGTAAGAATTGGTTTCAACCACTTTTGCACATAATTCTATAGATTGCATTAAATCGTATATTAAAAATATAACTCCCTACATACCACTTCCCAATTATCGAGTAAAGTCAATTAGATATCTATTATTTAATAGATGATAAGGCGATTTAAAAAAAGGAATTTTAGCAAGTTCATCCCAACTCACCCTTTTCCGAGGCTCATAAACTATCATTCTCTCTATCAAATCAACAATTTCTATATCTTATATGACTCTTTAACATTTGAAATTCTGCTTTTGTAATTTCATCATAAACTATTGAAGCTCAAATTCATTATTAAATTCCGAAGGCATTTAAGTTTAAAAACATAATTGATGTAAAATAATTCCTAACTTACAATAGATAAAATATTTACAGAAAATATATCGCACGTGTCGTCATACCCATTTTAAGGTTAAAACATCACTTCAGGGGCCCAATAAGCCGGCGTACCAGCTCTCGATGTTCCTAATGAATAATTCTTCAATAAACTTGACACGCTAAAGTCTGATAACTAAGGAATATTTTAGAAAATACTTTTATAATCATTCTACCTTTAATTTATTGAACGAGTATTGTTAATGGATTTAAATTTCTATGAATAATTCCTAATGATCGTAAATATTAATATCCATTAATAATTTAAGCCATTATTAATTTTATTTCTTAAATTGAGAGCTCTAATTATATTTCTTGTCTTTTTTTCATAAATTATAATAATGTCATTGGTATATCTTCAACCTCAATTAAATTCTCGTAAATCTTTAAGATTTTTATGATGTTTAAGCATCTGTTTTATTACAATTTTTGATAAATATCCCTTTCAATAGCCATTCTATCTGGAGAAATCTATACTATTTATGTTTTATTTTCCTCTTGTTAATTAATAAAGCCTGACTGAAAGGCCGATGATCGGCTGATATTGAAAGACATGAATCAAATTAAAAGAAATATATTATATTAATAAATATAAAAAAATTTATAAGCTGATGATGTAATCTTCAAATAATGTCTATCATATTAGCAAAATAACTTTTTGAGAATGGCTATTAATATTAGAAAAGGATATTCAAATCTTATTTTTTATATCACTATTTCTATTAGAATTAATATTCAGATTTATTTTATTTTTGTAAACTAATGATAATAACTATCGAGTATCACAAATTCTCATTTTATCCAAAAAGGATCTTAATGTTACTTTTTGAAAGACTACTATTCCTCATTAACAAGATGATTTGAGTGTTGGTTATCGATATTAAAATAAGGAGAAAAATTAAATTGTGCATGAATAAATATAATAATCGATTTTTGTTTTAAAGTCATTAATAAAAATATAAAGGAGAAAATAGTACTCTTAAAATTCATCTTAATTTCTATCATTTTTGGGTAGACTTTAGATACATATCAATAATGCTACTGTGAAGAATTAAGTTTATAAAGTGAATGCAATTTAGCAAATTGTATTTGGACTACTTTAAATACTTGCTAAAGTAATAATTGCACATAATTTTTTTGGTTAATTTTAATGTTAGAGTCATTCGTAATAGTGTGCTTATAATACGAAAACAAAGAGTTGCACTAATTTTTAGAGCTGTGAGATGTTAAAAGGAACGTCTCCTTAAAATTTTTTGAGCTAAAATCCTACTTGTTCATGGTTATCTGGGACTTCATGTACTTCGACATCGGCAACTAATTTTACGGACACTCAAAAGCTGCCATCAATTTCTATTTACTATTTAAATAATATTAATTATTATATTTTAATGAAGTTTACTATAAAAGTATCATAAACATAGATATTATTATAAAAATGTGTTATAAAATATTTCCCCTCTTTTTATTGTTAAATTATGATTTTAGCAATATTTTTCAAATTATATAAATACTTTCTTGTAGATTCTAAGAAAAATTAAAAGGTAAGATTATTTTAAACGATAGACACAGTTTTAAAAGTAACACCGATTACTGGGTATGTAGTGCTAAGATTTATCTTAAGTTTTATTTGATTTATTGATAACAATTCTTTTTGGATATTATTATCAGTAAGCTATATCAATAAAATTGTTCTTGCATGTAGAATTTGAAATATTCTATTAGCACCTTGAGGATGTATAACATAATTAACTAAAAAAGTACCTTTTTTTGAATAAAATAAGATTAATTGGAATAATGTTACCTCTTAATTTTTCAGTAGATATGCGGATTTTAATTTATTAATTTAGCTCAAAAATAATCTGATAAAGTGTTTCAATTGAAAGAGTGTTTGCATAATTGAATTTGAGGGGGAGCTCCAGTTAATTTAGAATCTTTATTAAGGAAAATTTTGTTCAATTGAACTTTAAGGTAGAAAAAATGAAAATAACAAGGCTAACATTTGTCATTAAGATAAGTATTGAGAGAATATTATAAATAAATAACGCTCTCTTTTAAGAAAAATAACCAATAAATGCTTTTTGTTTAAGATCAATTTGGTAGCTCACGCTAAATTAAAAGTCTGAAAATGAAACTAATTAATATACACAATAATCAGAAGTTGTGACAATTGATTTTAATTAAATTTTATGATTTGATTTTGCTTTTAGCATGAGACTTAATCTACAAATGGTTGGTTGGTAAGACTTATCTTTTCTCCAGAAAAAAATAATAAGGAAATATATCAGAGGATATACTATGAGTAAATAAGGAGAAGATTCAATTCCAAAATGGACTGGGGTTCCCTTCTTATTTGACATATCTGAATCAATTAATAGGTAATCACTACTAAAGATACTGCAAAACATTAAAGAAATTTAGCTTATTGGGGGACCTAGCAATTTCTTGAAACTAATAAAATTCAGGTTCAAGATTAACATAATAAAATCAAATTGACTAATTATCCCTCATAAAAGGATTCAGTACTTAGAATTTTTAGGTCTTGAAAAACTTTAGGATAAAACTACATTGAAGTTTATACATTTCTTCAGGTTATTATAAACGAAAGAAAAATTTTACTAAACTATTTAAACTCCTCTGGATAGATGAAGAATCTTATCAAAGTACTTTAAATTTCTCAATCAAATAAGATCGAGATTGAAAATAGCTCTATTTTTACAATGAAATTAATATCAAGCATCACAAATCTAATTTATCTTTAAGTTTTTCTCTTACCTATTCATTACTACATCAATACTCCTAGTTATTTCTAATTCAAATTTGCCTTTATTTTAAAATCTTAATTTGCTCTTATTTTGAAATCAATTATATTGCTAATTTCAGATAGTTCTTTCATTATTTTCCAACTAATAAACATCTTAGAAGAAGTCATATTCTTTACTTTCCAGAATTTTTCGGGCCATATATGGTCCTTACTTTTTGTTTCGTTATTTCTGTTCAATTTATTCTGAGATTTCAAAATATATGAAATTAATTTGCTATCTTTACCTATTTCAAAATTATTTGGTTTTAAATCTCTATGAAACAATCCTAATTTTAAGTAACTCCGGGGCACTTTTGCCATCTAAGTATTTATATTTTACTTTCGATGATATATCTATGATATTCGATATTTTTATATTTAGCTTTCTTTGAGTACATAGAATTGTATACTTACTTTTTGCTTATTTATAAGGCTATCATTTCAATATTAAGATCAAATCATTTCATTTCATAGCCTTATGAAACAGGCTTCAAATTCAGAAGTTTTATTTCATTTTATAACCACTCTTCTACCTTCCTCAATTATTCCTTAAAATATATCCAATACTCCCTTAATTATAATAATCATCATAATAAGCATTCAAAGTAATTGTCTGAATTTCAAGAATAGTTTCTTATTCTATTTTCTCAAAAGACAAATTAAAATAAAAATAAAATGGTAAAATTCTGACTTTTAGGGTAGGTTTCAAAGAAAACTTTTTAAGACATTTAGGATTTTTTTTTCATTCTGTTTATTTTTTTGAATTATTTGTTTCCATCTAGAATTTCTTTCCTAACCAATAATTTTTATAAAATTCAATATAATTTATCAATAGATATTAAAGAAATAGAGGGAAATTAGCAAAATCATATAATACTGTTTTTCTTTGAATCCTAATTCCCTAGTGTTTAGCAAGGCTGATATATAAATCAAATGAAAAATGCTTATATAGTGCAAAATGGAACTTGAATTATGAAATTAACAATATATTCAAAATGCAAACGGAATTATTCATATAAATAATTGGTTTTTTGCGAATTATGGTCTTTTACTTTTGAATATCTTTTTCCATTTTTCATATACACCTTTTATGTTTACAATTATTTCTACAATAGGGCCTAAAGATAAAATGATAATATGGATCCATCCCAATTTGATTTTTTTTTCTTGATTAAAATATTCCTCAAAATCTTAGAGGTATAAGAATGAACTAAACATAAAAGCAAATACTGATATCTCAACTACCATCTAAACAATATAAGTATTTTTATTTTAACTCTTTTTATAATTAAATAATGATCTAATCTAAAATAAACTTGTTAAAAGGAGTAATCCTAATTAAAAAACTTGAGATCTTTAAATATTTATAAGGAAAAATAAAAAGAAAAATTATCTTCCAAAACAAAGCATTTCAAAAATTTCACATTTTTACATCTTTTGCTATTATTCTTTGAATATCCCTAGAAATAAGGTAAAATAAAGAAGAAGAATTATGCTGGCCATAGTAAGTTGAATAATATCTAGGGAATTATTAGTTTAAAAATTTCGCGTATACAATAGCGTTTTAAATATCATATCCCACCCATTTAGTAGTAATGCTTTTTATATTCCTTTAAAAGACATATTTTTTTTCAAATTAATTATATCTAGGCAAAATTTATAAAGGAAGCCTTAAATCTTAGCAATTACCTTACGATTGATATATAAGGATAATTATGACGCATAGTAAAAGTTTCTTGAACAAAAAATTCGCTTGTATATAACTTTTTTTTTAGTTGACACAATAAAATAAGGAATAAGAAAATTAAGCTTTGTAATATTTGGCTTGAAAGATTGATAATCAAACTTGGGTCCTATTTGTAAATGTCAAATTTTCCTTCTTAATATGTTTATTAATTTTACGAAAATTCTATGAACTAAAATATTTATGAAAAATCTAGAAAGTCTAATAAAGGTTCGATTGTTACCAAATCATAAACAGAAAAATATATCTCTAAATTTTCTGAAAAATTGCAGATTTATGTATTTCAAATATTACTGAAATTATAAGATTGCTAAAATTATGATAATTAAATCCCCACTTCCAAATAGTAGATTTCCACAGGCAAACCCTGATAAACCATAGATTATATAGACATTAAAATTTTTCAACTTATAAGAATAATCTCTCTAAGTTCATCAAGATATTATGGATATTGCAAAGTTATTGATTTTGAAAATTCATCCATGATAACATCATCTATATTAGCAACTGTCTAATTCACTAAAATTGTTAAGATAGGTCTAAATTCAAGTAATTATAGCACGTTTATTTTGATGACATATTCTCCAAAACTAACATATGATCCCACATCCTAATTGATAGTTAAATTGCTAATCCAATTCTTCTTTTTTAAATTTGATAAACTAAAATTTATTCTTTCTGATAAAGGCGAAGTTGTGTATACTTTTACTTATTAATTAAACTAGATGCTTATATATTAGTTATTTTAAGTCATATTGAGATACGTAATTACTAATTTTGGAGGTTTGGAAAATGAACATTAGCTAGGAGAACCTTTTATCATCGTGGCGCATACCCAACTATATTCAATCAAACAATTAGTACATCCATCTAAAGCCTCATAATTTCCATCATCACATTCCTCTTGTTTCTAAAAAGCTATCCATCTCCACAATCTAATTATAGTTTGCATTAATTTGAATTTAGTAATTAGTATTTATGATTGCAGTCTAAACAAGTACCTTGATAGCAGTCATAGCAATTTTCAGGACAAGAATAAGAGTACATACAATTGAAGCAACCATCAAATTGGATTGTATTGCCATCATCACAATCCTCTTCTTTTGTGACTATCTGATCACCACAAACAGAAAGACAATTATTATTAACAAACTTGTATCCATCTTCACATTGTAAAATGCACTATCCTTTATCACATATGTTACAATCTTCGGAGCATTCGAACTTGCATTAGAAACAACCGTCATAAGGTTACAAATTTCCATCATCACATTCCTCATATTATTGGAGAATGAATTTATCTCCACAATGAGGAAAACATGCATTTTCTAACAGCTGAAATCCTACTTCACACTCCAAGCACATTGAAAGTAATTAATGTTTACAATCAGCAATTAATATATAAAGGCAATCCTAACAGTTATCCTATTTCCCATCATCTGTCAGATCGCATTATTCAGCCGAATAGGGAATTACATTGCCATCTCCACACATAGGAACACAATTAAAATCAGCATTAAGATCATATCCAAAAAATACATTCAAAACAACTTCCAAATTCACAAGTTTTGCAAAAGTTTATACATGAATATTCACATTAATAACAAGAATCATTAGATATCAGATTAGCATCATCGCATTTTTCTTATCCTTGAATAACTCCATCACCACAAATTGAACGACAATTTTCAAAAAACTAATCTTAAATCCAACCCACTTTGCAAATCAGACATCTAGTTTCAATTTACTCTAAGCAACCTTCGTTGAATTTATTTATTATAATTTCTGAATCTTCAAAATTTCTTGTTTGACATAATTATTCTTTATTGCCCCCAATTTGAAGACATTGTTCAAGAAACTAATCGTAAATCCAACCTTCTTAACAAGTCAAGCATTTAGTATCAATTTATTCTAAACAACCTACATTTAATTAATTATTGGTATTTCTGGTTAAGTGTAATATAATTCAAAATCTCTTATTAAAGCACGGGTTGTGCTTGTTTGAGATTTAATATTCAATAATAGTATTGGATCAAGATGATTTTCTATTAATATTTCTACTAAATACAAATAGGAACCAAAAGTTTTTTTACCATATACATAGTCTACTATTATAATTATATCTCCTTTAAAAAACCTTATTAATAAATTTTAATGTATAGGTAGTTGAGTTGAATAATTAGTTTCAAAAAAATTAATGAATTTACAATTACTTCAACTGAAATCAGTGAAAAAAGTTTGTTCAAATATCCATCCATCAGAATTTGTAATCAATTTTTCACCAAATGAATATGAATGCAGTTTCCATGATAAGCAAAATATTTTATAATTCTCTATGCACCCAGGACAGTCAAACTAACAATTAATCATGCTTATTTTTAATGACATTAAACCTCCAGCATTATTGAAACCATTTCTTATCCAAAGAGTTCTTCTATTGTGTTTAATAAGAGTTGTAGTTATAGTCCATACGAATGCACCAGGGCAAACTGAACTTGAAGATGAAGTGAGTGACTATTGAGCATCAATATACTCTAAATTTATATCAAAAGGATTAACTGGTCTATATTCTTTTGTAATAATAGAAATTCATTCCCTTAATACTTTAGCCTCCAATTAAATATGAGAATGGGCTTTTAGATTTGAAAATAGTCTGCTAATCTACATTGCATTATTATCATTAAGAGGTTAGCCAAAATAATTAATCCCACCGCAATTACAAAAAAAACAATCATTATCTCTAACTAACCATCCTAAATCTAAATTCTATTAAATTACCATCATTTATTTAGGAATTTGCATCAAACTCATAAATCACAGTTGATGGAGTTGAAAATATTTAAACAATAAGTATCATGAATAATTTCATACAATAAATAAAATTTTGGTAGTAAATTAACTTTTTATAGATTAGAAAAGTAGATAAGTAATTGAAGGATTTATTATTTTAAGAAAAAAATATCTATAATCTTTTTATGGTCTAGTTGGGCAACGTTGAACACGCAAAGCCTTATTTAGCTTAATATATATCTTAGATAATTTCAGTAATTTCTAGATGACTTTAATAATAATATTCTTTATATGTAATATAATATATATTTGAGAGTAATTAATCTTACTTAGAGATTGATAATATCATCATATAGCCAAGTATATTATTTTAATCAAAAGTTCTATTATAATCAGTTATAGATTCCTTTCCTGCTATTCTTAAANCATTTAGTATCAATTTATTCTAAACAACCTACATTTAATTAATTATTGGTATTTCTGGTTAAGTGTAATATAATTCAAAATCTCTTATTAAAGCACGGGTTGTGCTTGTTTGAGATTTAATATTCAATAATAGTATTGGATCAAGATGATTTTCTATTAATATTTCTACTAAATACAAATAGGAACCAAAAGTTTTTTTACCATATACATAGTCTACTATTATAATTATATCTCCTTTAAAAAACCTTATTAATAAATTTTAATGTATAGGTAGTTGAGTTGAATAATTAGTTTCAAAAAAATTAATGAATTTACAATTACTTCAACTGAAATCAGTGAAAAAAGTTTGTTCAAATATCCATCCATCAGAATTTGTAATCAATTTTTCACCAAATGAATATGAATGCAGTTTCCATGATAAGCAAAATATTTTATAATTCTCTATGCACCCAGGACAGTCAAACTAACAATTAATCATGCTTATTTTTAATGACATTAAACCTCCAGCATTATTGAAACCATTTCTTATCCAAAGAGTTCTTCTATTGTGTTTAATAAGAGTTGTAGTTATAGTCCATACGAATGCACCAGGGCAAACTGAACTTGAAGATGAAGTGAGTGACTATTGAGCATCAATATACTCTAAATTTATATCAAAAGGATTAACTGGTCTATATTCTTTTGTAATAATAGAAATTCATTCCCTTAATACTTTAGCCTCCAATTAAATATGAGAATGGGCTTTTAGATTTGAAAATAGTCTGCTAATCTACATTGCATTATTATCATTAAGAGGTTAGCCAAAATAATTAATCCCACCGCAATTACAAAAAAAACAATCATTATCTCTAACTAACCATCCTAAATCTAAATTCTATTAAATTACCATCATTTATTTAGGAATTTGCATCAAACTCATAAATCACAGTTGATGGAGTTGAAAATATTTAAACAATAAGTATCATGAATAATTTCATACAATAAATAAAATTTTGGTAGTAAATTAACTTTTTATAGATTAGAAAAGTAGATAAGTAATTGAAGGATTTATTATTTTAAGAAAAAAATATCTATAATCTTTTTATGGTCTAGTTGGGCAACGTTGAACACGCAAAGCCTTATTTAGCTTAATATATATCTTAGATAATTTCAGTAATTTCTAGATGACTTTAATAATAATATTCTTTATATGTAATATAATATATATTTGAGAGTAATTAATCTTACTTAGAGATTGATAATATCATCATATAGCCAAGTATATTATTTTAATCAAAAGTTCTATTATAATCAGTTATAGATTCCTTTCCTGCTATTCTTAAANCCACAAATTGAACGACAATTTTCAAAAAACTAATCTTAAATCCAACCCACTTTGCAAATCAGACATCTAGTTTCAATTTACTCTAAGCAACCTTCGTTGAATTTATTTATTATAATTTCTGAATCTTCAAAATTTCTTGTTTGACATAATTATTCTTTATTGCCCCCAATTTGAAGACATTGTTCAAGAAACTAATCGTAAATCCAACCTTCTTAACAAGTCAAGCATTTAGTATCAATTTATTCTAAACAACCTACATTTAATTAATTATTGGTATTTCTGGTTAAGTGTAATATAATTCAAAATCTCTTATTAAAGCACGGGTTGTGCTTGTTTGAGATTTAATATTCAATAATAGTATTGGATCAAGATGATTTTCTATTAATATTTCTACTAAATACAAATAGGAACCAAAAGTTTTTTTACCATATACATAGTCTACTATTATAATTATATCTCCTTTAAAAAACCTTATTAATAAATTTTAATGTATAGGTAGTTGAGTTGAATAATTAGTTTCAAAAAAATTAATGAATTTACAATTACTTCAACTGAAATCAGTGAAAAAAGTTTGTTCAAATATCCATCCATCAGAATTTGTAATCAATTTTTCACCAAATGAATATGAATGCAGTTTCCATGATAAGCAAAATATTTTATAATTCTCTATGCACCCAGGACAGTCAAACTAACAATTAATCATGCTTATTTTTAATGACATTAAACCTCCAGCATTATTGAAACCATTTCTTATCCAAAGAGTTCTTCTATTGTGTTTAATAAGAGTTGTAGTTATAGTCCATACGAATGCACCAGGGCAAACTGAACTTGAAGATGAAGTGAGTGACTATTGAGCATCAATATACTCTAAATTTATATCAAAAGGATTAACTGGTCTATATTCTTTTGTAATAATAGAAATTCATTCCCTTAATACTTTAGCCTCCAATTAAATATGAGAATGGGCTTTTAGATTTGAAAATAGTCTGCTAATCTACATTGCATTATTATCATTAAGAGGTTAGCCAAAATAATTAATCCCACCGCAATTACAAAAAAAACAATCATTATCTCTAACTAACCATCCTAAATCTAAATTCTATTAAATTACCATCATTTATTTAGGAATTTGCATCAAACTCATAAATCACAGTTGATGGAGTTGAAAATATTTAAACAATAAGTATCATGAATAATTTCATACAATAAATAAAATTTTGGTAGTAAATTAACTTTTTATAGATTAGAAAAGTAGATAAGTAATTGAAGGATTTATTATTTTAAGAAAAAAATATCTATAATCTTTTTATGGTCTAGTTGGGCAACGTTGAACACGCAAAGCCTTATTTAGCTTAATATATATCTTAGATAATTTCAGTAATTTCTAGATGACTTTAATAATAATATTCTTTATATGTAATATAATATACTAAAATAATAAATATCACCATCTTTTTATTTTAAATTCTATAAAATTTAAATCATCATGTTATGATCATAGTAATTGAATTCATTGAAAATATACTCTAGTACAAAAAACAATTTCTCATAGTATTCTCATTACTATTCTGTATAATAAAAATGCCTAAACTATAATCATAATCAATATTATTTGATTGGATAGTTACAAAACATTTCTCTGATAGATTAATGCAAACATTAAACTTAGGTTTAAGAGTCTTAAACTGTTCATTGTATATTAGATTAAGATATTTTGAATTAATAAATATTAAACTTGATTTGATAATATTAAGAATAAAAGAAATATCTTCTGTCATCAATAATCAATTAGTAAGTTCTCTAATTAATGATAGAGCTTATTCGTTTTTTTCATCTAATACCAAGGTTTACTAGAAATATAGTTAATTAATACTTTTGCTTTTTGAAGTGCCTCGTTGTATTTTCCTATTTGATAATAATAATTTGCATATTTAGCTAAGGTGTCAGGGTTCTATGGTTATAATCTTATGCTTTCATCTAAATGTCTTTTTGCTGCATCAAGTTCACCTTTCTTTATATATAACGAAGCTACATAATTCCTTAAAATGTATATATAAAATACCTCCAATCAACATTTTCAGGCTATAACTCAACAGCCTTTTCAAAGTATTTAGCCGCGTTTTCATAATCTTCCAAAACAAAGAATGTATTTGCATAATTATAGAAGGCAGCAGAATGTTAAGGAACAACTTTAACCACTCTCTCAAAGCATTCTAAGGCATCTTCGAATTTTTCCATAGTAAAATATGTATTTCCTAAATTATAATAACATTCTATTTTATCAGAATTTATGCTTAATGCTTTCTAATAATGCAATATTGCTTCATCAAAATCATTTTTCATATAATAACAATTTGCCATATTTTATTCTAATTCTTCATTTTGATCTAGATGATTTATTTCTTCATAAATCTAAATGGCTTATTCAAATTGATCCTGCAAATAATAACAATGTCCCAGTTTAATCTTAGCTTCCATATCATTTTTATCTGAATCTAGGGCTTTTTAGAAATATTTTAAAGCCATAGCTGGCTGATTCATTTCAAACCTAATATTACCAATAGCTTTCCATGCTAGACCAAACGATTAATTGTGCTTTAAAGACTAATTCATACATTCAATTCCTTAATCTAGTTCTCCTATCTAAAATTAACATTAACCCTTATAATAATAAGCTTTATAATTTGTCGGATCTACACTTGCAACTTATTCAAAGCATTCAATTGCTGAGTTTAATTCATATAATTTAGTTTAATAAATTATTCCTAATCTCATATTTGCAACTGGATTATTTGGACAGGCCCTTAATGCTTGTTTCAGATACTTTTTTGCATTTTCGAAATTACCTTATATGCTTGAAATTGTCGCATATTCAATTAGAGCCTCTGGGTGTTTATTATTTATTCGCAATTATGTTATAAAGGATTCAGCAGCACTTTTTAAGTCTTTCTTCTTGAAATATAAAGTTCCTAAAAAATAATGTGAGTTTGAATCTGAATTCGGCTGTTCCGTTGCTAATTTTCCATATTTTATAGCTTAGACTAAGTCTCCTTTCTTCTCATATGCTCTAGCCAGCGCATTAGTGCATTCATAATTTAATGGATCTACTATCATTCCTTTATGTAAAATAACTATAGCCTCATCAATAGCTGTAGGATCTTCATCATAAATCATTAAAGCTTCTCCTAACTCTATAATGATGTCCATATTCTTATGATCAAGGGTTTATGCTTTTGATAAATTATCAATCCCCTCCTTTAATTTTTTATTCCTTATTTGCATCTATCCTAACTTATAATAAGATAGATAATCTTTATTATTGACATCAATGGCTCTTCTATAGGTTTTTTCTGCTTTTTCAAATTCCCCCAAATTTTAATAGCATCCAGCTATTTCTAAATATGATTAAACTCTGTCTTAACTATATTGGTAGCATATACGAAAATGATGTAAAGCCTTTTTCCATTCTTTTTCTGAAACCAAAATTGTTCCTAAAGCCCAATTTACTTTTTCGACTTCAAATAATGGATCCATTTTGGTTACTTTTAAAAGGTATTCCTTGGCTTTTTCTAATTAATCATCTCTATAAAGTATAGCTAATCTGAACGCAGCAAATATATCATTAGGGGCTTCTTCTATTCTTCTTAAACAATCTTCTATTGACCAATCTTCAAAATTTTCAGGGTATGTAATAACTTTTGCAACCTTCTTTTTTGTTTCAGCAAATTATGATGTCTAACTATGGCTCAGCTTTGTCTACGATTGCAACGCTTTTTAAGGTTTAGATTCAAGTCCACTTGAATTCTAATAAGCCAAACATTTGGGTTAACTTTCGGGGACTAATAAAACTTCATTTGGCTATTCCAAAACTTCTTCATTTACACCTTCTTTATTAGTATTTTACAATCCATAACTATCAGAAGATGGCATTCCATCCGGTTCTTCTGAACCATCTTATTCTTAACTTGGACCTTATGCATCTTAATCATTGTTTTTTTTAAATTCAGCTAATTCATTATTTTATTAGACAACATTTAAATTTGCTTAATCCTATACATGTTAATTTGAGGATCTTACTTTTTCAACATCTTAATGTTGCCCTACTACTTATTACAATTTTTATTCTACCACGTAACCTTCTTTATGTAAAGAGGCTTCTGCTTGATTCTCATCTTGAATTCCCTTGATGGAACTTTGAGGATTTTGAACTTATATTTATGGGATGTCTTCCTAATTTAATTTAACCTTGGTCTATTTTATTGTTTGATTCTAATAAAGGACTTTTTCTGTTTAAATTTATACAGGTTATTGCTATTCTGTATTTATTTGTTATTTTTTGTCTTCAGTACTTTAAGATTTATTTTAAATTCGTTATTATTATGCATTATTTTAATTTTTACAATTATAATCAGTCGATTAAGATTATTCTAAAGGTACTGGATGTGGTTTTAATTCTGCATAATTCTATGATTTTTGTAATTAGTTTGTGAAAATTCCATTTTTTTTATATTCTAATTACCCTACCTTTTTTATTTCTTAATTCTTATTTAATATCTTTTATTAATCACCCTAAAATCTATAATTTTTTTTTTATGTCCCTTATATTTATACATTATCTATATTCTAATATATTTAAAATTCATCTTACTGATCATCCTAATTTGAATCAGTTTGTTTCTCTTAATTGTCCTCCTGCTAGAGTTGTTTAATAATTTTTGGATTTTATTCGATATCTTTGTAAAAGAATTTAGGAGATTATAATTAGGATGAAATTTAATAATTTTGTAAACTTAGTTGCTTGGATATATTTTTAACTCCTAATATTCCTATAGGTTTCTGGTGAATCTGCTATTATTAATTCTAATTTTATCTTTGTTATTGTTAGCTGAGGGGACGGTGTTAACTTTAAATTAACTTTTAGGGGCTTTTATAACCTTGCACAAGTCTTTATTATTATTTTTAATTATTGTTATTGTTACTAGGAACTAAGGCTCGCTATTATTACTTATATTTATCCGAAGATTATCTCACTAAACTTATTAATATCTTTACTTAAATTGTTTACTTTAGCTTAAGCTTTTTATTATTGCTAATGAGGTGACTTCAATTATGTTTATACTTTGCTCACGATTATTGGAGGAAATAGTTTTTAACTTTCTTTTTCTTTTTATTTTAAATCTGCTATTCTCTTCTTCCTAAATATTTTAATTTGTTATATTTTTATTCCTTATGTTATTGTTATAATGGATTAAGAGAGTTGGATTCTAATGGATATTTTGTATTAGATTCTAATAATATACGTTAAAGTTATCATTATATATAAATCAAAAGATTATTTTTAAAATTAGCTAATACTTGTATAGCATTTTCCAAGATTTAATTAAATTGGAGAAATTTATGTCGTTTCAAGGCTTATAAAAAGCCCTATTACTCAATGGATGGGATATGATATTTAAAACTCTGTTGTATACACGATGCATCTAAACAAAAAGTTACATAGATATTGTACAACTTATTATGGTTTGTATAATACTTCTTCTTTATTTTCAAATATTACTAACTTTTATGAAATGTAATTAACAATTCTCAACAGTGAGCAAAAATCAAAGGTTCGAAATTTTAAGTTTTGGTAGATAATTTTTCTTTTTACTAGTCTTGATTTATATATAACATATGCCAGTACTCTAATTAGGATTGGTCCTCTTAACAAGCTTATTATAAACAATATCCCTTTAGAAGTATCGTTGCACTCTTAATAAAAAGAGTTATATTGTTTAGATGGTAGTTGAGAAATCAGTAACTATTTTTACGCTTAGTTCATTCGTTTATATCTCAAAATTCAATAATTATATTTATTAAGAGAAAAAAATTATATTGGGATGGATTTAAGCCATGATACTATCTACAGGCATTATTATTGAACTAATTTCTATCTGCATAGAATCTATATTAAAATTTAAATTGATGCGTAGAAAAAAATCAGTAACTTAGAAAAGTCAATTATTTATCTGAATATTATGAAATAATAAATAAAACCAATTTTATAAAATTTAACAAATATTAATTTTTCATCATTCTCTACCTAATAATAATCTAAATAATCCAAATAAATTTAGCCAACAAATCTAAAGACTTTCTTCAAATTATTGATTAGTGGATATCTAATTTTTATAAAAGCAATAATGATAATTTGGTTTTCCTTTAAAAATTATTAGCCTAACTGCTATTAAATTGGAATTTTCATTCTTCGGTCAAAATGCTTGGATTTTTTCATATTTTTTTGTAAAATTTTGTTAAATAGTCAAATAATCCTTTATTATTTATCTAAGGTCATAGGATAATCGCAGAAGAAATAGTTTAGGAATTTGGGATTTAATAAGATGAACATAGCAAATTGATTTTGGATAAATAGGGAATGAATTAGGCTATGGAAGATGGTATGCAATAGGAGGTGAGATATGTTATGATCATAACAATTAAAGAGGATGATATATGCGATGATGGGTGATTAAATGAGAAATGATATAGGATATGAACTAGACTATGAATTATGCGAAGAAATAGGCTATTAATAATTCAACCAAATGGGAAATATAATAGGCGATGAACTACACAATGTAATAGGTGTTGAATTAGGGAATATCATTTAGAATATATTTGACATTGTCTAGATTAAGTTTTTCCAACTTGAAAAAGTAGTAATTTCTTCAAAACAACGCCTATTTATCCAAAAATTTAAAACAAATAAATTCAAATTTTTTATATTTATAATCTGCAATTTACGGTACCTAGGGAAATTATTTTAAAAAGAATTGCTTTTGATCATAAAATTTGTTTCCAAATACAAAATTAGCTATAATAGTAATTTAATAATGATTTTATTTTATTTTTTTGAAAATAAGTAAATAATCAATGATTGATAAAAAAGAAATTAATTTGATCCTCTTTTAATTATAAATCAACAATTTATATTATTATATATTGCTTCAAATACTATTGATGAATCAAGTTATTTTTTAAAATGAAATTATTCAAAATTTTTTCAAAAGGTACATAACTTCTTATAGTAACTCTGATTTAAATCTGTTGCAAGATGTTTTAAATTTTTGTATTAATTTGTTTTTAACAAATAAAATAAATTTGAAAGGAGTATTGTTAATTTTTTAGATTGCATTTTTATTAATTGAAGTTAGCCAATATATTTATTAAAACGATAATGCTTCCTAGCAGTAAATATTGCTTATAGAACTCAAAATCAATCTTTACATAAAACTGCGTGTACTAATTATATCTTATTAGATACTTATACTTAATATTAAGTAGTCCATCATTATAATCCTGAAGGAAACCATGAGCATAATAATAAAGTTTCAAAATTTTTGATTCAACTTAATATACTTCCTTGCAAAGTAAATCGGCAACTTATAGTTTGTGTTTATTCTGTTATCAAATAATCTACTTAACTAAAAGTAGTGCTGCATGCTCTTAGAATAATGTTGGAGCTCCTTGAACCCTTCTTAGAATTTCAGCAACATTTATGCTATCACATGATGATACATATATTAACTGTTAACTACTACTATTATAATGAACTTGTCAGTAAATATATATTCATGGTCTACTTCGTATCGGAATTTCGTATTTAAGGATTATTCAGATTGATCGATAAAAATCTCAGCAATCTTACATCCCCTTTCTATTTCTTGTAACAGAATAAATTTTTACTTTAATAAACTCTACTCAGTGTTGTTTTGTGATTACTGTGTTCATTAGAAATTTTCTTTGCTTAGAAAATATTTGTTAATATAAGTGCTTATGTACCATTTATATGTTATTAAAGATATTTTTGACTTGACTGAAATAAATTAAAGAAGAGGAGAAAAAAAAATTCAATTATCTTAATAAATGATTCTAAATTTAGATAATTGATAGCTATAGTTAGTTAAGATAATTTGTTTGAACTTAGTAAGAAAAGAAATTATTACAAGAACATCCTTATTAGGATAGAAATAAATACTTATAGATTATTTTATCACGATATACTTATAAGCCTATGTATTAATATATACTGATTTTCGTTGCTTTTTTTCTTGTGTATTCCGTTTAAAATTAACAAAATACTCTATCTGCTTTCAATATTTCACAAGCTTATGCTATTTAAAAAATTTTTTCGACTGGCTCAAAATAGGATCCTGGCGTTTATGATTTCTTTTCAAATTAGGGGCCTTTAAGAATTTGTATATTTCTATTTTCTCAATTCAAAAATAATAATCGCTTTTAAAATACATAATTTCAAAGAATATGATTTGTTCCATTATGTGACTCGATACAATTTGTATTTTAAAAGGGAGCTGCTCTCTATTTATTTTCCCATTGATTAAAATAGATTAGATATAGAAGGTTTTGCTTATCCTACATATTTTTTCAACAACATA